TGTTTGACGGTGGGGATGGTGCTCTTGGGGTCATAGGCAGCATTCCTCCTCCTCCAAACACGGCGAGTTGAGTTGATGCCAAAGAGCTCCATTTTGGTCTCATCTGACCACAACACTTTCACCCAGTTGTCCTCTGAATCATTCAGATGTTCATTGGCAAACTTCAGACGGGCATATATATGTGCTTTCTTGAGCAGGGGGACCTTGCGGGCGCTGCAGGATTTCAGTCCTTCACGGCGTAGTGTGTTACCAATTGTTTTGTTGGTGACTATGGTCCCAGCTGCCTTGAGATCATTGAGAAGAGCCTCCTGTGTAGTTCTGGGCTGATTCCTCACCGTTCTCATTCTCATTGCAACTCCACGAGGTGAGATCTTGCATGGAGCCCCAGGCCGAGGGAGATTGACAGTTCTTTTGTGTTTCTTCCATTTGCGAATAATCGCACCAACTGTTGCAACCTTCTCACCAAGCTGCTTGGCAATGGTCTTGTAGCCCATTCCAGCCTTGTATAGGTCTACAATCTTGTCCCTGACATCCTTGGAGAGCTCTTTGGTCTTGGCCATGGTGGAGAGTTTGGAATCTGATTTAATCTGTGTTCAGGTGTCTTTTATACAGGTAACAAGCTGAGATTAGGAGCACTCCCTTTAAGAGTGTGCTCCTAATCTCAGCTCGTTACCTGTATAAAAGACACCTGGAAGCCAGAAATCTCTCTGATTGAGAGGGGGTCAAATACTCATTAAAATGGAAATCAATTCATAACATTTTTGACATGCGTTTTTCTGAATTTTTTGTTGTTGTTATTCTGTCTCTCACTGTTCAAATAAACCTACCATTAAAATTATAGACTGTAATTTCTTTGTCAGTGGGCAAACGTACAAAATCAGCAGGGGATGAAATACTTTTTTCCCCTCACTGTACAGTATACATTATGCATTGTATATGCGCATAATTTCCACGATGCTTGCTTTCAAATAATGCTCTCCCACATATTGTTCGATTAAAATTAATAAAATGTGTTCCAGTTTAAAAAGTTACAGGTGGCAATACTCGGTCACCAATCTGAGATATGCGCATATAATGAAGTTCTAGAAACCTCATTTCAATTACAGAGCATTTTAATTGGCATGGTGGCAAACCATTAGCCACTCTGCGTGGGTTTAAGTGAAACACGGTGGTTTAATGCTCACACAAGGCTGGCTTTCCATGTGCAGCCTTTGATACCTCTTTACCTTTCGTGAAAATTTGAACAAATTGGCACATGGCCTTCAAAACTCATTATAACTGCTTTCCTGACTTGGACAGCAGAGATGTGATCACTTGAAAGGATTTAAATGTAGTGTTCGATTTCACTCGGACAACTTCTGTCTTTCTCCGAACACCGCTTTATTTACAACTCTCAGCATGTCCTCCAAATTCCACAGTATCCTGGTCGCCACGGCTCGCTCGCCGTGCTTCACTCGACTCGCTCGCCACCTTTGTCTCTCCACTCCCCACGATTACTACCACTTACTCTCCACGATTACTTCGCTTACTCCGCCGCTAACTTCTTCGTCTCCGCTCTCCGCTATCACCGTCGCTATGTTCTCTCCACTGCTAACTTCTTCGTCTTTGTTCACCGCTATCACCGTCACTGTGCTCACTCCACTGCTGGCTGTTCTCGTCTTCAGCTCCGCTATCGCTACGCTCTCTCCACTATTGGCTATTCTCGTCTCCAGCTCCGCTATCGCTACGCTCTCTCCATCGCTAACTACTTCGTCTTTGTTCAGCTTCGCTATCGCTATGCTCTCTCCACCGCTAACTACTTTGTCTTTGTTCAGCTTCACTATCGCTACGCTCCCTCCAGCGCTAACTACTTCATCTTTGTTCAGCTTCGCTATCACTACGCTCTCTCCAAGCTCCGTCTCCAACTCCGTCTCCCTTCTACTCTGTCTTCCAAACTCTGTCTTCCAAACTCTGTCTTCCAAACTCTCTTCCAAACTCTGTCTTCCAAACTGTCTCTCAAACTCTCCACACTTCAATTCCCCTTGTTGACTCCAAGCTCTCCAAACTCCAACTACCAACTCCCACCTCCGTCTTCCAGCTCCCCAAACTCCAACTCTCCCAAGCTCTCCAACTTCAACCCATCTCCAAGCTCTCCACCCTTCAACAACTCAAACCCCCGCTGTTGACTCCAACTCCCACTCTTCTACCCGCTCTCATTACACCCCAATTAATTAACCCGCGTCGCAACGGATCTCCGCGTGACTGTCACCTGTTCCTCGCCAGACTTCCAGACGCCCCTCCAGCCCTGGCAACAGCACCAACCAATCACAGCCATCCACGGCTCACTCAGCTTAATTTCCCCAACATAACCTGCACTGTATTCGCCTTCGCTACAGGCTGACCCAGGATAACCCGTACTTATGATATCATGTAATCACGCCGTTTCCGCACCTTCGTACTCCACTGCATCATAAGAGAGTGAATTAAAAGCCACGTGATCTTCCAAGCTGGACACCACGTCGGTGAAAGGACTCTCGATTGCACAATGAGTGATAAAATGCTCTCCCAATGATTGGTGGATGACTGTGGACTTCTGCTGGACATAAATAAGAACTAATGTACCTCAGGGGATACTCCCAGCTTGATAAGTCAGGTTATCAGATTTAAATCTATTTAATTTTAAAAAAATACCCTATTTTCTAACTGGCCTCATTTAATTGGTAATTCTGGGGCTGGATGTCCTCCGAAGCCCAGGCCAGCCTTCATTAAATAGCATCCACTATCCAAACTTTTTGCAATACAATGAAAGGAAAGAGTCAACATAGCCCCAATCTTGGGTGAAATTAACCATCACATGCATCCACCCCCCTCTGCCTGTAATTATGAAGTGCAACGGGGGCACTTGACATTCTCTGGTAAACAAATCTATCAAAGGACTCCAAACCTCTGTATAATCTGCCGGAAGGTGCTTACATTAAACAACCACACTGGGATGTAACACCCTCCTATTGTTCTCAAATCCCACGAAGCAACATATGGTTAAGCTCGTCTCTTGTATCTGCCCAAGGTAGCAGGCGAAATGCTTCTTGTACTAACAGGTCGCGTCTAGGAGGAGTTATGTTTATTTATTATAGCAATTTTTTTCTACATTATTCCACCAGACAAGGATTTTACTATCCCTCGAAAGGTCTATCAATTCCAACAAGTAATACTGCAGAGTTCTACGAAGCTTAGTTTTTAGATCTGCCTGTGACCAATCACTGACCCAAGACTGCCATCAATCTCCACTGCAATCTCCACTACCAAAGTGAAGTCACCCAGAAATATCCGTATGTCCTGAACTGATCTTTGGAACCAACAAAATAACTATGAGAATGTTTTACCCTTCTGGCAATAAAACAGGTGTAAAGATGTTCAAACACCAAACAGAAACCAAAAGGCATTTTGGCATCCTCTGGTCCAACACCGATTGAGACTGGGCCATAAAAAAGGCTGTCTCTGGTGTTGACCAATCCGTTTCAATGACAATGCATATATTACCAGAGCATGTTTTTGTTTGTGTGTTCACCACAAGTACGTGTGGTTAATGCAGACATGACTCCTTGGAAAATGTTTGTTTGGTGTTTGAAAATCTTAACACCTGTTTTATTGCCACAAAGGGTAAAACCTGTTTTTATACTTTGATACTGGCAAACAAAATAACTGTCGAGCCTGAAACCACTGGAAATCCACTCCAGCCGTTCCGAAATAAGAAAATTAAACCCTTCAACTTCTCAGAAAATGCACCCATAAGGAGCAGACAGATATAGGTGCCATTGAGGTCATCCAAGATGCATTAATGAGGTTATATATCCCAGATGATCACCCCCAAAGATGTGATAAATTCAATTTCAGATGCAATGCCATTTTAACAGTTCACTTAGTGCTCGCAAAGGTGGTTTGAGAGTCTGCAACCTCCGTTACATATACATACCCAAGTAGGCAACACACAAAGCTGCTGTGATGTATGTGGCAGCCAATACGTTGAACTTCCCTGCCTTCCTATCTCAAAAGCCCACAGAAAAAAGCCACATAAATGTCTGGTTTGAAAGCTAGAGCCATGGATGCCAAGGCTGCAAAGGTCCGAGTTGGCTGCGTAGCAATAATCCACCAATGGTTTCCTCAGCTTTATCGATATTCCATATAAAACAAGCAAAAAATATGCTCATCCAGCAGTAAATAACATTTTGAAGACCTATCTTCAAGGAAGAGGGTTTATTTGGACCTTCAAGTTGGGCGAGGGCTTCTCCTAATTGCCCCCAAAAGGGACCCTTAAAATAAAAAGAACATGTGCGCCGTATTGCATTGGAGTATCTTTCTTGCGTTGACCACGATTGTCCCTTATGCCAACCGTAACCGTGCATGAGGAAGGCATTGGGCTACTAGGAAGGTAGGGCCCTGTACATCTAGAAATGCCATAAAAACATCGTGCTGCTTTCTGATAATCTATTCTCTGCATCTTCACACACCATTGAAGCCTCTTTCAGGTTGCCGTGATTAACACTTCATACCCCAGACATGGTGGATGCTACATATGCACCTACACTTAAACAACATAAACAAGCAAGCCCCTGGGCACAAATTAAAAAGAAATGGGGCATAGGTACCTTAGGTTCCAGATGAAGGATTTGTTTATTTTCCAACCTCATGTTTATATCAATCATTTAAATTCTGTTAGCGAGGCCCCCAACTCACATGTATATGCCCTGCCTGGTCTGAGATATCACTACTGTGGAATCTAAGAGAGACAGCAGGGTAAAGGGTCCGTGGCAGTCCAATTCTAGCCAGTAAAAGGGTTTGCAGCAGGGGATGTGAGGTCATACAAGAGGGGAAGGTGGTATGGGGGTGGTTGAAAATGTAATTATATTAAATAAGGATCATTATAACAATGTAATCCATATTACTGAAACCATTATCATCCTAACTTGAATCCATTGATTTTTATGGGAAGCTTAAAGTCAAAATAAAAGACACGCAGAGTGAACAGAATGAATGCTGCATTTATTGTGTCCGTTTGGCATAAATCACACGCCCAGCTTTTGTGATGGGTGACAAACAGAAGAATGGAAGATTGAAATAAATATTTTAAAAATAAATGTCAAATTAGGGAGATTGTGCTCGTCCTCCCTGCTTTCGATGTTTTCATACACAAATGTACATATCGCATGGAAAATTAATTCGTGAAAGGGAAGCCACTGCGAAGTGACATGCTTGTCTAAAAATAACATTTACAGTAAAAAAAATTGTAATGCACCTTTGACTTCCAAATCTTTGTACTTTTTATGCTCTGTAATTGTGTGGTGAATAAGTCGCCAAACTTTATATTACTTTAAATATTTAATACTATAATTATCCATCAGCACTTTTCCAAAGTAATCTTGTTTCTAAATGACATGAACCTCGGTATAAAGTTAGAATGTTAATTGTGCGATTAAGACAACTTTCAATATAGATTGTATAACGATGTGTTTTCCATGCGTAAATAAAAATTAAGAAACTTAAAAATAAGTGGCTCAGTTTCTTTTGTTGGAAATAACACGTGCACTTCACGTGAATATGCACAATGGTATAGCACAGCACCATCACCAGGCTCAGTCACTGTTTCTTTTCTGATTTAGAAGCAATAAACCAGTGACTCATTATATGCACAGCATAGCATTCATAAAAAAAACCACAACGCAAATGTCTGAAAGAACACAAGACACAAATCCACGGTCATAAGGGAAAATATTTAACGCAAGGTTATTCACCTCTTTCGTTACGATCGGAGTACACATTTTGTTTAAAACACTTTACATGTACAAAGATCTACAATTCCATACAAAGGTGGTTGCAATGAAAATAAAAACAATAGAAACTCCCCCAGAAGGCTGCTGCTAAAAATTAACAAGTGACTCAGGTGGACATTAACCTTAATCACTTTATACTGTTAACGTTGAGCCAGCATGGTGGATGGGTGGATATACAACAGTCCAAACATCAGTAGTCTGTGGATATAATGCAACAAACGTAAGAATTGTAGAAAGGGGTAGGAGAGCTGGTTGCTTTGCAGAAAAGCGCCACCAGCCCAGGAGGGAATGCGTCTCTTTACGCTCAGTAGTCCGTGTCGGAGCCATCGGCATTGTCAGCGTTGCGTGAGAGCATGTAGTTGTCCATGTCGATGGACTTGCAGTTGTTGATGGCGTAACGCAGCCGCTCGGCCATGACGGTCTGGCTGGAGTAGGGAGGCAGGCGCAGTTGGAAGAAGCAGGTCTGCGAGGTGGGGAGGCTGTCAAACGGCTGCGCCATGGGGAGACAGCAAGCACATGGATGGGATGCAGTTAAATAATTAAAAGCGGAAGGCACAGCGTAAGTGAATCTTGACAGAGGGCAGTGCTTGGTGATTAATCATTGATGAGTCATGCTTGAGGCGGGCCCACAGCAACGGCTGGGTGATTTGATCAAATTTGCTCAAGTACCGTACTGCAACAATGATGGGAATTATAAAAAGTAGTGTAAATTATAACAAAAGCATCAGGAATGTGGTTGAACAACCCAATGGAAATGTATTTAAGCGACATGAATATTTGTTCAGGTGTATTCAATAAATGTAACATGAGAAAACAACAGATACAAATGTATAGTGCAATGGATTTTCAAAGCCTTTTTTGGCAATGCTAAACATTGCATTTGGAAATGCTGATAAGAATACTTAGTGTTGTGTTGGTTCTAATACCAACCCAACAGCAACGTTTGTGATAAGTGCAGTGTCTGTAATCAGGACATTGTACATAGGGCACACAAACTCGCAGAACTGTGGCCGCATAAGTGCAGACAAACAAGTAAAAGAAACAAGCACAACGAGTCACTTTTTACACCCAAAAGCGTTAACCCAAACCTTAATTTCTGTTACCCACAAAACATTACAAATAAAACGGTGGATGTACCTCTCATCTCCTCGTACATTAAAAATGCAATCACGGGGAAGTTTTCTAGTTATATTTATTAGTCGGCTTTATTTCTATTGTCCACAAATTTGTGAATAGAACACTCAAGTTATAACAATATTATTCAAAGAGCCGCTCTTTCCTGCAGATAACAGAATCGGACAATAAGACTACAGCTAAAAAGGAATTTCACTATATCCTCCAGCACACTCCGGGAGACTCATCAAATACAATGAAACAAGAAGTAGTATCGTCGCGGCTGCCTCACCCGATCGACCTTCATGATCTGGAAGCGCTGCGAGATGTCAGCCAGATTGGCAGGCAGGCGCGAGCGTCCCGACACGAAGCGCATGAAGAGGACGCGCTCCTCATTGGAGAAGTCTGTCAGCGTCTGCCAGAGCCACTGGATGAGCTGGTGCTGCTCATCCACCTCCCGGTAGCGCACCACCTTGCGCAGCACCTCCACCGAGATCTCGGGCAATCCGCACACCATCTGCTCCAGTTGCTTTGCCGTCAGCAGCGACAGCAGCGGAACGGGGACGATCCACGACATGCCCTCGCGCACCGCTGCAACCTGCCGAGGGCGATGGTGAAGAAGGGGAGCCCCCCCCCCCAAACAGGCGGAAATGAGCGAGCGCTCATGCGGCACGCATGAAGCCACCACACCTGCTCGAAAATTAATAGGACTTGCCTTACTTCATTGGACACGTAAGAAAAATTCGTATGTTTACGTTCTTAATGTCTGCGGAAAGCAGCTCGAATTAAAATAGGTTGCATTATCTCGGGACGTAAAAAATGAATAGGCCTGCATAACCATGTCAAATGTTACCTGTCGGTCCATTTCATGCATCCTGCACTCTATGGCTCGCTCCACATAGTCCTTCCGGTTAGAGAAGGTGACAGGGATACTATTCCCCCCTGGTACGATTGGTACCACTTTTCCATCCGCACTTCGTCCCACAAACGAGTCCAGAGGAATCATCTGCAATACAGTTTCAGAGGCAACTTAACATACGTTCAGGACAACTTCTGCAGTAATATATATTCCACACATTGTACATGGTTGCCTTCTTAGCACATTTTAACATCTTAGGTTTTGCATGAACACAACCCAAGTTACTGTATTCATTTTATAGCCATTTCCAACGCCTTCCAAGTGCCGTGTCAGTCATGGCGAGTCGTTTCGAAAGACTTAAAACCACACTAATTAGTGCGGAGCTGGTGGTGAAGAGGTGGGGATCCAAGGATAGTTGAAATAACTCAACACCGATGCTAAACCATGGGCTGGAATCAAACTCGGGTCAACCTTGTTCATAAGCACCTTGTGCTAACCACATTGCCACCACTCACCAACTGTTATGGTTAACTACCTTGCATTTAAATGGAAGTTTTCAGATCGATTTGTTGTTTTATATATGATCAAATTAAGATGTGTTGCCACTGAGTTTTGCAAAACATGCAGAGTTTCCCACTACATTCTGAACATCTGCATCACACACAAAGTGAATAATTACGAAAAATTATTAACCAATGAGAAAATGAAACAATTACCCCAAAAATATTGAATGCTTTATTCATTAGTAATAAGTATAACAATTATGCTTAATTTATTTACAAGATTTATATTATTTAATAATGCTTATAATCGAGTTTACAAAAATGTATTACAATGCATTAGATCCAATGACAACTAATTGAACCGTACCATGTGATTTTTTTCACCACTGAAAGCACTTTAATGAAGATGAACACAATTGCGAAGGACAAGGAAGATGGATGAGGTCCATACTTGCAGGCCACTAAAAATTTTGTAGCAAAAACTTCAAACAGAAAATTATCAGATTACACTTACAGTGCAAATCGTTGCTTTTTTAGTTTGGTTCATGGCTGAATTAAACATTTTGCTTTTTACCGATAAAAATGTTCTATAACCTTTCCATAAGTTTGGTGGTTTACCCATTTTCAACAGCCTTCTAAGTGTTCTGTGAATCTGTATGAGGTTTCTATAATAAACTCTGATACGAGGTTAAAACATTTTAAAACAATGGTCCAGAAATGATGGCATGCATCATTGAACTAAGTAATTTCCGTTTGATTCACAAGTTAAGGCTCCAGTTGTATTTAATTACATATTTGAGTATCAAACTGTGACCATAATGTCAACGGATTGGGCCAATGAATTATGAGTTTTTAATGTATATGTTTGAAGGAATCCCATTGAATGAATTTTTTATATGTTGCAGCTTACAGTTTCTGTACCACAAATGGCTCATTTTTGTTTGAATTTCTAATTTACAGGATGTGCTTTGGTGATATGTTAAAAGCAGAATACCACGCTGATGATGGCTGTGAGGAAGGCCAACAGGACAATGAAGGGAGCCTCACCTCGTGGAAGTTGAGCTCGGTGATGCCACTGTCCTCAATGTGCAATATGCTACATAGGCTCTGCACGTACAGCAGATCGACCTCCTCGAGGTCCTCCAGCCCAAGCGGGATGGAGCACAGCTGCTTCCACACCATGGGAGCCAGGTGCAGGTCCAGTGGTTTCTTTGTGCGCATTGCCACACCCATCAGGATACCCAAGAATTTGAACTGCAGAAGGTGCTCATCCAGACTTGCTGACGGATTAAAAATGAACCTATCGATAAACCGGCAAAATTAATGGAATATTATTTTAACATAAAGTCAGGATCTGCTGTGTGTGTATACTTATGGCAGAGGAAATGCTCAAGAGCTGTGCCAAAATAAGCAGTTATACATAATGCTTAATTTCTCTGAATACTGCAGCCTTAATAATATTCTAAGAAAAGTGTTATCATTGTAAAACGACCTCCAAAATGAGTCTACATTTCTCTAATTGTACAGAAGCAAACTGTGCATGATCGAGTAGGTGCTGCTACATTTTTTTAGGATAAAACAAACCTGTCTCTGTTGTAACCAACTTCTGCAGCAGAGTTTGGGGTTGGAATAAGAAGGTCCACAACACCAGTCTCCAACTCCTGTGCAAACATTTCATATTTACATGTTAAAAGTTACACACAGCTTAACGGTGATAAAACAAATTATTACTCTAGTTGTATTCATTCCTAACATAATCAACTTTCTTTATTATATTGTCCTTTGACAGACTGCCATTCCAGACATTCCACTGCAGTTAAATTATAGGGCAAGTAAACTTTTGGTGTTTATTCAGGTGACAAAAAGGCCAATACCTATTTTTTTAAAAACAACAAATCAAATAAAAATAGGGGAAAAGAAACAGGCATACTAATGCGTTACTATGAAATATCTTTACACAGGGTTGATCCACTAAGCTGCGATTGTTTTTAGAAATATGTATCCGACAGGTGGTGGTGGCTTAATTTCTCCACGACATTCGTATATAATGACCTTCTTATGCATTATGTCACGGGGGCCATAAATTATTCAAGCGAGCCAGACCACCAACAAAGCGGCTATTTGCAAGAAATGTGGGCTCCACTATGTTTGGCCCACCACAGGTCTCGAGGCACTGCCCTAAAACCGACCCCCCAGGTGACTGGTTGCCAAAATTCACCATCAGGGGACTCTTACCTGGCACATCTCGGTAATGGTGTCATCAAATACTCCACCAGCATCATCTGCTCCCTCCCCAACCAGTTTCACCTTCCAGGCACGCGAGGGCAGCCGCAGGTCTGACGCACTTAACTTCACCACCTGCCGAGCGATCTGTACAAAGATGGGCTTGCACTTCCGTCCCCTGTACAAAAAAAAAAGGGCATGCGATTCGGATAGCCACCCAATATATGTGTGTGTGTGTCATTCCGTTGATTCAATCAGACGTTAATGTAACTAGACTACATTCATTTATTGCACCATTGAACAATGGATAAATCTTGTTCGTACTATATTCACATTCAATGTGTATGTTTAATTGCCCATACAAAAAATTGTTCCGAGCTGTATTTGAGAACATTTTACACATTCATTACATTAAAACTAGCAAACATGCCACGTGTTACTTTGGGAATGTTAATATAAACAAAAAATTACCAATGCCAAATTGTCAACTTGAAAATGGGTCATGGGTCCGTGGGAACAATCTTACATACATAACCTTAATAAAAACAATTCTGTTATAAGATGTTGAGGTGAATGCTGAATAAAGAATTTGTGTTTTAATATTATCTATATTCAATGTACGGTTTCAGGATGTTTTTCCAAAAATCGGTGCTAAAAATACAAATGTGTTAAAGAAAAAAGCAGCAGGGACCATTCTTATAACTAAACTGTAATGTATATAAAAAAGTTAACATGATCAGAGGCTAACCATAAGATTGACTGCTTATCCCCACACCACTTTAATCACTGTTCGAGTGCTTTTGTCAGGGTAAGTAAGCTGCGCATTACACATTTGGTAAACAGTGCGACTGGCCTGCTATTACGTTCAAACATGATTTACTGTCAGAATTCAATATAAATTCAGGACACATACCAGAGATCACAACGCAAGTCAGACGATAACAGCATTTTGTCGAACGAACATGAACGCTTAAGAAAAATGTAGTTTGCTAGCCGGCAAACATTATGCAGGACGAGCTGTTGACCTGGTAGAGATGCGCTTGACTGTGATCTGTGGCCCATAGTTCTTGCCCTGCACCATGGTCTTGCCAATGGAGCGAACCATGGGCAGGGTGTAGACGCGTGGTGCCAGTAGTGGCCTCAGCTGACCCTGCACTATCCCCCATGCACCGGCGTTGTATCGCGATGTGTTGAACTGAAAGAAGGAACACGGGAAATGGGGTGCGAATGCGGTCGCACTCAAGGACATATTTAATAATAAGTGTTCATTGAAGTAAACAGTTCCACGTTAAAAATAATACATTGTTATAAATGTATGCTGGCTGAAATTAAATGTAACTTTTTTTATGCAAAATCTAATACAAAGAATCAATGGCAAAATGTCAATTACCACCAGATTAGAGAACAGAACATGGATATTGTCACCAAAGGATAACATCCATGGGAAACAGAAGCATGACATAATTTGAGTTAGTCATCTTCTAAATAATGACATTACACAGGTTACGCTGTACAAGGACCCAATAATTCTTGAAAAAAAAAAAATCAATCTGACTTCAAATGTCATATTTAATATTGGAAAATGACAGCAGGCAATTTTGGCAATAATAATAAAATGTGTCCATGGATTTGTGTATGTTGGGAGATTGACCAGAAACCTGAATATTGGGGGAGAGGTTGATGAGCCTCCATGAAGTGTACATGAGGTCAGAGAAGTGGTAGAGAACCCGCAGGCGAGCACGGATGGCCTCGACGCTGCACTCCCGCAGAGAGTTGTACTGAGGTGGCACACACTCAGGTTGCCCTAACTGCAGTGCCACGGGCGTTCCTTAGTTCAAAAACAAAAACGCATGTGTACGGTATACATGAATATAAAGCGCAAGCCCTGCACCATGCCCAATCCACCTCAAAAGCAATGAGATACATCTAATATTTAACAAATCTTTGCAAGCTAGCCATGTTCATTCCAAGAGGAAAGTGCCAACATTTTAAGTAGTTGTATGAATGTATGAATATATAAATAAAGACCATATGTTTTGATTTAAAGCTTTTGTGACTGCAGGGATTCATATTCTTGGTTCTTTCGGTAAAGTCACGTAGAAGGGAAACAATCAAATAATAAAAATATAAAACAATAAAATTCTCACGACGTTTCGACTGCAACACAAGCAATCATCATGAGGTGTGAAAACCACAGCAAGAAAATTTTAAAAAATAACCGCCACTTTTTTCAAATTTTCTTGCTGTGGTTTTGACACCTGATGATGATTGCTTGTGTTGCAGTCGAAACGTCGTGATCATTTTATTGTTTTATATTTTTATTATTTGATTGTTTCCCTTCTACGTGACTTTAGCGAAAGAACCAAGAATATAAAGACCATATGCTACAAATGTGCACCCTTATGAAAACTAGCATGCATGCTTGTGTACTTTTTCAATTCCTAGAAGAGAAGAGCATATAAAAAATATTCACTGCGTGCAATGTACCATTATTCTTACCAAAACACAGAAAAACAATAACTGCAGATAAAAAGATGTCACGGTAAATGTTACAGATTTTATTATTTGCACTTGTTATTTGGCAAGTAAAATGAAAATATCAATTTGCCATTTCATTCATAGTGTACCAATCTTTCAAACAAAGGATAAGTATACGTGCATTTTAAATTATCCAATTGCCAACATCTCCAGACGCTATACATAAAACATTCATATACACTGGTCGTCCTACCCTGTAGTTGTACCTTAATTTAAAAACAAATGCATACATATGGTGCATATAATAGACAAGCATTGAAACGCACTGTGCTCACACACCACCGCAAGCAATGGGGTTGTGTTCCTTAACTGGGGCATGTACCTGGAGCTCTGGGACAGACAGGAGGCGATGTCCACGCTGCGCTGTGACAGCGCCCGGCTGCGATCTGCCGGGCATTCTTCACCTGCAGTGCGGTCACCAGCGTTGGCTCACGCACAGGGTTTGTGTGTCCCAGTCCGAGCTGTTCAGTCACGCAAATATATTCAGACCAAACCTATCAATATACACCTTTTTCATTATTACCTTTTTTTCACTCTGTGTGAAAGCATCTGCCTGCTGCAATGAGCAATGCGGCCAAGGATCATCTCATTCGGTGGTCACCTTCAGCCTTGCGGTAGAAATCATACATTCCAATGGAAGTGGCAATGCTCTCTGCATGATGTCCACTGTTCACTTCCCAACAGTGGTATGTATTGTCAAGCATAGAAATGTATGATGGACCAAGATGACCCCCCCCAACTGAGATTGAAAAGCACCACCTTTAAGGTCAAGGACTCGATCCATAGAGCCAAATGGTTACATCCATTTAACCCTGTTAAAAGGATTTACATGAAAAATAATAAAATTTAAACTTATCAAACCTTGTTTATCTGGAAACACTCAGAATTGTAAAATAAATGTTATTGGAATAAGACATCCCAATCTGTTTTTCAAATAGATAATTTTTATTGAACATATCCCAAGGGATAATGCATTCATATTCTTGGTTCTTTTCAGTAAAGTCACGTAGATCGAAAATAAAATTAAAGATAATAAAATAAAAATAATACATCGAAAATAATAAAAGCAAAAAAAAACCCATGACGTTTCGATCGCAACACAGGCGGTCTTCATCAGGCGGAGAGAAAAGAGGATAATGTACTGTCTTGCCACAGAAGTGTACATTTCAGTCTATTTTTACCAAGGAAGACTGTGCAGTATACATAACGGCAAGGTGGTAGTTTTGTGAGACTTAGACGTTGAGTGTGTGCGTGTTCTGCCCGTGCCTGGCCCTCCGAGTTGCTTCCCCAGGCGTAGACGTCCCCTGTCGAAGCCAGAACGAGTGTGTGCTCAGCACCCACGGCCACGTCCTCCACAAAGATGCCTGCCAAAGCTGGCACTTGCTGAGGCCGGTTGTGATTTCTGGCCCTCCCCTCTGGTAGGCCTATCAGGCGGTCTAGCAAGTGCAAGGGCGGACAAATGATAAACGAGTCAAAATTCGAGCAAACTTTGCTTGAATAGACCAGAAATCCACATATAAGATGCATGCACTACAATTTAGCCTTTAAAGCAGATAATTTTTTACTTAAAATCTCCGATTAGCACTGTTGGCTAAGTACGATGGGAACTTAGTTCTATGTAAAAGTTGTTGAGCTAATACAATGATTCATATTTGTTTTTCGGTTAGGTGACACTCATTTTGGCACAACATTAGTCATTAACCTACCACCACCTGACAAAATTGTCACGTGGAGATATGTTTTTATCAGTCAGAATGTGATCAATACATTGTCAAGTATAAATACAGTTGCCAACGTGACAATCGTGTCGGGTGGTGGAGGGTGCAACATGTGCACATTTAAGTGAGCATTTATAAATGTCTGTACTTACACTTTCACAAACTCAAAACACAAGTGTTGTATCTGCAGAGTTATCTCGACAGAATTATGTTTTAACTTTGTCATGACATTTAATAAAAATGCAAGTATTATTAACATTCAAAGTTGATATATTGTGTAATGCCTCCAGTTATCTATATGTGTATACTATGTATAACTTGGTGTCACACTTCAATTACAGGGAATAAAGCAAACAGATGTAAGTATAACCTTGGCCAAAGGTGAAGACTCGCCCATCCTTTGTAAGGGCAACAGAGAACTGGGTCCCACAGCAAACCTTTTTCATTCCAATAGAACATAGGGCATCCACTTTCTGTGGTTTAAAAAGAGACATTATTAGTTAATGACGAACACAAAACAACATGGTTAAACCTGTCTGGTCATGTGTGTATGGAATAAAAAAAAAACAGTATCGATTGTAGGAATGGTTGCGGTGTTCCAAAGCATGCACAGCATTGATTAAATGCAAGTTAATGTGTTTAGTACATGATGTTCAGAATTAATCACATCCATTTGGCTGTTTGGTATACATGTTTGCGGCATTGATCAATTGTGGCTCTTTGGATACATTTCCAATATTTAGGGTGCCAGCTGACCAGACAGCTGTCTATAGTTGAGTTCACGTACCTGCGGTGAAGACTTTGCAGTGGAGTTCCCCAAACCAAGCTTCCCATAGTCTCCATCACCAAAAGCCCAGACAGTCATGCCATCGTTTGAAACAACCAGGGTATGATTTAAGCCACATGCCACCTAAAACAAAATTGTATTTAAGCATTTCCTTACAATTGCACACACATTACATTAAACATCAACATTTCTGGTACACCTAATATATATACATTACATTGCTGACCAATATTTACCACATACTTGCACTTTAAATAGTGTCACCTTTTTATATTTGGAATGCCACGCAAAAACTATCATGCAAGTGACATGAAGGCAGCCAGCATTCACAATGATGTACGGTGGACCGTACATCATTACTAATGTGAATTTCACATTAGTAATGTATGTTGTAAACACTTTTACATCATAATATAAGTTAATAGTCTTTGGTTCTATTCGGTAAAGTCACGTAAAAAACAACAAAAAATAAAAAATTCACGATGTTTCGGCCACAACACAAGTGGCCTTCATCAGGTGAAGGGACCGTGCTGTCATGAGGACAGCGTTGGAGTGAAAACTCCAAAGCTTTCGTGACGGCAAGGATCCATACTCTTTGGTTCTATTCGAAGGGACCGTGCTGTCCTCATGACAGCACGGTCCCCTTCACCTGATGAAGGCCACTTGTGTTGCGGCCGAAATGTCGTGAATTTGTTATTTTTTGTTGTTTTTTACGTGACTTTACCGAATAGAACCAAAGAGTATGGATCCTTGCAGTCACGAAAGCTTTAAATCTAGAAAAGAAGTTAATAGCATGAGCGAAAGTTTTGTGGGCATTCCATGAGAGCCGAACTGACCAACATGTTGGTGTTAGGCAAAGGAAAACTGGCTTCTTTACCTGCCCAACCTGTTGTCCATCGAGACTGGTCACCTTCTCGGGCAGCTTCTTGTTGGATGTATTGCCGTGGCCAAGTCGGCCATAATCACCGTTTCCGAACGTGAACAACTTTCCATCAGCTGTGACCACAGCAGAGTGCTTGAAACCACAGGAAAGCTGAAAAGGTCACAATTATGATTATTGTTAAATACGCAAAGGGTAAGAGGTTACAAAATCCAAGAGCTTATGGTCAATGTAAGCCTGCTGAAAACAAACATTGGGCAGTGCTCATAACGGTTGACGGCTCTGAGTTAGGGTACACTCTCCATGTTTATGGTTGAGACCAGTTTCTAAATAGAACACTCACTTTTGACCTCCCGCAAAGTGGTACTCAATTTATAGCCCACAAAAGGATCGATGGGCTGCATCAACACATGACTGGGGATTTTTATTCACAACCTTCCAATTGTGGGCCAGACACTCTGCCACCCCATTATCCGACCGGTTAAATGTGTTCATGTGATAATATGCCTCCTAATAAAATTGGGGTCATAAAATGGAAGACACCTTACAACTTCAGCCCCTTGGAGACTTGAGGTAAAGAACATGCTGCCATGTACTCTACACTATTGTACATTAAATTAAACGATATTCAGTTAAATGTGCGGTATTCCCCCACAATGCTTCACAGAATTACCAAATATATGCTGGAGTGCAAGTCCTTCTTTTATAACCAGATAACTGACCATTGAGACTCCAAGACAGGGGTTAAAAAAAAGAGTAACTGGAAAAAACTGACTAAACCACAGTGCAAATGTAAAGCACAATTTAAAAATATTGACACAAGATGTAAAATGACAGAAAAATGAAAAATCACTGCTTCATGAAAATAGGGAACGTATATCAAAATCACATCAAAAACAATTCAATAAATATGTAAACATATTGAAGACCGACTGGGATGTAATATTTTATAAATTATAATTGAGATAGATTTTTTTATACTTGTAAGGAACATCAAAACTGAAAGCAAGATTTACCAAATGTAATAACTTTCATAAGATGGTAAAATATTAGATGCACATCTTAAAAGTTTCCTTTGAGTTTGCTTGCCACCTATGGTGGCAGAGTAGTAAAGACAATTTCAGAACAATACATGTCTTCTTGTCGACAGAGGAGGATATCCAGTAATTATTATTGTATTATATGCCAAAGGAATGTTTAAATTGTGTCACATTGGTGGGAACATTATTATAATTCCTAGCTTTCACACATAATGAACAAAAAAAATTTTGAACACATTTGCCACTTAGTTTTTAAGCATTACCAAAACAAAGGACACAGTGATTAGGGCCAGACCTGGACAACCTCCTCTCCCTGGAGGGCCTCGATCTGACGGGGTCGCCGTTGACGGTCACTATTGCCGTGGCCCAGTTTCCCATAATCACCATCGCCCCAGCTGAAAACCTCTCCACTCTCTGTCAGGGCCATGGAGTGGCCATCGGAGCCACACGATGTTGACAGCTGAGTCACCACAAACCCTATCCACCAAAAAGTCAGGTCAGAAAGAGCTGTCAGTTTTGATTATAACCAAGCATTCATTGTGATTTGGATTTCCCAAGTTTCCAGAACAATGACTTTGAACAGATTGGCAGGTTTGTGTGGCATTTGCATAAATCGTCGTTACATTGGTCCACACAAAAAAACTGGTAGAGTTAAATGTAACGACAGAACTGAATTTATATATCGGCATACATAGACATATATGTATTTACACACTATAATCCACGCAAGATACATTTCAACTTAGAAGCTGAGGAATATTTACTCACTATAGCAGGGACCTCATTGTACTTGATCAGATTTAAAAGTACGCAGGCAAATTTGCCATAGCTGCATGAGATACAAAAAACCTCGGGGAATTCAGATGCAAAACCACCTTGGCATAATTAAATTTAATCTGCATCCAAGAAATTGGAGGCCACAAGGTGAATTCATAATTATAGATGACTTGATGAGTGTATCGGCAACATGCGAGTGAAACAACAAGCATGACAGAGCTGTAAGAATAATAGCAAAGAAAATAGATAATGGCAGATTGCATGAAAATTGCTGATCATAAAAAGCCGTTACCTTGCAGAGCTGAAATGACTGTTAAAGTGTGCAGATCATCAGAATTTCCTTGTCCTAGTCGTCCATAACTGCCTTCTCCACAGGCCATCACAGAACCATTGGCTTGTACAACAAATGTGCAGTTCTGCCCACACACAACCTAAAAAATACAAACATATAAACAACAAAACAATTCTGGCATGGTTGACTGAGACAATTTTGTAAACACTAAAAACACCCACAATGTTATGAAGAACATCTGCTTAGTCTGATCAGCAGACGGCATCCACAATGTTGATACTGTAACGTGTCGTATCGCGCAATTTTTTTTTAAGCGTGCGACAAATTAGATCCTTCAAATAAAAATTCGGAAAACACAGTATGGACGCTTGCGTTGCGACCGAAACGTTGTGTTTTATTTTATTGTTTTTTCTATCTACATGACTTTACCAAAAGAACCAGAGAGTAAGGATTCCTGCAGTCACGAAAGCTTAAAATCAAGACAGTACATCGCATTGGAATTTTAGACAACCATTCTATAAAAGTATTACCAGCAAATATAGCTTTCACAGTTTAACACGCAGGCTTTCGCGACCAATATCATCCACAATATAGGGTTCTTTTTGGGTTAGATTGCGTAAATATAAATGTGTCGTTGACCCGCCACCATCCGACACAGCCAATTAGTAAGGTGTGTCACGTAAACAGGACATGCCAATTCGATACTCGTACAGCACACCGGTGTGTTGGAGAGCAAATCCACAACATTTACAAACTGAATACGACATTTCACCAGAAATTACAACTAGGTTCATCAGGCGACATCCAGATTTGGCAAAAGTTGTACTCAAAATTGTAAATGTTGTGGCTTGGCTCTCCGACACACTGGTGTGCTGTAGTAGTAACGAATTGGCATGTTCTGTTTACATGATAAACCTTACTAATTAGCTGTGTTGGGTGGTGGTGGGTCAACGACACATTTATATTTATGCAATCTCCCAAAAAAATATATTATGGATAGATTTAACACATAGAATTATCACTAACAAGTTAAGTTTATAAATATATAGGCGACACTTTCCAAGGTAACATTGAAATTCACCAATGGCTCAGGGCTGTCAATCAAGATGACTGATGTGCAATTGCTTGCTAGAATAGAAAAATGCTTGGACTTGATTGGACTAAAAAATATTAAGTGTAATCTGAGAAACACAAACACAAGGCTAATCCTCTTCCCAAAGAGACCACTGTTTTCCTAATCAGATGCATTTCAAATGCATAACCTATCATGCTCTAACACAGAGTGACTGTGGGAGTTAATAATACAATCAACACTGCAAGCGTATGCTTGAAAGATAAAATAGTGGATCATTTTTTTTAAATACATAATATCATGACACTTTTATTGAAGTCTGGCCTGAAGCTTTATCGTTCACTGTCAATTAAGCCATAAGGATTAAAATCTAAAATTCAGCTTACTCATTATGCTTCAAATCCATTTCAAAAAAAGTCCAAGAGATTTACTGTAATAGGATTATATATTTAAAAAAATACATGCACATGAACATCTCAAACGCACCACCCCATTTAAGCACAACAGCACGTTGCAGGTGAACTGATCAAATGCACAAGGTCAGACTACCTGCCTGCGATTAAAAATTCCTGCCTACAACTTGGGAGAATTGGAAGGTGAAAGGGTTAAAGTATGTGAAATTGGCTTGCGCCGCAATTACCTGTTGTGCCTGCGAGAAGGAGGGCGTGAGGGTCGGTATCAGAACACTCCGACCAGCCTCTGCCAGCTGGCCGTGGCGGCCCCCGCCCCACATGTACGCTTCGCACTTCCCGCCCAGCTGCCAGTCCTACCCACGAGACACGCCCACATGTTGGCACGCAGCGTGCCGAAAATTATTAATCACCGAGGAAATAGCGTCTGCTTAAAGCATGCACGTGATATCTTGTTAATTACATTTCGGGGAATAATTTTTATTTTAAATGTCAACACTTAGCTAATGAACAATTAGCATTTTGTGTTAGCATTTTTCTAAGAAAAACGTTTTTAAAAAAACCACACACACACACACATGGGTGACCCCTATGTGGCAAATTAATAAAAGAAAGAAAAAACACGCAAAGTGTGTTATTGTATAATATATTTAAATATGCAATGTACGTCGTATCAGTGTTAAGTAATGGATGTGGCATACACCTCTGGTTTGGCTGTAGCCCATGCCATTATCTGCTCATCCATTGATGCATTCCATTTAGTGTTGTCCTAGAAACAGACACACCATAAACACATATATAAAAAATCATGACATAATATGCTTTATTTAAGCAGCACATTTTATCAGGATAGCCTCACTGAGTTTCAAAGACTTCTTCAGGAACATCCTGCATTGGGACATTGGGAGAATTCTATTCATGAGCGACACACACAAGGACTCCGGAGTACTCTGAGAAAACGGTGACATATCGGCGGTTCAAACTCAAAGCTTCATAGAGATAAGAGCAATAATCCATTGCGGTGTTGCAATCGATTAGAAAACTCACAGCCCAAGCCTAAAACAACACTTGCTCTCATACGACTGCTCTTCATCCCAGGATTAACCAGACTTAATTTTGCTTAGTTTTCGGGACGTGATGAGATTGGGCACGGTTTATAAATGTGAAGTATAAGGGGGAAAAAATTCATGTAATGATGACAGCACAACCAAATTTAACAATTCATTGGTACTTTTACATACAATAAGCAGTGCTTTTTCAATCCAAATGTACTGTACAGTATCAAGCAAACATTCAAAGTCAATTAACCCATATTGACTATCCTTTTACTAAATCAGACTTACACTCAAGTTTCCTAAACTTTCACATTAAGCCCAGGAGCATAAATCGTGCCTAATTAAACATCCAGGAATAAGTAAACCATAAATGGCCAAAGTGCAATGCACCATGCATGCCAAACATAAACATGTCTAACTCTCTTTTAAATTATCCTATTGATTTTGAATTCACTTTGCTGGCTGGCAGACTATTCAAGTGATCTACAACAGCCAGCACAAGGTATGTGTTTCCTGGCATTCCGGGTGCAATGAGCAACACTACAGAGAGCCCTTAGCAGCAAATCTCCAACTCATCCCATTACGAGTCCAATAAAGCTGTGTGATGTTACTACACCATTGCAGGCTATTTCACAAGAAACCATAAAGGAGCAGAGAGCTCAGCAGCTTGCAGGGAGAGTTAAATATAAAACATGCAGACTACCGTAGTAATCGAAATTGCATAGTAACATAACAGCCCAGTATCTTGAATAAACCCCACAAATAATTACATGACGCAGAATAAGAAGCAGACAGCTAACTGACGAATTCAAGATAAAAATCTATAGGTATAAAACCACACAACAATGCAAATGTGTTCACAACTTTCGACGTTTTGTTAAATGTAAATCAAGATGGCGAAGGGCAAGGCATGTGCCAATCCTTTATTGGCATGCAACAGAATTATCATGAGCAATGCCAGAGGCTAAAATTAAATACAATTTGGATTTCAAACGTGAATTTAAAAATGCTGCACAAAGGATAAATGTGCCCATCTGTGAGATTTTTAAAATGGCAAGGGGTGATCTCGAAGTTGATGCGGGATTGGATTGGGAGGCAGTGGAGGGTGGGTCACAGGTTGAGAAATCTGGTGGCGGCCCTCGAAATCCATGAATCACTCCCTATTAACACCACCTGCTCTCGTACCAGTGGCTGGAGCTGCTCCTCAGGCGGGAGGTGCTCCAACTCGGGAACCACAAACGTTTCGGGAAACGCAGAGCTCCGTGCCAGCGCTTCGGCTGTCTTCACTGTGGTGGAAAAGGAGGCCAACCAGGCCCACTCCAAGGGGTTCCAGTTGCCACCCACCTCCACTGGGGTGGCACCCAGAGTCACGCTCCGGTGGTGGGGAGGAAGCGGTGGGCGGCACAGAACTACCTCCAAGTTAAGCCCAACGGCCAACGAAGCCAGGCACTGCATATAGGCACTATGTACCAGTTGTTCTCCTGACACCACAAACAGCTGGTGGATAAGAGTAAGGATGGTTGGGGGAAATAAGGAACAAAAAATATATAACGTATAATTAAATCAATGCCTGTATAGATTAGACACATTTTTATCACCTCTGATTATCACGGGTGGCTACGTATAGTGCGAAAGAAATTCAACATACATACACACATCACGAGCATTTGTAGAATAATGTGTTGTGTTTGGCAACAGAATTTTCAATGAAGTAATAGCTTTTCCACCATGTACATATTTCCAAAATGTTTGGTTCCTGTCAATTATGGTTGCCACCACCATAGAACACAAAAAACAACATTTGCATTCATCTAAAACATCCCTCTTTATTTGATACTCAAATGATTTATAAGCCCTTGACGTGATTTCTTGAGAAGATACCTTTTGGAAAAATATTGATATATTCATTTTGTTAGAAGGGATCATAATGATGTCAGTGTGGCTGCCAAGGATGGCACATATCCAATATTCTGTCTGCCAAGGAGATGGAGCGATGAGATCAGCAAATGTGCGGGTGTTAAGTGGATAACTACATTGCAAAAGCGTGAGATTGTGGCAGCTTAGGGAGGCCTTGATCCAGCAGTGGCTGATGATTCACTTTTAAAATATGACAGATTTATTCACAAACACCACCAATTATAGTTTTCCGCATCTCTTTTAACTTCTATTTTACATAGCATGTGGTGGGGATGCGTCAGCACTGCTCTATAAAACCCAAGTTCGATTTCCATCTGCTACCAACATCATTGGAGAGTGATATATGAACCAGTCGTGGGGCAGCGCGCTTTCATAGACCCCGACGGATTAGCACGGCAAAGTAAAACCAAACAACCTCCACTATCAACACGGCATTGGGAGGCCTTCATTCAGCAATGAACACATAGATGCAAATAAAATGTCACCTTCTCATGGAGATACTGTTCCTGCAGCATGATGGGCAACCTCTCCAACAGGGCCCTCATGCAGGGTGCTGCGCTAAGGCCCACGATACCCTGACTGCGCAGTGCGGTGCGGCAAGTAGCCAAGACCTGGTGCTTGGACACCCAATCAGCCATGCAGCTCACCACCAACACATCCTGGAACGGTGTACAAACAAGCCTACATCAAAAGCAACTTGAGCATTCAACGTTCCGTAAACGTTATAACGTGCAAAAACAAAAAGTGAGGAGTCTTCCACCTTATGAAAAACATTGTGAGAAGTTAGAGCTCTGATTACTTGTTAATTACTAACATTTCATAAAGATTGTAGCCAAAAATGTTTTTAGTTGTTCAACTATATCAAGACAACATTTAAAGCGGGAGGGTACAAAAACGTGTAATCTATAGCCAATTATAAACAATATATGTTTACAGCAGTTTGTTAACGTGACAAAGAATACAACCACACATACCAGTCAATAATATAATGCGTATTTTTGAAAGCAACATTTTTAAAAACTAGATATTCTTTTGTATATACAAAGACCATGTCTTCAAATAGGTTGGTAAAACACTTGTCAACACATTGCACCATTTCCAAGATAAACGACTGCTGTTGAAGGAACATACCTTGGACCGGTTGGAACATGTTGCCACTCCAACATCAGGAATCCAAACCATACTTGTTATTGATCCAGAACCAGACACCACTGTCTGCAGCACTGACCCATCCTGAAAAGTAGAAAATTGTTATTTAAAGAAAATGACAAAACTTGTGTGGCAGCCAAATCATTTAAATCTTTGTTGTTGCATTGTTTCTCCAATAGTCTTACCTGAAATATTCATGCAATTTAAATTCGAAAGGCCTTTTTAAAAATAGGAAAATAGCTAAATAATGCTTAAATGTTAATATATTAATTTGGTCAAGTAAATAAGATGCACGTGGAATATTATTCGCAGTGGTTAAAGCACTGTACTCAGAACATAGCGAGCTGAGTATAATTCCCAGCCATGGCTAATATCAATGGTGAGTGATTTCAGAATAGGTTCTGGGTGATCCCCATCACAAACCCCCATCGACGAGTTAAGCGAAGTATGATCCTACACTTACATGACAGACAAGACATGGAGATCCCTTTATCTGGCAGTGGCTTGACAAAGGGTTGCAAATAATTAAATAAGATGGAGAAATAGTTTGCATGTGGAGCTAACAGGGAATATAAATAGCAGATGTATTTGTAGACCGGGCATCTAAATGTCATACTGTAGCCATGAGAAGAATACAGAACATAGCTACTTATTTACCAATACTGAGAAAGTTATATTAACATTGGTAAAATAGCCCTAGAAATCCTCTCCTGCAAATCTTTTGGCAACTGGAAGCCTGTACTGTGAACGCAGTCATATTTGTATGTGTGTAGAACCTCTTTTGCAGAGTACATAGTCAACCGTGCTAATCGGAGGTGCAGGGAAAGGACAACAAACTAAACACAAAAAGCAGTTCTAAACAAATTAGTCTTCAATCTAGATTTAAAAGTGCATATAGCTCCAGTGGCTTCCTAATATCGGAAGGGTGTTTCTAGACCGCCGCAGAAGTGCATATGAAAGCGGGCGATGCAGTGACCATCTTTGTTCGGTGGTTTGACTATATCCGCTGCGAGGATAACCAGAGTTTGCGTGATGGTTTATGCTCCTACCTGCATAGACCAGATGTTCATGAGGCTGCCAACCCCTCCCGACGCCAGCACCATCCCATCAGCACTAAAAGCCACCATCTTGACAGCTGTGATGTGTCCATTCAGACGGTACGCACACTGCACCGCCTCCTTCCTGTGTACCCAGTCCTGCATAATTACCAGACAAAATAGAAACGTACGTTATTGCGATTGCACACTGTATTTGTTTTAAGGGGACTATTTTATGTTTCTCTCAACAAGCTGGAAAGTCTGTTAATGAAGGAAGCTTCCATTTTGTCTGGGGTAAACGTAGCACACCCTCGATTAAGATGACAGTATGAACACGGAAAATTCTCATGGTTCCATTCTAAATCCGATCCTTGAGGAACAATACACACAAAATTCCTAAGAAGTGTACTCAAGAAATAAATGTTTCTGGGGATTAACCTTTGCAAGCGATGTGGTATTTTGTGGCACAGGTCAAAAAACACAAAAACACACATGCACAGAGTGAATAAGATATCTCTTGCAGAGGCTGCATAAAAATGTTAATCTCTTAACATTCATCAAAACTCTGGTTAGCTGAAATATATCACTTTATTATATTATTTGTCAAAACTTAAAAAGAATTACCCTATAATTAACTACCAATTCTGTCTTATACTACATTACCACTCGATAAGTGAAATGTGTAAAATATACCAATAATAAAAAATGCCATCACAGCATGACGATGACACATTTTTCCCAACATTATTTTTCACACACAGCCAGAGTCACTTTCCACTTTTACGGATCATCAGACATGCGCATTGAGAAAACTGAGCCATTTTGCATTTGAATGAAGAAGACATGAGAATGCAGAAAGGTGGACCAGTCGTACAAGTCTGGAAAACCCCAACGGTGAACGCTTCCAAACAATGTCCCGTTGAGCTTACCTTCACCATTTTCTGCTTTTCCTCACATATCGTTTCTGATTCTTGAGGCTCTCGCACTTCGGCGTCTGCGTTTTGTGGGATCGTCCATACGCACACAAGCCCACTCTGACAGCCTCTGTATTCGAAGGAACGGTAAAAGTGCAAATGTCACTACAGCGATTGATGTGATGTAAGTATGTTGAACTTCTTTCGCACCATACTTAGCCAACCGTGGTAATCGGGGGTGCGGGGGAAGGACAAGTTAAATTCAAAAAGCAGTTATAAAGATATGAGTTTCCAATATAAAATTAAAAGTGCATAGCTCCAATGGCTTCCTAATATCGGAAAGAAATAGCGGCCGCAGAAGCGCGATTGATGTTGTGTGGAAAAATGCTTAAACACAATGTGTGTATTCATGCATGCTAGACTAAACTGCGACACATGGTGCTTCTACAAAAAAAGCATACTAATGGCAGCGATGGCAAAAGGGAGCTTCGAATCAGGACTGCAAAACCCATTTATTTACTAAAATTAGCTTTTTTATGTTTGGCATTTGTTATAATGTAATAAAATAGTTGATGGGCTCAGTCCAGACAGATATTTGCTTGCATTGTCTAAGTATTTAAATACATTATACTCTTGAAAAAGATTGCTATAATTACCATTTTATTATAAGAGAATTAACAAAGCAATGGCATAACATTTCGCCAAGTTGGATTCCCTCTAATTTGCCATCTGTGAATCTAGTTATAAAGTGGTCAATTGCTGAAATATCCAAAATTTCCCCATAATCCAAATACCCTACAGGATTTGAATACAAGTTGGATTATGAATACATTACCTAAACTAAATTTGCAACTATCATTGTGACAGGAGTGACATTTCTGCAATACACTTTAGTGCATGTAACCCATGTATTGTCATTAGATGGCAAAACAATGTTACAACATTGACCACCATCACCTGTGATCGGGCAATGTCACTCATGCATGGGAGCCCATTTGCCTCATCTCTCCTTTTCATCTTGTGTCACACGGCATGGAGATCACATTTTTAACACGGGTATTTGTCCACAATAAAAAATTATTACATATACGGGAGACTCGTCCTAGGGGCGAGTGATATTGCATGGGTAAGGATGAATCCCAAGAATCATCTCCCCCACGTTGCTCTGCGCAAGAGATTAATCAAAGCTCCTTCTAAATAGGTGATAAGATGGATCTGTCAAGGCATTATTGCTTGTAGATGTAATGTGCGCACATCACATGCAAGAAGAAGGCATGTACATATGTGCTGCAAGATGCTCAGGACTGAATTAAGCCTGTGTTGTCAGAGACCAAAGCTGTGTGTTTATCATCACACCTCCAATTAGCACGGTTGGCTACGTATGTGTACGAATGAAGTTCAACATACATACATACATGTATGATGTTAAGGCTATAAATCCATACAAAAGGCTTCGTTGGTAAATGTCCTCAAGCAGATAAGCTTTGACCTATGTAAGGCTAAGTAAATACAACAGGAAGAGACGTACGATGCAAGCATGAGCCGAGAGTTTGGGCCCCTGCCAAGCAAGCTGCTCCAGGCCACAGTGTTGACGACGGAAGGGTGGGGCAACAGAAAGCGGCAGTGCCATCCACTCTCGTCGCCATGTGCCCATATCTTGACGTTTTCCTCTTTGGCAGCGCAGCTAAGTAGCAGTTTGCCCATGGGATCCCACTTAATGTGCGTTACAGCCTCCTGTCAGACATTAGGGGTGAGAGATGAGCAGATTGAAGGTAAAATGGCAGGAATGTAAAACACCTTTGGTGGCTAGTATTGTTTGTTCTATACAATTGTGACAAATAATAATGTATTTCTTCAGTTACCAACCACACCCATTAACAAAACCCAGCAACAAAATGAATGCAAGAACATCTTTACCATGTGGCCAGACAACCAAAATGTCATTCATATATCTAAACCAAAAAGATGGGTTTCACAATGGCAAGAGATAAAGGACAGCACATTGCTGCTCCTTGCTTTTGTTCAAAGAAATAACCTCTCCATAAAAATAAGTGTTATTTAGACAATGCTCAGCTAGTTTTGGAATATCTTTCGGTAAACATGTCTTATTTAACCAGCGTATCGAGTAATTTAATGACTCGTTAACCGGAACCCTCATGAACACCTTCCACATAATCAGGCAGATGACTCGGCACAGGTTGCTAAAATAATTTAGAATAGCAAAGTACCAAGAATAAATATTAGCTTCAGCGAGGCAAAGACCTTAAGAGTACTGAGATAAAATAAATATATCCAAATTCTGGCGACTGATAAAGGCTTTTCATCTGTGCGATGTCCTGAGCGGATTATGATAATCAAATAATAGATTTACTGTAGGAAAGTACCTAAATTAAAATTAAACGAGACCGAACTAATACTTTGGAACGTCAGATGACTGCAAACATTGTAAATTCATTCATTCCCAAAGCTGAGCAATATCAAATTAAACCAAGGGCCTCAAAAACTACCTAGACTTTACGGGTTACCAAAGATACACAAAATTGGTGTCCCATTAAGACACAGTAAGTACATTAAGCTCTGCCACATATAAATTAACGAGTCAATGAAACTGTTAATCAACTGTGATTAACAATCTATTGTTATATAACCCCCTACCCCCTCTGCTCTCCACACCTGATTGGCTCTTGCTCTATTTAAGACCTTAAAAACAGCTGTATTGCTTTACTATTCTGGAAAATCGCCCGATGATGCTGCATGTAATTACCAGCAAAACTTCATACTCAAATTGCAAATGTTGTGGATTTCCTCTCTAACACACCGGTGGGTTGAGGCAGTAACTAAATGGCACGTTTTGTTTACGACAAACCTTGCTCGCTGTGTCGGGTGGTGGAGGGTTACGACACATTTATACTTACGCGATCCAACCCAAAAAAAAACCTTTCGTTTGGACATGCAATAATGGTATTTACAACAGTGGGAATCTTATAACAGTGAAGCCACTTATCACATTTATGAACATCTCTCTTTTGTATAATGGTGTTGTGCAATTTTCATTTGTGAAAATAAATTAAAACACAAACCGCACTTTACATGTACCTGAAACCGACGCTTCAGTTTATTAACACAAAGTATCTCTACTGCAACTGAATGGTTGCAAATTCGTATCTAGGTTGGGTATTGATTCATGCCATTTTAAATAGTTTTCTTAATTATTTACGCATAATGTTGAAGTTAGTTTTTGCTCAATTTATCTCATTTATACAGCATCTTTAGTTTTCACTTAAAAAAAAACATTTTACTCGCAAGAGAGACATGTTGATTCAAGAGGCTCATTTGATTTTAATCAATGTATTGACATTTTCAGTTAAAGAAAATCAATCCCAGCAGGATGACTTACTTGATAAGCTTCAATGATCACCACACTGGGCTTTTCAAAGGAACCCTTCTTTCCAATCAAAATTTTTCCATCAGCATAACCAACTGCAAACGGCTTGTCTTCGCAGTACCACGCGATGCAATGAACGGCCACTGCACACACAAACAAATACACACAGTAGAAGGTTAAACATTTTTTTTTACGAAAAAAGCCTTCCTGGAGTTTTTCATTAAGTAGAACAATCACCACAGGTATAGTCATTTTAAAAATGCAAAAGCAACAGTAAATGCCAATTTAAATGACATGCGAACAAAGGGAGACTTTTCTATTGAGCGTCACACACACTTAACAAAAAAAGGCATGAACTTTCACGACACTTCCATACTGAAATTGTCAACCACACAATTTTCAGCTTTACCAAGAAAACGTGGTCGGAATTTTCTGTTCACAATATTCCAGACACAATGCACTATACCCGCGTATACAGCGGTACCGAGTACCCACTCACCATCCTTTCTGCAGCAGTGCTGTAGCTCCGAATGGTGGAATATGGTGGAGGAGTCGACCACCTCGATGAGGCCAAGCGAACCATCGAGCCGGCCAATCAGCAGCATTTCCACGGACAGACTGGCCCGCCCTCCGAATGCGGTCTGCTCATCAGGCCACGCCAGGCAAGTCACCCAGTAGGGCTGTAGATCCACGTGGCCACGGCCACCTGTTCAAGGGTTAACATTTATGGATAACTATTTCCAGAGTATATTCACACGTGATAAATATCGTGAATGCTAATTGTAATGTTATCTTTTTATTTACTTTACTGGAAGCGAGCAAAAGACTCTCCTGTGAGAAGATAAAACAAATTTCACCAACTGCAGCTCTTAGAAAAGATAGCATAATGACTATTGAATTTTTGGAATAGGTTTTACCCTTTTAACTGGCACAAAAACTGACACCTTTATTCAAGGCATCATGTTTGCAATAACCACAACACAAGCAGTCAAAATGCAAACAAAAAAGACAACTCTGATAATAATATGCACTGTCCTTGAATTTGATTGGTCCACACCCGAGACGGCTTTTCTTAGAGCCTAGTCTCCACTGGTGTTGGACCAGAAGACGCCAAAAGGCGTACAACTCAAAAAACAGTGCACTATCAGAGTATTGAGGGCTTGGGGTGAGCATTTACATTATGAGACCTCCTTTGCAGGTAACAAGATATAGGAATAGGTTTTACCCTTTTAACTGGCACAAAAAACTGACACCTTTATTCAAGGCATCAAAATATTGAATTTTTGTTATTTTTACTTCAAATGGCCATAATTGTGGCCAACGTAGAAAATGTTAAAACATTACTCGTATATAATAAAATACCACAATGCACAGTAAAATACGGCAGCTCAGAATATTTAATGGGCTCACGAAAATGTATGTGCGTTTATAAGTCTTTGATAACGAATGCACTGAAAAATACAAGCTGGTTTAAGTTTTGTGACAATTGCATGAGAAGCAAAGCATCCCATAAATTATAACATCAAGCTATTTTTTTGTGGGAAATAATTAGTCAAACCCTAAACCTGCACCATAATTTTACAGTCAAATAAAACTGAAGTATATTAACATTGCGTAAAATATATTCTTGGTGATTATGTAAAGTAACACACCATTGATGGGCCAGATGTTGACAGTCTTGTCCAGAGAAGCAGCAATATATTTCCCGCTGACACTCCAGCAGACTTGGGAGAGGTGTGGGTCACTCGGGGATCCCAGGCCACTGGCACTCTCCTCCGCCTCATTATCACTGCAACAGGATACCAAATAATGTACTGTTAAGACACTTCCTGGTACAATCAAGTGTATATTTGCAGAATACAAATTTATTGGCAAACAATGGATTAACTTTGTGCAAATGCAGATGAAAGGAATGACGTGGTACCGGACCATTTTTTTTTCTACAAGCATTAATCTATGGAATTTGTCGCAAAAGCAAAATGGCACAACTTTGTGCTTCCATTCCAAATTTAATTACAAAAACACAACTTTTTAAAAAACCCCATTTCCATCCCAAGGTGCTATCAGCCGTTACGTCATCAAAATAAAATTTAACACGGAATGAATGCCCTTGGGGATAATACATAAGCGAACTGCTACTGACGTAAATTCAATATAAGCCCCTTGCTTTCTCAACGAGATGCTGTACCCTTCTCAGAGCGATAGTAGTCATGTGACAAATACAATTCATTGTATTCATCCTCGGAGGTTAAATATTCTTAAATTATGTAAATTATGAGAATAGGTTTTTCCCCTTTTATCTGCCAACAAAACAGGTGTTAAGTTGTTAAAACACCAAACTGAAACCTTTTACAAGGAATCATGTCTGCATTAACCACAATGGTTATGATCAGAATGCAAACAAAAAGCACTCTGATAATATATGCTTTGTCCTTGAAACGGATTGGTCCACACCAGAGACAGCTTTCTTTTGAGCCTCGTCTCAAACGGTGTTAAGACCAAAGGACGCCAAAAGACGTACAGCACAAAGACAATGCACTATCAGAGTAATGAGAGCTCGGGGTGAGCATCTACATCATGAGACCTTCTTTACCAGTACCAAAATATAATAGGTTTTTCCCGTTTTTCTGGCAACAAAACAGGTGTTAAGATTTTAATTTAAAGCTTTCGTGACTGCAGTAATTCATATTCTTAGTTTTTTCGGTAAAGTCACGTTGAAGGGAAACAACAAAATAATAAAATATATATAAAACAATAAAAAAAATTCTCACGACGTTTCGACCATAACTCAAACGGTCGTGACTTTACCGAAAAAACTAAGAATAGGTGTTAAGATGTTAAAACACCAAACTGAAACCTTTGACAAGGAACCATGTCTACATTTCAGTTTGGTGTTTTAAAAACTTAACACCTGTTTTGTTGCTAGATAAAAGGGGAAAAACCTATTCTCTTATTTTGGTACTGGCAAAGGAGGTCCCCTATGATGTAACTTACGTTATTTTGTGTAATTATTTGAAGATGTGCGACAATTTGTTTAATCTTTGATGGCTGCCATAATTCTAAACATCTGAAGTGGTCTTGACTCCGTGTTCTGGAAAGGTATTAGGCATCTAGGACACTCGGCCACCTCTACAGCACATGTCACACGAGTCGACTACTGTCGTCATTAATATATTCTCAAATATAATTAGGAGGATAAAGTTTTATGAAAGGTGTTTGTTCAAAGAAGAGAATTCTTGTGGGGCACGGTGACTGGCTCGTAATTGGAGAATGCACTTTACTGTGGTGCACCTTCAAAATATTTGGACTTTAATACATTTATATTAGGATATTTGAAAAAACTTAAGGATGTTCAATTTAGTTCAAATGATATATATTAAGGAAATATATACAATTCTAAATATACCCATATAGCTTGAATTGGTATTTTACCTTGATGTAAATAAATGCAACTATTATGTTATTATACGTTTATTTGATACCCATTATATTTCAATGAAAAATAAATAAATCTAACATCCTGAAACCTCATTATGTTTTCAAGGTCCCACAATGTAAGATGCATTTGCCAACTATGACCGAATCAAGGCAACTACCAAATCCATCAGATCTGAAGGATCAATTCCAAAAATGTATCCTAAGATAAATGTAGAGTTACATTTTAAGGCTGTGCCAATAACAAAAGGTGATGAGGATATTTTTTGTCTGCATTGTGCATGCATTTTTACGTAATTATGAATTGAACTGGCACAAAAAACTGTTACACTCTATGTTACACTGACAGTCAGGGCAAAGGAATTTTAAACTCATAACCTCGTAAACTGCAATATAGCATGTCTTATAAAACACACACACTTCAAATCTCTGTTAAAAATCCCTATGCCAACTGTATTCAACATAAGCATTTGTGCAAAGAAACATTTATACTGTACATGTAAACCAATCACACGAGTTAATCGCTCGAGAGGAAACTAAAACACATTCATCTGAATTAAAAATCTGCCGGTGGTGCCGTCTCACTGCAAAGCTGAACACAATTTAATCAAAAGGTAGTGCAGGTCATTGATTTTCACAACACCTACCTATGAAATGCAATGGTAACGTGCTCATCTCTTTTTGTTATCTTTCTCATCATAAATTTCAAGCCTATTTTTTCCCACAGGTAATAAAAAGCACCGGTGAAAGTAATATGAAATAACACCATCTGACACGATAGCAAAGCACCGTTAGTTCATAACGCATAGGAGCTATATGCGTTTCGTACGTGGAGCGATTAGAAAATGAAACTACTTTTTACTCATTTTGTGTTTATCAGAAGATGCTTATTAGGAGCTTGGGGTTGATCTTACAGTTTGTGAAAGACGCAGGTTTGCTGAAGCGTGTACTGGTTTTTGGAAACACTCCAAATCCTCACAGTCCCATCATTGCCGCTCGTAGCCAGGAGCTGCTTCTTGTTGCTCCAGCAGCAGCTCGTCACCTGCAAAACGTGGAAGTGGAAGTCAGTCGTGCCAGTATGACTACAACATTATGGTCGTCAACCCCCAACTTAGCCAAGACACAATGGTGGAAAAATAGAGGTAATTTTTTTTATCACATAACTGCTCAATACATGATCTGAGCAGTAAATATGAAAGCCAGTCTGCTGGAGAATTTATATTCCTTTGCAATAATATTATTTGTTTAATTCTATAATCCATTCATGAAATTGATCAACATTCCAAATTATGGAATACAACTACGAAACTCAAAAAAGAAGATTGATTAAAAAAAAGCTGCTATTCTTTATTCCTAGACCAGCAGACAAGTAATTATTTGTCCCGACCTCCAAAGCAATTTGACAAATTCTGATGATTAAATTCTAGAATTGTTTCTTGTCCGAGTTATATATTATTTTTTGTATCGTTTCTCATTTGTCTACTGACTGGTGCAGTCTTGTTTACTACAATAGCCAGACGTAACACCAGCATAGCATTTGAATATAATTTTCATTTTAACACGTAGGCTTTCACGACCAATATTATTCATAGTAAAGGTTTTTGGGTTAGATCGCGTTTATTTATAAATGTGTCGTAACCCTCCACCACCCGACACGGCCAATCAGCAAAAAAAAAGTGTCACGTTGACAAAGGACAAATAATTCACTACTTCAGCCCACCGGTGTGTTGAAGAGTTAATCCACATTTACAGTTTGAGTACGACGTTTCGCTGGTAAATACTTCCAGCATCATCGGGCAATTCGCCAGAATGGTAAAGCCCTCGCTTGCTCCCGGTTTTATATAGAGCAGCAGGGTGACGTCATCACTTAACCTGATGAGTTAAGTGATTAGGCCTCTAATCACTGCACCTGATGAGTTAAGTGATGACGTCACCCTGCTGCTCTATATAAAACCGGGAGCAAGCGAGGGCTTTACCATTCTGGCGAATTGCCCGATGATGCTGGAAGTATTTACCAGCGAAACGTGGTACTCAAACTGTAAATGTGGATTAACTCTTCAACACACCGGTGGGCTGAAGTAGTGAATTATTTGTCCTTTGTCAACGTGACACTTTTTTTTGCTGATTGGCCGTGTCGGGTGGTGGAGGGTTACGACACATTTATAAATAAACGCGATCTAACCCAAAAACCTTTACTATGAATAATTTTCATTGTAAGCAATCGATATTTAAAACGTACAATTAAGATGTGCATCATAAAACTTGATTCAAATTAATAAATTAACCTATGCATCATTCATAATAAAGGCTTTTTGGGTTCTATTAAATATAAATTTGTCATTAATCCACCACCAGCCGACACAGCCAATGAGCAAGGTTTGTCACGTGAACATAATGTGCCAATTAGTTACTACTTCAGCGCACCGGTGTGTTGGAGAGTAAACCCGCAACATTTACAATTTAAACTTTGCATCATTGCATGCTCACGATGGACAGCCTTTCATTTCAAAAGATTTAACAGACCCGACGCTCACTCTGTTTTGATGAGCTTCAAGCTTCATCTGGGGGCATTTGCGCAGGTCCCCAGTCATGTCTGCAAAGGTTTGCGGCCTGGTCTGGTTGTCTCGATCATGGGCGGCCAGAGCTCTCACAAGCTGCTGGGCGGCCCACTGCCTGTGCTGCGACGATAGACGCGCAGACAGGCAGCAGGCAGCCAGCGCGTTCGCCAGCTCCAGAGGACCTAGAGTGGGGTTCGCACAGTAAGCAGCCACACTCAGAGGCGACAATGCACCCGCTTCAGTGTGAGGGAGGGAAACGGGAGGAGATGAACCAAAGGAAAAAGCATTAATCTCCAAAAGATCATTCAAATAAGTATTAAGGTTGGATTTTAAAACTTGATGGACCATAAATTGATTTGCATTACACATTTAAAAAAATACAGGTTTGTGACCATTCAAATGATCAGCAATGATATTTAGTATCCATAAGAGGTTTTGGGTTGTATATAAAACCCGACAGCCAAATAGTGAGGGTTGTCACGTAAACAGAACATGCCAATTCGTCACTAGTACAGCACACCTGTGTGTTGGAGAGCCAAGCCACAACATTTACAATCTGAGTATAACATTTCGCCAGTAATTACAACTAGCTTCATCAGGTGACAGCCAGATTTGTGGAGAAGTCGAACTGTTGTTCCTTATATAGAGGCGTAGATGTGGTGACCACACTTTTAACGACATTTATTTATTTACGCCATCTAACTAAAAAAAAACTATTATGCATGCTATTGTTCGCGAAAGCCTATGTGTTAAACTAATATTTAGTATCTCCTATAACAGGCGACTAATTTCAGTTTCATGGATAAACATAAGAAACTATTTGTATTTGACCAGGTAATGCCCACTGAGCTATATAGCTCTTTTTCAGAAGCGACCTGGCCACAATTGATAGCTCAATTAAGTGGCTTATCATGCAGAAATTCATAACAACCAAATACCCTAAACGCATGTTTTAAATAGAGGGAAAAACCGGAGGAGCCGGAGAAAAATCCACGCGACCACGGGCAGGACATGCAAACTCCAAACATACAGGTGTCATATACAGGCATCAGGGTCAGAATAGAATCCATGTCCTCCTGTACACCAGGCGAGGTAGTTAACATCTCGCCAATGTGAAGCCCTTATATATTTATATGTACCCCCATCTCTGCAACCACAAGCATCACCCTGACAATTTCGATACAAAATTAAAACAAGGGTTCTCCAAAGCCATATGTTTTAAATCAAATTTTAATAAATGTTGATATTTCAACAATATTGCTAAATAAAGAAATGTGAGCGACCATTGCCATTTCACTGTAGATGCAGCCTGTGTGCACTCAGCTATTGTGGTTGTGATTGTATAAATTATCGTTATTATGAGTAATGTGACTAGAACTACGAATAATTAGTTAAAGAAACTTATCAGATGAAATAGCTTCACAGCAAGGGTATATAAGAAATCCGGATCACTGCCAATCCCCTCCGGCCACGTTTGATTGTTACGAGTTCCCATGGTGCAAAAGGCTCCCAACAACAACTACACGAATACAACTTATCGTAGATTTTAAGAGAAGTGGTCGAAATGTCCCCAAGCCGCCCTGCATGAATGCCATGTGTTCAAAGTTTAAATTGCTTTAGAATTCACCATGAATATTGATGTGTACTAATGACTCAATTTGTCTTTGCAAAGCATGTCTACGATTGAATAAAAAACTCAAACAGCTACCATAAAAAAACGTTGAGCAAATATGAAAGCAATAAAAAAACCTTTGGCTTCCTCCTCCTTGTCAGGTCCTGGTCTCAGCTTGGCACCTCTTTCAGCAAGAAGGGCAACTAGGGCCTGAGTGACAACAAAGTTTGGTGAGGCCACAGGCTTATTCTCCTCTGCTGGACCACGCAGAAAGCTGGGCAGTCGCTTGCGCTGAGATGGATCTTCAATCATCGCCAGGTTCATTCCCGTTGCTGCCGAAATAAGATCCTAGAATGCACACAAATAGTAACTCATGAATCGGTGCTTATGCATTTCATTTCTAACATATAGTATACTAGCAATCATTTGGATGTGACCACCCATCCATCCGTCCCCCCCAGCCAGCCAGCCGACCAGCCACTTCTTACATAAAGCCCTGTTTCTCCACCTTTCAAATACTCTATCTTTTAACATATCTATTTCTAGCTTTGTGTCTGTATTCCTCTGCCCCCTCTTCGACTTCTTCCTCCCCCTCTATATGCCTCTCTTCTCTACAGGTCTCTCACCAATTCCCGCTTTCTCCCCATCTCTCTCCCCGTTTCTCTCACTCTCCTTATTCCCACCTCAATCTCTCTTGCCTCTCCATATTCCTCTGCCAATGCCTGTCGCTTTAGCTCGCTCTCCTCTTTCCGTTTTGCTCTCTTTCATGACCTTTCACTCTCACCTCCCTCACTCTCTCCCGCCCTCCGCTCCCTCCCCTCCCTCATCTCCCTCTATCAAATGTGCGTGGTTATTCACGGCCTGGGTGGAGGGTGGGTGCAGGGAATGCGTGATGCAAGCACCGAACCCGGCTCATCACTGAGATGTGGCTGACTTCATTACACAGATGTGCGTGGTGACGCCATTACCACCGTGCACGGACACTTGTGCACCAGCCAAAAAGCCAAGCAACCAGGAATCACGGAATAAAGCCAGCCAGAATTTGCTTTCTAATATTGTATGGATATACATGTATAATTTCCAATTTAAAAAAATATATAATACGTATTTCTATAGAAAATATAAATATATTAATATATTTACAATCCATCTATTGCAAAATAAGATGCACTTAAGTAGAACAAAAGGGGATACAAGTGTTAGAAATAGGCGAGAGTTAATTTTTCTTCAATCAAAAAGGCATTTCATTTACATTGTGTATTATCGAGCTACATGCCTGTGTGCACAATTGAACAAGCAGCTTGGCTGCACTGGGGCTGTTTGAAGCGAGGCAGCCGATGGCAGAGCTGAGATACGCCAGGCAGGAGATGGGCTTGTGCATCTTGGAGCTGATGATGCTGCAACCGTCCGGTAGGTGCTCAGGGCTGCTGGGGCTACTGGTGGTCAGGCCCACCCTTCCAGCGGCCGCAAGACACATGAGGCGCACCAACGTGCGGATGTCTGTGAGGCCCAGGGCCTCCAGCCCTGCCGTCAAGCTGCATGCCGAGCCACTACAATCGAAAACAAATATATATTTTAAAAAAAATCACTTCAAAACTAATGCACAGCTATTAATTTATAGCGATCAGTAATGTATTGATAAATTGCCACGGGCCATGATTCTATCCATGAATCAATTCTAATTTGTCTCAAGTTTACCGTTTCATTTGTAATTTCCTGTTTGTTGTGATAGTACAGTTTTGTACACTCCATTAACCTAAATTGAATAAGAATAACATTTGCGTAAAAAACTATTCTTAAAAACTAAATTTGATAGGTCAAATAATAATGTCAACTTAGGAGGTCTTGCAAACGCTTCAAACTTGAAATAAGAATTACTCTTTTGTAAAGTAAATTTAATCTATCATGCATTAATGACTTCTACCATTAATTAATGTCACATATCAATTTTATAAAAAAGTTGTTGTCCTTCCCCTTGCGCATCCGATTAGCACGGTTGGCTACGTATGGTACAAAAGACATTCTACACGCATAATTAACGACGTTAACAATTTACTTGTTTCACTTTACAAATGTATATATAAAATTGCTGCAATTATGTTTAATATACACACACAACAATTATTCAAGTGACTGTATTACTAACAAACATTTAACTGGGTGAGTAATGCTATTTAAGTACTCTATTTTTATATCGATGACATGTGGATTACATCACGAGGTAGAGATCATCATGCTTGGCCTACCACCACTACACACTAAGTGTGTGCTGAAGAATGTAAGCGGGAGGAAAAAACATGTGCTCAATGAACAAATCGGGGAAAGGTTAATTATAAACCTCATAAATAGGACAATTAGTGATACATTCTAAATTGTAAGTAAGCAATCAAATATTTTCATAGGTCGCTGTACATATACTTACATAAAAAACAATGCAATACAAATTGAAAGTTAAAGTAGTGCATGCCTACACAGACAACAATGAACAGAGAGCTCTGATTTAACTGAATATTCGTGGTCCATCCAAAAAGGTTAGATGGTTTTTTAACTCCTGCTTAAAGACGTATTTTTTTATCTTCCTCAGATCAAGTATGCACGCAAGTCGATACATTTTGACAGCGTTTACACCAGCTCAACAAGCACAGAAGTATAAAAACAATAAGTGCAGACAAATACGTTGTATACACAAGGCACTTTAGTTTCTTCCCAAAGCAAAAAAATATAATCGATATGGAACTATCTGCACTTCCCTGATAAGTATGGGGACTTACTGGCCTTTTATGAATAAATCACAGATTATTATAGGCTGCTTATTGAATTTTACGGCAAAATCTTCCCCCCCCAAAAAAAAACTTTCCCTGTGCCCCCCCCCCCACCAGCCACCACCCCACCAGAGATAACCTTTGGAAGCTGCTTAAAATATAATCTCTGTTGCACTGCATCCCACACAATTAGCCTCCGATGCAACCCAATCATTCACAGCCATCTCACAGATGCCGAGTCCAGATTAGTCACTCAAACTAGGCAGGGTATCTTAGGCGAGAAGCTGCAGACAGAGCACCAAAAAATAAAGACTTTATTGAATAAGAAATGCTGGTGTCCAAGAATGTTTATATTAAATTCTACACAACTGGCAATGTTTCCAGTGTTGAGGTCCACAACAGTGTTTTGCTGATATAATTATGCACCCAAGCTGCGAATGGCTCAAATGAGGTCACATCAACTGTGCCTCTGACAATGAGCCAACCACAAATCTGCATATGCGGTAATATCAAGTAGGTTTTAAATTCACATCAGTAATGCCCAGTTTTATAAATAGCTTATTTAAACATCAGAGTAGTTAAAACATAACAAATTTACACAGGTTATACTAGAAAGAGTATTGGCAACTATCATTTGGCCATTTCTACAGATAAGGTTTGAGGTCACAAGAGAGACAGTAACACGCGATAGGTGGATGGAAAGCTAGGAATTGTATTTATTAGTACTCATTGCATCAAAGGCCTATAAAATGGAAGTTTGATGGACTCTGAATGAGGCTAAACTGGCAAATCCAAGAACTCAGCAATATAATATTTAACCAACAACCATCCTGTAAGCAAACATTTTGTTTAAAACAAATTGTACATTTCTAATGTGGATGATGTAACAGAACATTATAGCTACGCAAATTAACCAAGTATGTAACTAGCAATGTCACCCTACCATATAAAAGGCCAGAGGTCAGTTATTAACTTGACACAAACTGGACTAATCCATTGTAGAAGGCCAATGCCAAGATAATATATGCAATAGGGACCACACCACTTGTATAAATTAAAATATTACAAAATTAAAAACTCTAAATGGAGAATTGTTTGCCCACACAGAACACAAGCTGCACATCGCACAACTAACCTGACGGAAAGGAGAGACAGTGTCCTCATGACCATAGTTCGAGCCAGTAAGATCTGAGCTGCAGCAGTCACACGTTTGAGGGCAAGGATGCGATCATGGGGGTCACGCAGAATCACTGCCTGTTCCCCCAGGGACACACGGCTAGAGGTCTGCTTTTCAACGGAGCCCAAGATTCCTGCAATTGGAGACAAACAGCATGAAGGCATCATTACCTGCAGATGTGATTTTCTTGTATTTGTACCAAACATACACACTTCTTACAGACCAAATTATACTGTATATAATTTAGGGTGGTCCTTGTTTAAAATAAGGATCGTGGTAGAGGCTCCGAAACATCCTTCTAATAGGCTACAATTTGAGTTATGCATAATTCAACAAGAAACAATCCAATCGTGAAACATTTTCAAAAACGAAGACCACCATAATATATTTAGGTTTAAAAATGTCAGCCTTGGTTTTTATAAATATTGCCCAACAACATAACAAAAAAAAATAGGTTTCCTGGAAGTGGCAAAAAAACAATGTTCAATGCTTGGATGATACACTGAATAGGAAATGACAGAATAGACCCTTTCCTGTTAGTTCCCAGGGCCCATCACCAAAACAACAATTAAAGGTAATATATTTCTAGAATAAATTTGGATGCATTAATGTTGATAATGAATGTGCAACACATGGGAAATTATTAACCATTAGCTATCCTGTGCATGCCTCATGTACCCAAATATATTCATTTTGCTTCACATTGTGAAAACATAATTGTTAACACACACACACACAATCTAAATAACAAATCAATACTAATTGATGAGGTTTATATGAAAGGACAGATATCAATGTGTTCGGAAATGACGAACCTATCTGCATCAGTGTCTCTTCCATGCCGCTTGTGGCAGTGACCATTGCAACAGAAGCACCCAGGGGGTCACTGTCAGGGAACTGAACTGGATCTGGGACAATCTTCCTCTCATTGAGGCCAAGCGGGGCAGCCAGCAAGTCAAAATCCTCCAGCCCTGTGAGGCGGTCATCCTCATCTACCTCCAGTAGGTCCCAATCTTCTGTAGCAGATGCACACACAACACTCATCTCAATGCCGGTTGGTTGGGCGGTTAATTTTTGCAAGCAATGCCATTGACGCAGCACGACGTGAAAATTATAGCAATCGACAGCAATTATAGTATATTAAATGGTATTTTAATATGAAAACCATTCCCGATTACCTTCATAGAGACTTTCCTGCTTGCCAATTAGGTCCAGAGCTCGACCTTTACCACTGTAATGACAAATACCGATTATCAACGTGGAGAAACACAAATTTAACTCTGCTAGCAACTAAACGTTCTCGACCTCAATCAACAAATTTCCCAAATGGGAAAATACTCTACGTGAAATTATTACATAAAAAGTAATTTTAAATATACTTTGTTACGTAATTATTAGGAGAAATTTGTAGCATCACAGAATGTAAATCTTGCACACCAAGTAGTATTCCGTAAGCAGCATTGCCTATTCTGTTACAGTTTAGCAAAAACATCGCTTGAAGGCAATACAGATACGACAAACTGGTAGAAAAGTCAGACATTATTCATGTGGTCATGATGCCGGATCATGGCAAAATTATGGTACACTATTGAACTTGAATGTAAGCTGTTCAATTTAGACTTATTAACAGCTGACTTAAAGACTCTTAAGAGTTCAAACAGGATAGTATATAGGTGTTTGAGCAAAACTATAAATACCCTTGACTCAAGAAAATGAAATATTTTTTATTATTTTAATGTGATTTCACAACACAAGCACATGGGACGACACTCCTGTTAACTGCCATGAGCCAATGGTGTACGTTTCACATCCATACGACAGAAGCATGGCAATCCAAAGGACAGCCGGTGTTGCGTACCAATGTGGGAAGTCAACAAGTTGTTCTTAACCCACACGCAAGCATAAACATCAAATAACACCGCCGTCCTTGGCCGTTTATAGACAAACGCGCACACTCAACCACGTATAAATAAAACGATCGTGCATAAGAGTTATTTTAAGCCTAAACAGCACGCTACCTTCCTGAGCCAGAGAGCCCCTTTTTGCTCTTGAGAGCGAGGTATTTGGCTCGGCAGCGGCTGCAAAGCAGGTAGTAGGGATTGCCAGTGCCGCAGTCCCCTCCGAACCAGCCATCCACGTACGAGCCGTTGCTGCGGTAGCCCTGCCGTTCAGCACTGCCCCCACAGCCAGCGTGGTGGCGCCGCATGTGTTGGTTGAACGTGGGCGTAGTGACGTCGCACAGCTCGCAGAGGACTTGTTCAGGATCGTCCAGCTCGCGCACGTGCTGCAGAGGCAGACGCACAGCTGTTTTGATGGTGCTTGTGCGCATTTTAACAACAAAAGAGAGAAGGCTGCAGAGTGGTTTGTTTTTCCCAAGTTCTATGTTTTCTTTGGATGTTTGCAATAGCTTTGAAAGCCAATGTTCATGATTATCTCGAACATTTTACATGAGATTTTGAACATTTACAGGACTTAAAATTAATTGTCGACAATACATACACGCTTGGGCCACTAGGTGCCAAATTACATCCTTTTACCAAAGTATAATATGCTGACGCAAAAACAGCAAGTGTTATCACGACAATTTCACACCTTGATACACGTTCAACTTCAGTGGATGGACAAAAGGCTGTGAAATAAATAGAAAGGACTGCTCATACCAGGTGCTTACACGAAAGCTTTTGTGGTGCATTTGCACCTTGTCAGCTTAATGTAGTTTTATTTTCGTTTCATTTGTATTATTTTATTATTTCCCTTCTACGCGACATTACCGAAAGAACCAAAAATACAGCTTAATGTAGTTTGCAATTGCATTACTTTGCTAAGATTTGTCTGTCTTGTGTAAATGAGGTCCGTACACATGTGGTGCCCTTTGTCAATCTACTACTGGATGAGGGTTTCCCCAAGCTATGCCGGGTCCTGGGGGGTTATATGACCGTACTTCACCACGCTGGTCAGTGTGGGATGAAGGCGGGGAGCAAAAAGCATAGAAAACAAAAGCATTTTGATGCACTGCTCTGTGCTGCCCAAGAAGCCCACGAAGCGTTCTGTAACAACCTGGTGGGTTTTTTTTTTACACATGGTGGTCACTCATCCAAATACCATGCAGGATGAACGCTACTTGGCTTCTTAGATCAGATGAGCTCTAACACATTCCAGGTTATTTATTAACATACTGTGCTCATGTATATTTTATTGAATAGCTGTGTGCGGTTGGAATCTCTTTCATGTTGTTATTTAATAATGGATTAGCGTTTCACAAGCAAACGTCCCCCCACATCATGACAGACGAGACTGTTTCGCTGTTGCTCAAAAAGAAACAAGTTAGAGCAATGTTGATGTTTTGAGAGGTAATCCAGAAGAATCAGAAATGATTATGTTGTATCGATTCGCTAAATCAACTGAATGAGTGGAATCAATGCAACAATGCAGGTGAGATTGCAGCAAAGTGGACTGCTATACAACACCTTGGTGATTGTTCCACAAATATAAAGCCCTTTCTATGGCAGCCTGTGGATGGCAACCAAAATGTTTTAATTCCCTTTGCTATAACCTTGGCTGCACTTTGTTACATTTTCTCAGTGTGGAATTTACACTGCAGCAATGCTTTCTTTTATTGGCTTTTGATGTTTTTTTTTTGTGATGAAACCAGCGAACCATGCCAGTGCACAATGATATGTACATCTGGGCATATCCTGCTGATAAACCTTAACATCCACATCATATGCCCATGTAGAACCAAAGACTGAATTTGAACGTGTAGTTTTTGAACTTGGAATAAAAAAAACATGGCACATGATACAAATAATCTTTCGTATTGCAAAATGCATGTAAAAAAGGCATTGTTTAATGTGGGTTCAGGAAAAAAGATATTACAATTTGTTTTGAAATGTTAAGCTATCATATTTTATCGTGAAATTAGTTTTTATTATCGTATTACCATGACAAACAAAATCAATGTCAAATTGTTCATTGTCTTGTAAATGCAATTATAGATTTGCCCGATTTTGTTCCCATACAATAAAATATAAAACGAGAATAGGTTTTACCCTCTTTTCTGGCAACGAAACAGAGATGCCGCAACACCAAGGTAATACCGATCGCCTTTATTTTTGTTAACATTCTGACCACAAGTATTGTGGTCAATGCAGACATTGATTAGCCGAGGTATGCCTAGCTCTGCGATCTTACATTGACTTGCAAATTCCATCTCGAGCCCCGCCCACTTACCCTTGGGTTGTACCCATCTGAAACTTGTATAACCTTTGGCTGCAGTAGCTCTCTCGCTACATTTCTTCCTGCCTCAGCAGTCCGCCTGCTGTGTTTTTTCACCTGAAGACAATTGCTTGTGTTGCGATCGAAACGTCGTGACTTTTTATAATTGTATTTTTCTATCTACGCGACTTTACCGAAAGACCCAAAGAGTAACAAAACAGGTGTTGAGATGTTAAAACACCAAACTGAAACCTTTTACAAGGAATCATGTCTGCATTAACCACAATACTTGTGGTCAGAAAGCAAACAAAAAAACGTACTCTGATAATATATGCATTGTCTTTGAAACTGATTTGGTCCACACCAGTGACAGCTTTCTTTTGAGCCTAGTCTCAAAACGGTGTTAGACCAGAGGGCGCCAAAAGGCGTACAGCACAAAGACAAGCATTATCAGATATGTAGATGCTCACCCCGAGCCCTCATTATTCTGATGTTTGTCTTTGTGCCTTTTGGCGTCCTCTGGTCGAACACCGTTTTGAGACTAAGCTCAAAAGGAAGCTTTCTCTGGTATGGACCAATCAGTTTCAAAGACAATGCATATATTATCACAGTACTTTTTTGTTTGCATTGACCACAAGTATTGTGGTCAATGCAAACAAGTATTGTGGTCAATGCAAACATGATTCCTTGTAAAAGGTTTCAGTTTGGTGTTTTAACATCTTAACACCTCTTTTGTTGTCAGAAAAAAGGGGAAAACCTATTATCATATTTTTGTACTGGCAAAGGGGTCCCATGATGCAAAATATATAACGTTTTGTCATTCGTCAATTGTATGCACACACAATTATATTTTAGCCATGCATAAACATTTGCCATTCACCTAATATCATAACACTGTTAGTAGACACGAGTATATATTCATGCGTTATCGGAAAGGCAGGTTCCTTTGAATTTTGATTAACAAAGTTAAATCTAAATATCAATGGAAGCTGCCTTTTCAATAATTTTGCAATAGCCACTACATTTTTTTTTTACAAAATCTTCCAGACAACCAAAACAATACTTTGAGTTGTCAATAAAATTACGTAATATAATCTTCCCATACGATCAATAAAATCCATTAAAAAAATGTATCTCATTATCTACGATTCAGACTAGGTTTGCTATCCATGGCATATACTGCCGTAGCTGTGAAGTTGACCTTACAATCTCACTACAAGGAAGTTTTGCCAGAAGCCATGTGAAGTGGGGGGGATCAGTATGTTGATTCTGTCACTAGAACACCCGAAGACCGACACCAGCATGCTCTTCAAATTACCTTTGCGGTTAGTGCTCAATGCAATGAGCATATTAACGTTGTACATTAATGTATAAAAACATATACAGGACAGATGTTTAAGTGTTTACTCGAAAACCCTGCTGCAATGCTTTATACTATTTTACAGTATTCCAATTTTAAAAACAAACCATCTCTCATTCATATTCTAACATGGTAATGTGGTTGGTTAGAGGGGCAACAGTATGGGCATGTTAACCTAGTCTATCATCCGTTTAGCCACCAATTCTATTATCTGTAGGGGTCAAACGATCCGTGGTTATATTTGTATCTGTGCATCTCCAACATACAATACATAATTTCCAGCCACAATTAAAGCGTCTTTGTTGCAGTGGTGTTGCTCCTGCTGTAGAATGGGTTTAGGGTCTACTGCAAATTACACTTCATAATGGCCCCTAAAACGAAGCAATTGCTATGTAAAGAGGGTAATTAAACACAAAGGAACCAATATCCAGTTTTTCGTTTAAAAAAACAGGTCAATTGCCACCATTCTTTAGCTGTTATGTAAAAAAATAATTATGGGAGGATGTCTCTATCTATTGTCTATGTTGGAATTTAGGCGAAATTATAATGTCCAGAGATATCATGGCTTTCTACAGCCAAAAATAAGTCCATATTTTCTGGTGTGAAATCACACCAATATTTAAACACTGGAGATTTCATGCCAGGGTCTCTGATACACTTAGTGAAGAATGGCAGTTGATTGAAGCTCAATAAATGTTGTTACAAATACAACTGTTAAAAGGTGCCATGAACAAAATGAGGGGTAGTTAATATTGATTAATTTTTCAGCAGCTTTATTAATTATTAATGGCCAACTCTAAATTCATGAGTTTACTTGTTTATTGCCCGATCCCTCCATATTACCACAGACGAGAGGAGTTTCACTTTATATGGAACAAGGCTTTTGGAGCTGCTTTTGTTTTTGGGAAAAAAAATTGGGGAGTATTATTAATCAGCAAATGCATCTGTATTGTTTTATTTATTGTGCAAATGTAATTAATTAAAATACAACAAAGATGTATCTGCACATTCAGTAACTATTCTATTTGAACTGGAGTAAAAATATTACATTTGCAAACAAATGTGAGTGGCCTACTTCAGCAGTTTTTTCTTGGTGTGTTTGTCCCACCTGATGACGATTGCTTGTGTTGCGATCGAAACGTCGTGATCTATTATGTTTCTACCTACGTAACTTTACCGAAAGAACCAAGGGGTATGGATTCCTGCAGTTATAAAAGCTTCAAACCAAGATTAAATGTGAGTGGTGTTAAAGAGAAGCAAAAAAAGGCAGCAAGCGCTGCAAGCACACACCCAAGTCGGCCAATCCAGTACCTCCGGGAACCACATCCCCAGCAGCTCGCTCTCACTGGCCAGATCCTGACCAAACATCTCCTCCATTGCTTCCTCATCAAGGCTGAGGTCCAGCTCCTCATCCAGGCTCATGTCGTAGAGCGAGCCTTGGTCACCTCGCTGCGGGGCCGTCACGCCCTCACGTGCAAGTGCCCCGCTGTTTGCTGCGCTGCCGCCACCGCTGCCGCTGCCACTCACGGTCTCACCTCGCGCCGAGCGGTAAATGCCTGCTGCAGACATTAGTTCGCTCGTGACCAGCGCAGAGAACCCGTGGCCAAACATCTCTCAATGTGGTGTATAAAAGCTATTATTTGTTTTCTTCAAAAGATAAAGGCAGCTTCTTTGTAAGTCGTGTTCAATGCGTGCAAGTAAATATATGAGATATAAACACGTTGCTATTAAAAAACTCATGCGACTATAAAATAATTCCATCTTCAAAAGCCTGCAACCTGCATAATGAAAGACAAAGGCATTTGTATGGAACAGTAACAATTTCAACTAATCAAAGGTGGGGAAATGATATGCTCCACATTGGCTATTGCCTTAGGTGATGCCCACTTTAATTTTAATAATTTCCAACCAAGGGGATCTATCTAGTTTTATATCTTGTTCATGTTCACATTTGAGATTTTTTGCTTGATAAATTGGATTGCCATTTTTTTTATTTTTACCTTGGGCCAAAGAGACATCTAGTCCCAATGTGCCGTCATCTTATAATAAATAACTTACATACATTGTCCAATCTGCATACACGACATTTTTTCGGACATCCAGCCAATGAGTGCAGCAAAACCAAAAATGACTCCCGTCATACCCGCACGTGCGAGCAGAGTGCGCGCAGCGAGGTTGAGCCGGTGTCTGCGTGCTGGAGGAGGCCTGACCCGTGTCAGAGGAATACCCAGCATGGTGCCTCTCTCCACCTGATCGAACGGACTGCACAGCAGAGCAAAGCATTGCGGTCAAAAGCCGTGTTTAATCAGAATTATACACGCGGACTATACTCTTTATTTGCTGCTGCTCATTGCTTTTCAAGTAGGAACCGTGGTAAAGGAAGATCAGTAAAATATATATATATCCCAAAGAAAAGTCCTTTTGTAAATCCTACGGGCCAACTCTCCACATCCAACAAAACAATATAGTCCAAGTTAGTAACAAATATTTTCATTATAAAACAAGAAAAACGTACAATACAAATTCACCACTCAAGTGCACGGTCATATGCTGACCAATGCAAAAAGCAATTCACATTGGCCATCGGTTGACATCTAAAAAAACGGTGTATTAAAACAATCTCATAAAATTGGGTCACAACAAGGCACACGCTGACCTCTCACTGAAGCCCTCCTCGAGCTCGGCGGTCTCACTGGAGGACATGCCTTGAGTGGTGTTGCGCTCTGCCATTTTGGGGTTTGTGGCAGCAGTTGAGGCCACCCCAGACAAGCCCGGACCCCCAGATGCCCCCGCTGTGCCAGGACTAGGCAGCGATGCAGCCGAGGTGGTCTCCTCGTCCTCCATATATGGGTGCTCAAGCATCCACGTGGCCAGCAGGGTAACATTCTGTGTGTCTGCATCTCCTCGGGTACCTGCACCGGCATTTTTACAAGGGCATAAAAAAAAAAAACCTCACTGGTGCAAAAAAATACAAAAACAAAAGACGAAATCTCAGTTTTTTGCATATCATCCTTTAATCATATTCTCATCATCGGATCCTGTCGTTTGCGGGGGCCGGCAGATACACAATACTTTACGTGCAAATAGCACATTTAATAATCTCATGTCATTTTTCAAACTTTGAGATTCTCTTGCTCTGAAAAGAGATTACTGTGGAAAGAGATTACTCTGGAAGTATGCAAATTGTGATAAGCAGAACATTTATTCTTAAAACGAATGCAGCCAGGCAAGCAATACGAGAGCTGGCATGGCTTCACACCATCTCTGGAATTGGTATTGCAAAAAAAAGAATAGTTGTGGCTTGCAAAACTTCTTCGCCATGAATCCCAGCTTCATTGCAGCATATTTGTAACACGGGATGACTTTAGTTCACAAGAAATACTTATTGACATCAACATTCAATCTTCAGATGCTAAATCAGGAATATATATATGGTGGAATGTTGGATATCACTACCGGTTAAATTTACTAAAGTTAAAATCCAACATCTAGACGGCAGAAACATGTTTTTTTTTTTTCTGTATTTAAATAGTCAAGGTTCAAAAACTACTGATGTGTTTGTAATTAGACAACTGAATGAGGAAATTAGGTTAAATGAATAAAGTTTACCACACAACACATTGGGAGAAATCACTGATGACCCGAGTATAACTTTTATTTGTGCATGCTTTCATAAAATGCAATAACACATTGACAAAAATAATTTCATTAATGGAAAGAGAATGGTCAGTTTGACGGAGCTATAAATAATTCCAAAGATAACCCCGAGCAAGACTTTACAAAAAAAAGTGTGCAGCTGAGTAGTCATTTGCATACATTTTGGCAATCAAGGTAATGATGCAAACGAGATGTAATGAAATAAAGCTTCAGATTTGCGACTGATAAATCAGATGGTGGCCTGAGAAGACAACTCTAAACTTAGAGCCCCGAGGTCACAAACAGGTTGAGCACAGATTTATATCAGACACCCATTACTCTGAGTTTGGATAATTAGAATATTAATATGCATTTATATTGGAGGAATACGATTAGCTAAAAATCTCTTTTTCATAGATGTGCAGCTGGGGTGGGGCAGAACGTTACAACAAGAATTCAAAAATACGATAGGAGTGCAAAGTATAAGAGAAGAAAATCACAAAAAACCATACAAATAAAACTAAACTATTTTTATTTTACCAGGTAAAGCCCACTGAGCTATGCATCTGATTTTTCAGAAGAGATCTGGCCACAAATGATAGCTCAACGAAGTGGTATGTCATGTGGAAATTTATAGCAGCCAAATAATAAAAAAAAATATAAATGATACCTTTACCTGTGGCCTCCATGGCTCGCTGAATGTGGCGCAGTGGGAATCCCATCTCCAGCAGTGGTACGGCAACTGGTGGTGGGGGAGGGGAGCAAGACTGCCGGCTGCTGGGGTCTGATGATGCTGATAAGAGAAGAGCAGTATTCAATATTGGATGCATTCACTCATCCAAATGGCAATGTTTATCCAATTGAGAATTCATGGTACCAGTATGAGCAATAACATTTCACACATATTACTTATTTACGATTTACCTAATACACTATTTTTTTATATTAGGACATACAGAGAGGCGTTTAAATTACCTAGAGTTTATCTCACATATCAAAAACACTGCCCTTAAAAGGAAAATAATAAACAAAAATGCGTATAATAGTTGATGTTTCTGGAAATAGCAATTCTTCTCTCAGATATGAAGGCCAATTTCGTAAAACACTGCCTTTTTCTCTTTTAGAAAAGTGTTATTGACATCTCAGAATGTGTTTAATAGCTTTGCGTTGATTAGGAGTTCTTTTACAACAAAGATGAAAACCTACCTTATAATTTTAAAGAAGGTACTTAGAATTGTTAAGAAACACCACTGCACATACATGCCAAAGAGGTACACAAAACACACACAAACAAATTTAACTCTGCTATTTAACACGTATTGCTATGCAATACAAGTACAAAGATAACACTATTTGCCCAGCCATGGAAAATGCCACATATAAACATAAACATGTTTATACTTAAGCGGTAATTCACAAACCATTGCAAAGTTGGGTCATAAATAAGTCATAAAACGATTTCTGCTCACACAATTTCCCAAGCAAGGTTTTATACCAATGGCACGTGAAGTCAGACAGGAAGAAAAGCCCATGGACAGTGAAGCCAATGATTATGTTTATTTCAGAACCTATGCGAGTGGGGGAGCTCTCACCTGTCCTTGTAGGCTGGCGGTTGTGCTGTGGCTCAGAGGTCGTAAGACTCTGCCGGCGGTAGGTCTCCTCGGACGGGGACGTTGGCTGAGAGCTGGCCGTTGCAGGCGAGAGAGGTGGCGGCGTCTGTGCACGCCGGGCAGGGTGCGGAGGACCTAGGGGCAGCTGGTAGCTCTGAAACGCGGCATTCCTGTTGAAAAGCACAAGTTGGTGAAATTTAAAGGTGGGCAATGACATCGGAACTGCTTACATTATTGATACACGACACATTTCAATGGGGAAAATGTTTCAGCCGCCGCATTTGCTCATATGGATGAAATGTTTTAACGTTTTTCAAATGCAGTTAAAAGCATTTATGCATTCGCTCTGTCCGTAATGAGGGGGAGACGTAATTTTTCTCAGGAAATTGAGCCAATATGAACAATTGAATCACAAAATTGTGCTGCTCATAGAAACAAGAGAAAACCAAAATAGGTCAAATTCATTATGGAAATTCCCAAAAATGGAAGATAAACTCGCACTAAAAGGAACCGCCACAGCACCAGAAGTGATTCGCACCATCCCCATGTGGACCCCCATTATCCAAGACCCCCTTTGTCTGATCGCAGCCAACGGATATACCACTACCTGCACGCCAGGCATGAGCACTACCATTATTAAAATCGGTAGTTTAATACAACTTCAGGACAAAACACACCATGGAAACCGTGACAGAATCCACACGTGTGCAGACGTTTTCTTCATCGTTGACGTGCTCACCGAGCATGCTGCATCATGTTTGGTCCTGGCAATTCAGGAATGAGAGCAGCTTCTGTGTCCGTGACGGGTGTGGTGGCGGTCGTGGTGTCCTCCAGAGAGCTGCTCATGAGGGATGTTGTGCTGGAGCTGGATGGGCTGGTGGTGACTGGCGTCTGTCCAGTCATGGGAGCCGAAGCACCATCTTCTGCATTAAACTCTAGACAAAGAAAAGCAAGCATGGTTAATACAAAAGGCATAGGGTTAAGGAAGCCATCACAATGAAACAAAAAAACCGTGGTTTGAAGGGTAGCCTGTTGGTCAAGTGTTCTTGCCTCTGGTGCTGTCAATACATTATGTCTTTAGTAGTAACAATCCTGCACGAACACGAGCAAATATGCTTACAAACATTGTATAAACATATTCTTGGTTCTTTCAGTAAAGTCACGTAGAAGGGAATTTTATTGTTTTATATATTTTTTATTTTGTTGTTTCCCTTCTACGTGACTTTACCGAAAGAACCAAGAATATGAATCCCTGCAGTCACGAAAGCTTTAAGTCAAAATGTATAAACATGTTTTAAAATTCCATGTTTTGATATATGTAACATCCCTCGAAGCTGAATATTGCATTTCCTACAATTACTAAGAGCGTACAATTGTTTCGGGTTGAATGCATTTCAGGACTAAAAACTCCTAAAGAGAGTAGAAAGGGACCATTCTGGTCTGGACTGCCAATATCAGATGTAATAATCTTCAGCATTATACTTTTCATTGCTGGATGAAAGCCTCCCCAAGCTGGTTCCACATCATTTTCAGATGCAACAATACACCTATAACTCCTGCACATGAGAATATTTAATAGCTCAATCTCCAAAGTGGACACACCTGGGCATGTCCCCTCCTTTGACTGTCACTCTGTGGGGTTAGCTTCGACCTCACTCACTTTTCTTAACAATGTCACTCACTTGTGTATATTGGCCGATCTATGTGTTCATACTTCTGTCTCGGCAATGTGCATATGTATACGCTAATATGAATAGTAAGTGGACTTGGGCAGGACACATCAATACAAGGAATGGCCAATGGGCAAGAATACCAACTGAATGGTAGCTAAAATTAGGGAAAGCACCCAATAGGAAATACACTGCAGAGCTTAAGCGACGAGATGGGCTTGTGTGCAGGTACCACGTGGATTGTTACATTGTGGTACCATGAAGGATGGTGGTTTACTTGGAGAGACCTTGATCCAGCAGTGGACTGAACAAAGCTAATTAACGAAGTTTCTGATCCAGATAATATACACACACACACACATTCGTAAAACGATTACAAATATCACTCTTTAGCATTTTTGCCCATGATGGTCTTCCAATTTCCCATGATGTCATAAAAAGAACTAGGAAAATAACTAATTAGTTCAATTATAAAGCTCTTTAATAAAAAAAAAGTTGATATTTTAAAGAGTGTAGCTTCTTCCGATATAAATACTTCACCTTGTCTGTTGCGGAAACCCAAGCGCTCCTCCAACAATCCTCGAACTGCCAGCTTGTGGATTACAGACTGAGCACGCTCCATCTCACCCAGTGAGATGGCCCACTTGATTGGGGATCGCGACACGGCACGACGCACCACACTGCGCATCAACGCCTGCAGGGAAGCCCTCAGCTCAGTCTCTTCGTGCCCAGACTGGCCTCCCGAGGGGCTCATACCACCACGGTCTGCATTGTGGTTCCCTCCATCTGGGCATGCCTTGGGAACAAGCAGCAGCTCTGCATACCGACCACAGCTTAGCAGGACACTCAATGCTTTCATTGCACCCAGGCACAGAAAAGAAATCTGCACGGCACGAATCTCAGCCTCATGGCTCTTGCATGAATCATGACATTTCTTTTTATGTACTTCAAATGTACTAATGGCAGCAGCTTCTGGAGATTTGGCCATTGGTACGTTGGTGGCTTCCGAGGTGGCCAACTGCTGTCCATCAGTTTGCAGGTCTGCAGCTTTCACTTCTGCACTCTCTCCCCCATCTTCAACCAAGGTTTGCGTTGGCTGCTCATCCAATGTTTGATCGAGCTCAGCTTTCTCCTGGGATTCCTGCTTACGGGGGGGTGGTCTCCGATCGGACCTTCTTCCACCGCTTGAGGGGCCCTTTACACTTTTCCCGCCAGAAAGACCCAAGTCCTCTTGGATTCCCGTGAGGTGAGTGAGGTCCAGTAGCGTGGATGCAGACACACCGTGCAAGCGGCCGGCATCAAAAGGAACCGGCTCGCAGGGCTCCAGATTGGCCAGAGGAGTGTCGCTGGGTGACCAAGAATTCAGCACACTTTAGCCACGTGCGTGTCAGCACATTGATACCAAGGGTGAAGACGGGACAGACAGGGAAAGAAAAAGGAAGAACAGAAACTACACTGTGATAGACAAAGCGGCACAAAAGCAAGATGAACACAATGCACAAAGCAAAATTTTTACATAAATAAATCAAGGAAGACAAGAAGACTGCAACAACAATGTGACGCTTGATTTGATTGTAAAGATCAGTTCAGCATAATGTAGCAACACTGAATGCGCATTAATGCAATGAAAATGCTATGCATGCATTATGGCGGAAAGGAGGCATGAAAATGCTATTTCAGTGATTTTTATAGCCAAAAAGAAAAATCAAACAGCTTACAAGCTGCGAAATAACAGAGCAGTTGCAGTGGGGAGAAACATAAGTGGACACAATAGGAAATGCCATGTGCTACAGATTATGAATTCTGTAACTATGCATTTACAGCTCATTGCACACCAATGCACGTAATGAATCAAAGTGTGTCATGAACTCATAATACTCAAAGACTGGCATTGCTAACATTACACATTAAACGCTTAAAATGAATGATTGGAATGTTTTGTCAGAAGAGCTATCACAGCACAAAGGTTGAACTTTGCCTAAATCAGATTTAAATGATCCAAACCAGAAACGCTTGGTTGCTTGGCATTTGAAACAATGGAAAACATGTTTAACATATTGTCTAGGAAAGCACTGTCATTAGATAAGAGCTTCTCATTTTAAATTGCATTAGTGTTTTAATATTTCAAGGCAACGCCCAAGTAGCACTTAAAATTTAACAAATGGAAACACAAATGTTTAGATTAGGGTGATGGCGAGAGTCTGTATGCATTACACATAACCATTTATGAAAACAAATATTTTTAAAATGATACCAATGTTCCACTTCCATTAAGCACAAACAAATAATTTCAAAGAGGATACATTAATAAAAACTTTTTTAGAACAAAAAAAATCATCTACAAAAAAAAAATACCACCACAAAGGACTTAAACATAACGAGTACCTGATTGTGACCTCCGCATCCTCCCACTGAACCTTGGCAGAGGCACTGCCTTCTTTGAGAACACCCAGCAGCGTGGCGTGACGTCCCGTCAGCTTGTGCACGCAGCGGCCACCGAGGCGTAGGCCGCAGTCCACACCACCCATCACAGCGAGCACGGGCCACACCTCCACACACAGCGTGCGAAGCTGCTCATCCGAGAGCTCTCCGGGGCCGGAGCGGCATTGGCGGTTGGGATGCTGCTGCTGCTGCTGCTGCTCATCAGACGACTCGGTCTCCTTCCCCAGCACGTCCTGTTCCAGCTCGGCACCTTCCTCAACATCTTCTCGGCACTGCGAGTCAGACCTTGGGAGGGTGCGGCCCGACCGAGATTTGCAAACCCTGCAGGGATTAGGTTTCAGTTAAAAAAAAGAGAATAACATATGTAATATTGGAACTGGATTTTTTTCATTTAGAAAATAAACGAAATCTAGGTTTGCAAGAATAACGCGAGCATGACTTTCCTTTATAAATAAATAAAATCCAATAAACTCCTCGTTCATGCTTCGCTGCTTTTTCATCAAATGCCACCCATGCTTGGACCCTTTTTTCCTCTGCGAGCATGCACTGCTGACTTTTTCCGTTTGGCTTCAATATATTAACTTCTCTTCCCCAATTATTCCCTTGCAGACCAACATTTACATTCTACTGTACATCTGTGTATATTTGTTTTCCTCTTTGTAAATACAACATAAATTTTAAGTCCCTATGATACCTCAAGCCTATATATAAAAACATATACAACTCCCCCAATCCCTATTTCCACATTAAATATGCATTTGCCATCTGGCTACCTCCCTCCCTTACAATACACAGTTTGAAATACTATTTTATATAAACATTTGATGGATCAAAACGGTATTGCATTTCTACCATCAACGTGAATTATTTTGTTAAACCAGCGAATCATTGCATAACAGAGCCACTTATGGAGCTGGCAATATGGGTGATCGTTTAATAATGTTGCAACCGAGATACTGACTATTCTACTCTTGGACCTATTACCCCCTAACATTCACACAGAATTGGAAGAGCCTAGACACACATTATCAAATGAATCTCAGAACATGCCTGACATTTCAACCAAAAACAATGTATCATTCAGCACCGTTAAAAAACAATTTACAATATTCTCGTTTCTAAAGTTTTAAGACCATTTCCTCTGAGATTTCAACAGAACTAGCGTTTCAGGCGGCAGCAACACAAACCTGGAGGTGGTAGCTGCAAGGCAGGGCCGCACTCGCTGCAAGCGCTCTGTAAGATGCCGATTGATGGAGTGGGTCCAGCGGTCTGTACGGTGCAGCACTCGAACCAGCTGTACCGTGGCTTCGGACAGAACCACAGGGCCTGGGCTACAGGTGGGGTCACCGGGCAGCAGATCTCGTGGGGTCCCACGCATTTGCATCTCACAAATCTTGACCTGCGAGACAACAAAAGCAAAATTAGGTAGTGCTGTGTGTGTGTGAAATGCACTCAACTTAGGACAGCAGAATGGAGTTTTCATCTGCAGCCCGGTGGTCTGGAAGTCTGCAAACTGAAGTCTGCCGAGCCAGATGGTGGACTAAAAACATTTTTCTCCTCTGTTTGGATACATTTTTCTCCGTGCCATCCATGCTTCCTTCTCAGATTTTTTTTTATATCGCTAATGACAACTCTTATAATTATTTATCAGGAATGCAAGACTTTGCCCACCTTCTCACAAATTACACACACTGTCATCGTGTGTAATTATAATTTGATTCAAGAGTTGATTATTTTAGCCCACTAACTAGTCTAGGTTGCCCATCACTGCTCGAGTGGGTTCAGGGCTCACATCAACCAATTACATAAATAAAAATTAATTATTACACATTATTCTATGATGCATCAAGATGGAAATAATAATCTATTTCAAAATGTATTGATTGGTGATAAATTATACCCCTCATGATTCAAATATTTAAGAACGTGTCGAATAAAGCAACCCACAATGCTGACATGAAATGCTAGAAATCTTTACTCGTGACAGTGAAGATTAAAAAAAACAGTTACAACAATTAATCAAGTTAGTGTTACATTTTAATTAAACATGTCCCCGCTTGCAAATAACATTCAATCAGTTGCAGGTACAGCCATGTGCTTGCAGCCACTTCCATTTTCCCAATTCCCATGTGCTCAATGAAGTAAGTGATGGGTGACATGTGACACCTATTAGAACTCTGAACAGATATTGCCTGGGAATTGTTACAAAACCTGGTTCACACTTGGATGATATTAACAGCAGCACGAAGGAATGGAAATCTTGTATTACGTGAAAGTCACTTAACCGTCACCTAATTTAAAGCGACTTTACATCTACATGTAAACGATTGTTAGTAATGGGAAAAAAACAGAATGCTTTATTCATGAGCACAACAGCCAGTGATCCAAAACTGGCACCAGTAAAAATGTTGCATTTACTATCAGGTCTAAATCACACGCTTATGAGTTAAAAATGCACCAAATTTATTCTGGTGACATCGTGAGCAATTTTACAATGAGTGGCTTGTGTCACAGCACATATTACACTATTTTAGGTGATAATAGAGCTTAAAGATGCATGCCTAACTGGGTAAAATAGCTAAGTAACATTGTGTAAAATGAAAATAAATGCGTTTCATTGAGCAACAAATGCGGGATACACCATATTTTGCGAGCAATCAGATGCTATTGTGTTGGCATACCTAGCACAGCCCTGAAGTAAAAGTGTTATTCTCTTCAACCATAGAAAATTTGAAAAGTTGTATTCGATTATGAGAATTGTCATGCCAAATAAAAAATTAATAATAAAACTGCATGTAAAAATATATCTTGTTATTTCTTTTTTCTATTTAAAATTTTCAAGCATGTACAGACCAATATGAGATGCAGGACTTTACAACATAGTGGCAAACAAAAGCCGCAGCAAAAGTGGATACCACTCTGGATTAGAATGCACAACACTGACCGTGTCCTCTGGTTGCACTTTCCAGACAAGCACACTCAGACATCACCCAAGACAGTGAAACTGTAAAATTTTAATGGTCCACACATATCAACCACTGTGCTCTGTCATATGGTGGTTTCATAAAAAGCAGCCCCAGACCATGATGCACACAATAAAAATGTGGCAACAGATTGCCACTGAGGTGGCAAGAAGACCACTGCATGTTGGATATTAAACGCTGAACTTTTGAAAAGTCACAAAAAATGAGCGGGACTGGTGGCTCCGGGGATCAATGTCATGTAAGAGCACTGAAGGTGGTTCCTGCTGTGATCCTGGGTATATGTATCTGCAATTAAACCAGGTTTTAAAAATACAGCGAGTTGATGGTCTTAGCCCGGTCACCAATGACCATCATTAAACTTGCTTTTTCACTTACATGTGGTTCATTCTAGGTTTGAGAATTATTGTGTTTTTGCCGTTGATTGCCATGCAACAATCTCTCTTTGCAGGGCAAAGAAAAGTGTTGCACTGGTGGAGATAAGATATTCCAAGTTTAACCATACTTCACCCCACTAGTCATTTCAGGCTGGTGAAGAACTGAAAGGGCTTCACCGCTTCAGATATCAGTCGCTACCAATGTTAGCCATGGCGTGAAATCACATTCCGGTTACCAGTTTTATTGTGCAACCACAACACCATCACTGTTCTGACTTACACCCTTTTGAAATTAACAGAGCAATTCAAGCAATAACGAATATGCGAGACGGAATTATTAATACCACCTCACCACAATTGCAATAACTATTCATATTGCAAATTATTCCTAAATGTAAATTCTCAACAGATCTAGGAACTGCCAAACTTGATCCTCGGCAATGGATAATAGAACAAGGTCAGGTGATGCGGTTTTATGACTTATGACATGTATGGCTGGTAGAACAGAGAGCAGTGTTTGTGGGTATCATTGATCTAATGGAGATGTTCATTTGCCTTTGGTAACTGTACGAGATTACGGTCCTACAAACCAAGAGCAGACCCCAAACAACCACCACTTTTAGGAGACTGCTATCATTATTGCCCACCTCCCACAAAATTGACTGGGGGTTGGATTTCAGGAGATGGGCATTATAGATTATGGACATCATAGATTGTTTTACAGCACAAACTAATCAAGGACAAGGATGTGTTAACAAAACGACATTACACCATAAGTTTTTTAATGAAACCTATGCAATTTCACTTAAGCACACATGTAAAATCCCCATGTGGCTCATTTGCTATGTAACTCTGGGATATATTTAATTGCTGCATCTATGTACATTTTATTATCCAAGGTGTTTTATGAACCAAGAGAAAATTAGTGATTGCAGTATACTGTTTAATGTGATCATTGCAGCAATAAGCATGAGTTGGTACTGTATTTGGAATAAGAGACATCAACATTTTTTACCAAGATAATGACTTGCAAATTTTGTATCAGCAACCTTATGATGCATTGTATGATGACAACACTCATTCTGTCATTGCCTAGTAGTGCAAAGGTTTTGAAAAGAAAATCATTAAAACTATTAGCCATGTAATTGAACTACCATTCATATATCCCTAGAGCTTGCCCCATTGGATAAAAAAAGCACTCTCATTTCCCACAAAATGTCAACACAAGCGGATTTGCAAACCATTAGTTGACCAAAAATACAAGACTAAAATGTAAAGTTAAATGTCTTCGAATGGCGACGTCATACATTGCTATTATATAAAGCCACACTATAAAAACATCATTCCCACGAATGCTTTTAAATACAATTGTGCGCACTTAGGTATTGGCATGGCAGCAGTCTGTTAAATTGTCTATTGAGAACAGTCCAACTAATAAGCACTGATAAAACATCTTCCCAAGCAGAGCTAGGTATATTCGAAGTATTTTTATTTGAATACTTACATTGCTGATAACCTTCCTAATGAATGCTAACATTATCAGTTATTGTCAGTTTCACAGAAATTACAATTTGCACAAATTTAACAATATACTGTAATGACTAATGTTCTCTTGGTTCAAAACAGACCTTGGGATATGTTATGCACAGAAGTGCATAAATGAAATATCCCATAGTTATGTAGTAGACTAGTCATATGGGGATTTTACATGTGTGATAAAGTAAAATTCTATATTATCTCTCAGTGCAAACAAAACAGATACATTAAATTAACCATCCCTGACACACCCCGTAAAATTTACATTTGATACAGCAGTCAAGTGTTTACATCATTTTCCCAACTTTAATTGGGCTATTGACATTATAACAAGACAAATAATAAACTTGTAGATCTCAGAGCTGTGTACCCTGTGTGTCAGAATAAGCCGCAGAAACGATTCTATAAAAAATCCTTCAAATGACCTTTAAAAAAAATCAATTTCAGTCGGTCGCATTTTCCAATGCACTCTGAAATGAGATTGTCGCATGACAGTCGGTGACATTTTTGTTTTCCTCAGGAGCTCGAATATAGCCAAATACAGTGCAAAATCAAATTTAACGATGATTTTTATTGGTGGATATTGAGCCGATACCGTCAACTCGCTCCAGTTGAGAATTCGCTTTAAATCGTGGGTGACTAAAACTCATTCGGCTACAAAATCTCAGCAGTGCTGGCTCAGCGCTCTTACGTCTAAGCTACCCTTTCACCTCGGAGCCATACACGGATGCTTTCAATTCCCCTTGGCGTACCTGTAGAATGCTCGAAACTCTGCTTGAGCTGCAGTACTGCACACCACTACACATACTACTTTACTCTCAGGCAATTCAATCCCAGCATCGAAATATACACATTAAAATTACATTTATTTTTGAAGCCTTTCGTAGGGATATTATATAATTTAACAAAGAGCACTAAAATGGTATGTCTAACGGTAATTTTAGAGACAGCTGCCAAAATGTGCCAATGCATCACATTAACATCTTGCAAAATTTAACTGTTTTGCAATTATTTGGAGTAAAGTGTCACTAAAAATTATATGCTTTATATTTTATTAACGGAGTGCACATGTTTATTCTGGTAAAAGTGTCAGGAAAATGAACTGTGAATGCAGACATCCACATTATGACATCTATACTCCCAGAGCAGCTCATTATTTCCCTTGTCAGTAGTGCTGTCAAAAAAATAGAGTGATTCTAGATACCTTTTCACCAGGGTTACTGCTGTAAAACATGATGCATGGGTAGAGTTCAGTCACATCCACATCCTCAAATGCAAGCTTGGGCTCCTGGAAAATAAGAGATGAATGTGTTAAGTGTACAGTATTTCAGAAAAAATCAAATATGAACTGAGACGAAAAATATAAACATCCCATTGGCATGACAGTCTAACCTTCTCAGTGCTTCATTAAAATTAAATGTACCATTTGTCCATGTTTATCTGAATTTTAGCAATATTACCGCATTACAAAGAACTCCCTTGTAATCTCATATTTATTCAGTAACCATGTCATTCGTGGAGACCAGGATCCATCATACTTTCTGTTATCCATAAAACCTTAACTTCACAGCGATCATGATATTTAATCTTTACTCTACGATGCTTTATGGTAAAGTCGGCATGTCGAACTCTGTGCAGAAAGTGACAAATCTCGTGAAAAATGTAAAACAATCATAAAAACGAACAGCCAATGAAGGTGCAGTCCAAAAATTTTCATTTGCTTATGATGTCCCCATCTCAAGGGAGCATAATGGATGAAATCGCATAGGATTAACTAATTTTGCAGGGAATATATACGATAGAGACTTTCAGCAGAAGAGAAGACCCCCTTTGATCAATGTTTTGAACATAACCCATGAGATGACTCCCTACCAATGTGCCCCATCATAGATTGAGAAGGATGTCACATTCAACAATGGGAGAGTGAATGAGGGATCATATTGATATCCCACAGTTTGCTATGTAAATGAGACTACAAGTTCTGTGCAACTCCTCTCATCTATGGTATCAGGGGATCAAGGTGTCAATTTGTATAGAAGAAAATATGCCCTCAGATGGACAATGCTTACTGTATCTATAACTACCCATTGCAGGCACTTCACGCTGGAAAGTAATGGTTTTCTTAATATGGATGAACATTGAGAAACAAAATTGTCATGTGTTGATTGTGGTTCAGTTAGAGCTAACAGTCTGAAAATGAAGTGATTAAAACGGTTTAATGGAATAAGGAAAGGGCAGCAGATAAGGGTATGGCACAAGCCAGGGTTGTACTGTTTCAGTGTAGGATACATGAGGCAGGGGAGCACAGAAGGCGCAGGCAACTTGCTCCGACTTCATTAATGTGCGTGTCTTTATATGTTTACATAGTTTAAGGGCTGTTCTGCTGATTGTGTGCATGACAGTGTTTATGTATCTGTGTGTACGTGTCCATGGGAAATAGGAGTGCAGTCATTTATGCAATGCGATTCCAGTGATGTTATTAAACTCGGTCATTTTACACGACCAAATATGAAATGTGGCACTCAAACCTCTCCATTCTTGCCAAAGGAGATGGTGCGAGCCTCTGTGTCCATTACACACGTGATGAGGTCCCCCTGTGTGAAGCTGGGCAGGGTGAGCGTGTGTTCCCCGCTGTGGTAGAGGTTGCCGCTGTATGCACGGTACAGCCACATGTCTGAAGTAGTGCGGTGGTTAAAATCACGAACAGGCCAGCGGGAGACCCCGACGCATGTCCCCTCATTTCCACGGTTCTCCTTAACAATGAGAAACTGCACAAAACAGTGGGTGGTCAGTCCGGGCAGAATTAAAACAACAAGTGGATCATTGGTTTATTTTTTCTTTTTATTTATAAATGTAATAGTTTATGGCAATGAGAACATTTACATTTCACAGGTCAAAAACATTCAAATGCAATCATTTATTGCCAAGTCTTGACAACCGAAACGTAAGCTTAACACATGTGATCATTTTTAAATGTGTGATGAGGCAATCATTGCCTTTTTGCAAACTGTAAGCCCATCAAGACACTCCAGTTTTTTATTATCTCCGTACCCCTTCTCAGCTCATAAAGGTAGTTTACCATCACATGCACATGATTTTTCCATCATCAACCAAATCACCACACTTCTTCCAGCAAAGGAGAAATATTCTTAACAATGATGGTCTTAAGCTGCTGTTGTAGCCCCCCGCATGTGCAAACCTGCTGTTAAATACCTTCCATTGGTAGCAGCCAGAGGAAATTCCAGCGGACGCTAGGCCGTAACCCTTGCCCCCGCTACCGTGAGCCAGCACGGTACCATTTTCCACCGTGCAGCACATGGTCTTCTCAGGGTCAAAAGTGACCTCTTGAATTGGCAAGTTTTCATCCTCCCCGCTTACCTCTCGGGGTTTGTGCTAAACATAGAAGAGAACGGGGGGGGGTACATTGAAAAATAAACACATTAGGTTTACTTGTTTTCAGAAAGGCATTTCCCATCAATAATATAACAGACAATTTATTATTATTTATTTGCAAAAAGTATCCATTTCTCCACTGAAAATTGGCCAAAAAGTTATTTTACCAAGAAAGTAATCAGGTTCAGCAGATGCATTAAATGGTAACAAAAAATAGATTGCCTTAAAAATATGGCATAAACAAAAATACAGTAAATATAAAAATAATATTCATGCTTTCTGCTGCAAAAATAAATGCTCTACAAACACCAAAATATTGGCAATTAAGTAATAATATAAATAAGAAAATTTGCATTTTTAAAAATTAAGTTTAGACTTGGCTTTCTTAAATCACACAATGCTTTGTTTAATTACCATAAAATTGCTTAATATGCTCATAGCTGGTAATTTGAAGAGTGAAAAGACCATTGCTAACATAAAAAAATAATTCCTGGTTAAAAAATAACTTTTAATTTGTGTCTATACAAACAAAACTTACAAGGGATGTTCAGACACACACTCGTATTCATCTTCTTACACTTTATATAAATGTAACATGATAGGTATGAAATGTATAAACTCGTACAAATTGATAAGGGGCATAAACTTGCAGTAAATATGAAAGCTGACCACCATTAACATTTCCACCATCTTCTTACAATATATATGTATACACATGTAGTACGCTAGTCTCTTTCACAGCAGATAAGCAAAAAATAGTATTTTTACTTATGTTGCACGAAACTATTTACTATTCATCTTGACTGTCAGCCTGTATTCATATTCAATGTGTATTTCACAGATTACATACAATTCCATACACAGCAAGTGGCTATTGGCTGTGGTGCTAAATGGTGGAAAGTAGCAGGAGAATAGCAAAATCCATTGTTGTACTAAACTATGCTCCCAAGTGTACATTCTTCACCTTTCATTAACTAGGAATGACCAGTGTGGTACAGTTTGATCAAATTACCTCCACGACCCAGAAGGCATGGGGAGGCCCTCATGCAGCAATGTGTAGTGGATTAACACGCACATACAGGAGGGAATGGTAAAGACGCGCGAGTTATGGACAGTGGGGGGGGGTTACGTCAGGCCGGCCAGGTGTGGCGGTGGGAAACTGTGCGGTAATGATGGGCCAATTAAGCCAGGGAGCGATGTACGGCTGTGATTGGCTGGAGTTGTCAAGGGTGAGGTGGCGCCGCGATGTCTGGGAATAGAGGGGGGCAAGTAACAGGTGCGGGGGGGGGGGGCGTCGGTGGCACGCGGCCTAATTAATTGGCTGCTAATGAGAACGGGGATATATTCGGGAGACGGGAAGAACGAGTTGAGTTGTCACTGGGTCTGGAACGAAGCAGAGACAAGCAGAGACAGCGAGCGACGGAAAGAGACAGGGACAGCGAGCGACGGAGAGAGACAGGGACAGCGAGCGACGGAGAGAGACAGGGACAGTGAGCGACGGAGAGAGACAGGGACAGCGAGCGACGGAGAGAGACAGGGACAGCGAGCGACGGAGAGAAACAGGGATGACGCAGAGGGACGGAGACGGGGACGACGTAGAGGGACGGAGAGAGACAGGGACGACGCAGAGGGACTGAGACAGAGACGACGCAGAGGGACAGAGACAGAGACGACGCAGAGGGACAGAGACAGGGACGACGCAGAGGGACAGTGAGGGATAGGGGAGGAAGCGGCGAGCAAGCTGCGGCTAAGCGGAATGACGGAGTCACAGACATAATGTGAAGAGTTGTAATAAAAGTGGTGTCAGAGAAAACAAGAAAGTTGTCCGCATCAAGTCGACCACTACAGATGTATAAATACAGTTGGGTCTAGGTATGAACCAATCCATAAAATGATGATGGAACAACAGCATAGAAAGCTGGTGTTCTTGAAATCAAAACATTTTCTTTACCAGCAGTTTGAGCTCAGACTCTCTGTCCTTGCTGGCAGCTGGATGTTTTGACAGTGCCAGTGGCAGCTCCCACATACAGTCTGCCAGCAGCGAGAACAACCGCTCCACAACCTGTCCCATACATACCAAAGCAAAGCCAGTCAGTCACAATTGGCAACAAAGCATCCTCAGAAATACATAATTGATAAAAAAAAAACACACCAGAAAACAGTACTTTGCAAGACATGTTTCCTTGCCTATAACATCTGACAGTTCACCAGCACGGATTCTAGCAAGCCTGATTACTGATGAGACACTGTCGAAACCAGTCAAGAGTTTGTCCCAACTGTGTAAAAAGTACTTTTATATTTTTCTGTGTAGACAGAGATATGTGACAAAGACACATCTGCTTATTGATTATGTTTCAAGGTGGATCAGCATATAAGCATTGTTCCAGCACTAAGACATGTTTTTGTTCTTTAAATTGTGTAATGCAATACGAATATGATGCTCAATTCAACAGGCTTGAAGTCAACTCTCAAAGGTTTACCATGGTGAATGTACAACCAAGTGCTCATGTTCCTGCCTTGGCAGGATACCAGGCAAGTCTCTGGATTCAAGTTTTCAATAAATTACAAATCAAGGATAAATCAAACTTTTCTTCACTTAATTATTTTCTATTTTTGGCATCAATGTAATACACGGTAAATGAAATCACACCATATTACAATCACAACACATTAATCACTGCGACAGGTTTGGCATTGCAGCGCCTGCAATCAAGTGCCTTGAAGGCAAGAGTTGGTGGAAAATGCCGATTATGAAATGTCGAAACCCGCCAAGTAGAAGGTGGCAAGAGATGACGGTATAAAAAAATTAGTTAATGAACCCATGTGTGTGGATCTTTAAATGACATCACCTCACACGCATGGATTTTTCTCAGGTACTATGGTTGTGCTTCCATTCCAGCACTCATGCAACATTAATACTCATTAAGAACTGGCGCTCATAGCTTCACCAGGCACACAAACAGCTACTGAACAACATAAAATGCATGATAATGTACTACAAACAAGAAATCCAAAGGCAACCTTTGCGATCAGTCACCTGTTTAACTCGAACTAGTCATGTCGATTCCTATTTGTTCATTACTAATTAAGGACTTCCAAAAGGGCAACATATTGTATTGTGATTGGGTTTTATATTGGTGCCAGTATTTTATATATATGAATATATATTTACCTCTGATGTACAGTGCTTTCAGATTATCAATTTCAAAGGTGCTTTATTATTATTAATGTGTGAACAGGAATAAGATTGACAAGTCGAAAGTCAAATTTTGATTTAAAGCTTTCGTGACTGCAGTAATTCATATTCTTAGTTCTTTCGGTAAAGTCACGTTTGTTGTTTCCCTTCAACGTGACTTTACCGAAAGAACTAAGAATAAGTCGAAACTCAGTTTACCAAAGTTGTACCTTAAAATGGAACGCTTTGAAACGTTGAAAAAGCCAAGCAACAAAAATGAATCAAAAGTTCACGCTTCGTTTGGCTTACATTTTAGTTCAATTAAATATCTGCGATTTGTGGGCGTGTAAATTACAGCTCTCAATAACAAAAAATTGAGCTTGTGAAAATAACATGTTGCACAGCCCAATATTAGGTAGTTTATAGTTCGTAGGGCATTTACAACAAAATATAGGTGGGGAGAGAAGCATAATTTCCATTCTGTTGCCACACCTGCTGCATTAGCTCCGAGTTGATGACCGATTCGCAGGCGGGAAGGACGGCCTCCAACGTGTGCAGCGCCAGCAGCCTGGTGCGGAGGTTCCCCACCAAGGGCACCCCTGCAGGAAAAGCACCCGCAGCATTCAGAAACGTGAAACGCAAAACTGCGTGCAATTCGTGCTTCTGCAAATGTGCGTACGACCCACAGTGGCGTAGTCTAAACAAACTAATTAAAATACGATAGAGTTCCTCTTCATAATTTTGTCACCCAGAAAAAGCTAGTGGACGAGCACAATTATTCCAGTTACCAGTGGACCCCAAAGGACCTCACAGATGGTTAACCATGAAAACAATTCATTGTAACTCCGGTGACATTTCCAAGCTCCGTTGCCAAATCTCTGTGGTCTCTGGTGACATCCATATCACATTACGTACGACATGACTGCAGGTATCTCCATGCCGGAAAAATAAAAAAACAGGCAATACACAACCCGGCAGCATCGTTAGACACAGGATTTGTTCAACTGATGGCCTCAAAATATTTACTTGTGTGAAAAAGGATTAGATACCTCATAAGGTGTGCTTACTTTGTTTCCGTGTTCAAAATCATATGTGCTGCAGTATCAAACTCAATTGGATTCTACAGCAAACACAGCCAGCTGAGTTTTGTTCCCCTGCAATAACTCTTCCCTCATATCACCGTATAATGCATTCACATTTACCCATCGGTCTCCCAGCATAGAAAAACCATAATGAACACAAAACTCAGTGTAATCATTCGTCATTGATTTGTGGGTCAGATCACGGCACAAATAAAGTGCCAATGTGTTTCGCACACACTCCTCGACTCAACACAGCCAAATAAATAAAGCTGTCAAGTGAACAAACATGCCAATGTATTGTGACTTCAAAACACCAGTATCATCAGGCAGTTGCCAGAATTGTTAAAATCTTCACGAGTTGGGCAATAAAAAAAAGGTGATGTGATATCATCAACATGCCCACTCTCATGTGAGCACAATAGTGGAGTAAAATTCCATTGCAATTATCTTCAGGTCACGTATACAACGCGCTTTTCACAGCTATCACTTATCAGCGTGCACATCCACATAGATATTATGAGGCCACCAGCAATTGATGCCAACATATTCCTATGCATAGCATGGTAGTTCTCACTCTCAGTTAGTGGTCTTGTGCAACTATCATTTCTTAAACTTTTTACATAAACCAGGTTTTAAACGGAACAACAGTATTATACTCGTACGGTGTACTGGATTCAAAATAACGCTTAATAAAAATAAGCCTGCAACTACATATGGATTCAGTTAGAATCGACCATTACAGTAAAGACACATACCTGTAACTACATATATTCAGTTAAGAGTCAATTATTGATTATTGCAGTCAAAAGACACACAACGAATAGTGTGTGTAAGAATGGTTTATATTAAATAAAAATCGGTTCACATGTGAAGGCAAAGTCGGCGCGTCACAAGGTGTCCCTTTGCGTGCAGACCTGAGGGCCGCCTCTGAGCGGCGATGTTCAGGAGCACTTCTGTCCATTTTGGCGAGGCCATCTTGGACTGAATAGCCTTGGAGCACACGACTCTCCGCAGAAAAACCAGGAAGTCCCCAAGCTGTATCTCGGCGGTGTGAATGCTCTTGGGTGTGCAGGCTGCAAAACGGAGGGGAGCACGGATGCATTGTGCGTTACACTTAAATAAACAAACCGCACACGTCGAATCTTTAATATGACTTGCACTCTTTACGCAAACCAGGTTTTTGAAAAGATCACCAGCATTCTACTCTTACGGTGTACTTCTGCATAGAGAATATCATTACGATAAATAATTACTCTAAAAATGCACTTACTTTGCCATAAGTATATTGTGTTAAACAGCAATAACTTGAGGATTTCTAAATAACAATGTGTTGCTCTGAAAAAAGTTACAAATAACATTAAATCGTTCATGGAGGAAATTCAAGTAATGAGAAAAATATCTTGATTTAAAGCTTTCGTGACTGCAGTAATTCATATTCTTAGCTCTTTCGGTAAAGTCACGTTGAAGGGAAACAATAAAATAATAAAATATATATAAAACAATAAAAATTATCACGACGTTTCGACCATAACACACCTGATGACGACCATTTGTGTTATGGTCGAAACGTCGTGAGAATTGTTATTGTTTTATATATATTTTATTATTTTATTGTTTCCCTTCAACGTGACTTTACCGAAAGAGCTAAGAATATGAGAAAAATATCATTTGGAAATTACACAAACACAAAGCGAGGCTGTAAACATTCACAAGCCACTGATGATATAGACAAAATACTTGGTACATTTTGCAATATGGATGGTTACTACGGTTTAATGCCGTTTGAGGGATTCTCTATAATTCCTTCTATTTGTAAGTACAACCGATCCACAGCTTAAAGGCTAGCTGTAGATCAGCTAGCTCTTCAATGTACCTGTAAATTCGGAGACAGGAAAAACATAAAGGAGCCATAGAACAGATGGTACGAAAATAATCTGGGTCTTTATATGTTTTATGTTGCTGGACAAGATGAAGTTATCTAGCTGTACGATTCGCCAATATTTGTCTCATTCATGCTGGTCATTGAATGAACACTAAAAACCATACCCTCATTTGTGAATTCCCAGAAAACAGGAAGACTGCCAATGGATGTAGACAAGATGGTCTCAACAGTGGAGGATGTTTAAAGAAACTAGATCTATGAAACTTTTTTGTGAACATTTCCATATTTTTCCCCAAATGTTTTCCAAAGATACTGTTGGCATCAAGTCAGAAGAATCCATTGAGAAATCTCACAGTAGTGATCCAGTGTCAGAAAAGCTTGTGGGAAGAAATTCCCAAAAGTATTTATCCTGAAAAATCCTTCAAGTGCCCTCTTATCACTATGATACCTCCTTTGCCAGTAGCAAGATATAGTAATAGGCTCTAAGAAAAGCCGTCTCGGGTGTGGACCAATCAATTTCAAGGACAGTGCATATCATTATCAGTTGTCTCTTTTTGTTTGCATTTTGACTGCTTGTGTTGTGGTTATTGCAAACATGATCCCTTGTATAAAGGTGTCAGTTTTTGTGCCAGATAAAAGGGTAAAAACCTATTACTATGCCCTCTTATCATTAACACAGTGGCAGGCACCATTTCCTACAAGCTCTGCTATGACATTCTCACATTAAACACAAACCAATATAATGTTTTTTACCCCCAGAGATGTAATTTCAGCAACCAAATTAAAAACGTGGTTTTGTTAAGTCATTGATGGTTTAATTATGGGCAGCTGCCTGTATTCAAACCCTGCATCTCAACGGTGTCAGCTCAGTGCTCATGACCTCAGAGTCAACCTAGGTTAATTAATTGGGCAGGAGTTTAGTTGTTTTTTTCTTCTTTCTTGATTGAGGTTTTATACGCCATGAAAGTCTGTGGAAATCATAGGAATTTTTTCTTCCCAAATGTTGTTTATTATAATGCATAAGTTGAAATAATGTGATGATGTAATCAAAACATTCCGTAAGGAATAAAAGGCATTCATAAGAGGAAATTCATCACAGTGCATTGTCTTTAGGTAAGCGCAGTGATGCCAAGGGATATAGATTATTACAATGTTAAATTACTGGGTGAGGTGTAAACACAGAGGGCAGTCACAGAGGCACAATTGCAGTCCACTTTGAAAATCCTTCTTCAATAAATACCAGGTTAGCTTTAAAGTAAAGCATATACGTATGTGGGTAAACAGTTGGCAATGCTATAAAAAGAGTTGCATGATAAATTCATGCTTTAAAATACCATTAAAACCACACATTCCCATGAATAATTGATAGGTGGGAGTTGCTAGCACACTGCACTATATGCACCCAGAAGCCTGAGTTTGAGTCCCAATCACAGCTACCATTTGTGGCAGGTTACTATGATCTGGTACTGGGCCACATTTAGCAGCAGGTACAGATTGAGAGTTGTAAACAAAACAAAAACAGCAAAGTCTTCCTGTTATTCGTTTAAAGAAATGGTTTATAATAGTGCAGTTGTCCATGATATAAAAAGATAAGTGATCATAAAAACAAAGGCTTTTCATGGATAGCATTGTAATTACAGTTTCATATCTGTGGTACCATACATCACATTATTTTAAATGAGAGAAACATATATACAAAGTGTCCATTCTCCAATATAATTTGAATTCACTTTTTAAATTACATTTTTAAAGAGAGAATTACAGGACTGAAGGCATATCCAAACTGTAAACTGTAATCCAATTTCATGCACACAAGGATTGTGAGCTATTATGCTCCCGATTGCAAATGAGCAATGTAATTAAAGCTAACATTTCCAATAATTCAGTTTCTTTTTGGTTAGATTGTTTTGCGTGTAAGGCCTTTTTTTACGATAACCGTCCATCACTCGACGGAGCCAATTAAATCAAGCTGTCACATGCGCAAATATTCAAATGTATACGATTGGCTCTGTCACTCGGTGGAGGGTTATAGTCTAAAATAAATTGGCATTATATGTACACAATCTAACGTAAAATCAATATTATGAATCATATTGGTTGTAAAAGCCTACGTATAATATTAGCCTTTCTAATGTTAACTGAAAACTAAAAGTGTCAGATGATTCCAAATTGTAATAGTAACAATTTATAGCCCATTGTCAATCCACTGCTGGATGAAGGCCTCCCCACACTATGTCAGCAATGGAGGTTGTTTGCTGGTAAGTGCAGGTTTGTGAAGACATGGGACTAGGACCAGACCAGTTCACTTGACACAAATGTTCGCCGTAACCAGGATACAGATTTTACTGTTTTTTCCTGGATGTTTCTGTTGCGCATCGTCACTTTAAGATGTTCTTTGTTCATGTTTTGTTTGTTGCGGATGCACCTACGCCAAGAGCCTCATGGCTCACAACAGGGCTATACCTAATAAATGAAACTGAAAAAAAAACTTAAGCCTCAGGGATTAAAGCACAGTGTGTTAACCCATTGCTTCCCCTACATACACAATGTTCTATTTTCCTATGACATATAGCAAGCAATGGTGCTCATGGAATCATTATACTTACATTCGACAGGCACATTATGAACAGTGTCTGCTGCCCATTCTTGCCCCTTGTCAGCACCAGATGTGAACACCCCCTCTGCTTGGGTAAGGAGATTTTTCAACTGGCTACACAGCAGGTCGAGCAACATCTGCACCACTTTGGGATTCAGCCGGTCTGCGTAGGTGCTGCGATAGAAATCAGCAAACCCATATAATTAAAATCAATACAACTTTCCAGATTTACAAGCATGTTAAAATTGACATTTGATGCAAATGGTGCTTCAAGGAATTTGAAGCTGTTGCTCAAGTATGAAATACCCATTTTTCTTCAAGCCGGATGTGTATACTTTTGTTTGTTAGCAAGACATCCTTACCCTGTGGTGATGGCCAGGATCTGCAGCAGTCTGGTGCTGGCAACCTTGAGCGCCGTGCCAATTTGAGAAAGGCCTGGCTTGTGGATGAGGAGCCAAGGCTGACCCAGAGACATGTCAGTACCGCACAGCTCCGACAGGATGCCCAGAAGTCCAGTGGACACAGCCAGCGACACATCCACAGGCTGGTAACGCATGCTCAGTGCAAACACTGTGACGAGCTGTAGACGCTGTTGTGCACCTGATAAAAAAAAATATTGAAAGCATTAATTTAAGTGTTAAGTTACACTTCGTAAAAAGGCTGAAGGTCTCAATTATTTCAACACACATACAATTATTAAACTGCTTAATTATAAAAAGGTCACAACATACAGTTTGATTCCACAATACATCATTATTATTTCTAGCTTTCTACCAATTTACAAAAAGGTTGGGGAGTCCACACCTAACAAAGTCTGCTCCCACAGTATTACATCATCTGACCGGAAGTCTTCCTCGATCACCAACACTACGAATGTCCCTTTCAATGTCCATCTCATTAACCTATGCATCACAATCATGCACAAATGCCAACTCCATTGTAACCTCTTCCTGATTTTCTGAGTAGGCGTCCAATGTTGAACCTATATTCATAGAAGGTATTTTATAGGTCGCTTAATCAAAGACAGCTGTCAGACCCGGATAACAGAACACCATTATGAACATTGCTGTAGAGAATTTAAGAAGGTAACCAAGCACACAATACAGATGCAGATAACATGGTCCGATATTGTAATTGCCATTACGCCCATCTCGAATACCCGTCTCTTAATACGAAAGTTGACCTATCCAGTCTTCCAAAGTGGCTTGCATAGCTCATCATGAAGCCACGCTTCTAAAAGGTCAATTAACTTTTTTGCCCGATTGCTTCGTACTAGTTTATTAGCATCCTTATATGCAAGGGTATGTCAACTACCTCTTCGGGTCCCATAGCACTCTTCCCCTTCTCACTAATATTTCTGTAAGTGCTGCATCTGGCCAGGTTTGAATCATGATTCAAATACTTGACTCACAATAAAGGTTAGAATTTCCACTTCCGGTCAGGAATTGACTCGGCCACATCCAAGATTGATAAAAACGTGCTGTTACTTTACAAAAGATTAGCTCTATCCAATGTCACTACCAGGACTAGAATCATAACCAAATGTTGCAGAATTGCAGAGGAGATGGGGATTTCTGCTTTGTCTTGTTAATGAAGATTAATGTGAAAAATCAGACAAGGAGCCCTTCCCTTTTTCAGGCTTGAAACAGCATCCATATCTAAATTAATAGGTTTTTTTGTTGTAGTGAGAAAAGTAACAGCTGCACAAAATAGCCATGTATATTGTCACAGATGGGACGTTGACATAATTCACAGCTCATGTGATAATGATAAATTGGCTAAAATTATTTCCTTTTAATATTTATATGTAGATGATAGCAATATTTATATTTGTAAGCAGACAGGCTTAGAAACTGAACAGGGCACCCAATTACACACTAGGCCAGCCGGACATCTTTAATGCCTTTATTTTTTTTAGGGGTCAAAAATAATATCCCCATGACTCAGACAGAACACATTACAAAGCTGCACAGTGTACAAAATTATTTGGCACGTGTCATGATGGTGCAAGATCCGACCATGTCCGTCCAGTGCTCGCCAAGCTGCATTGGCTTCCAGTTGCCGAACGAATACTTTATAAGGTCGCACTCATCACACACAAAGTGCTTGCCACAAATGAACCACAATACATTGGTGATCTCCTCAAGGAGCATAAACCATCACGCAAACTCTGGTCATCCTATCCAGCAGCTTTTGGCGAGCCATCGAACAAATACGGTCACTGTATTCCGCGCTTTCAGACGCGTTTCTGCAGCCGTCTGGAATGCTCTTCCTTCCGATATTAGGAAGCCACTGGAGCTATGCACTTTTAAATCTAGATTAAAAAGTACTTTCTTTAGAACTGATTTGTGTCTAGTTTGTTGTCCTTCCCCCGCACCTCCAATTAGCATGGTTGGCTACAAACAGTGGGAAAGAAGTTTAACATACATACAGAAGGAGCGAGGCATTGAGAATAGGTTTTCCCCTTTTTTCTGGCAACAAAACAGGTGTTAAGACGTTAAAACACCAAACTGAAACATTTTACAAGTAATCATGTCTGCATTAACCACAATACTTGTGGTCAGAATGCAAACAAAAAACTGATAATATATGTGGAGAGGCATTAATCGGCACTCCCCATGCTGTTAGTGGGGAGCTTCTCCTTCGCGTCAACAGGGGGCGGAAGTGCGATTGCGCTAATGTAAAGGCCTATGGTCCAAGGGGCCAACAGTAATCCCTGGGATAAGGGATCGTGGGACACAATCCCCAAACCCTGGGAGGGGGGACTGGGGGATGTCACCTTCCAGAAGGTTCTGGAAGGGAGGCGTGGCTAGGGCGGAGCAAGCCACGGACCTGTATATAAGCCGGATCTCTGAAGGGTCCGGCTCAGTCATCTCCAAGCTGAAGATCGAAGACAGAACTGAAAATAGGACCCTGGACCCCAAGCTTCGCTGTCCTTCTAAGGGCCAGAGCTGAGTGAAGCCAGTGGTCAGGACCCAGAGACCTTGGCACGGTCGGGTCAGCGTAGCCTCCCCTAGGGCCCCAAGCCGGAGGGCTAAGAATTAGAGTGGATCCAGTGTTAGGTGGCAGTGTAGCCCGGGGGCCATACCTCCTCAGGTATCGGGTGAAAGGGGCCGTTACCCCTTTGTGAGGGACCCTATATTCAGAGCAGTTAAATAAATATCGTGTTGCCTCAAAGAAGTTCTCCTCTGGTGATTCACCCACTACATATGCATTGTCTTTGAAACGGATTGGTCCACACCAGAGACAGCTTTCTTTGGAGCCTAGTCCCAAATGGTGTTAGACCAGAGGACGCCTTTTTGCATATACTATCAGAGTAGGTTTTTTTTGCATTCTGACCACAAGTATTGTGGTTAATGCAGACATGATTCCTTGTAAAAGGTTTCAGTTTGGTGTTTGAACATCTTAACACCTGTTTTGTTGCCAGAAAAAAGGGAAAACCTCTTCTCATATTTTGGGACTGGCAAAGGAGGTCCCATGATGTGACCAATTCATTGTTATAATTCTTAAGATTTGGTATTAATGCACGAGATTCAGGGGGATGGACTAATTTATCTTTAGATTCATGTTGCTAATGGACAAAATTACGGTAATGGTCAAGGTACGAAGCCAACCATGCTAATCGGAGGTGCGAGTTAGGTTATTTACATGTATAAATGTAATGCTTGCATAGAACTACAGAAAATGTTTCTCTAATTCTGTCTCGAAAACAAAGCTACAACTCCACCTAGTGTTTGTTGCGGACATGCAAGATGGCTTAGTAAAATAAGTTATTTGCAGAAAATTTTAAATCAAAGCAGACAATGGCATCGATTTTGATGTGTTTCTTTTAATGTAATAAACAAGCAACTCACACGTTCTACGGGCGTGACCATCCATCTGTTCCTCTCTGCTGTAGATCCTAATTTATCATCTCGATTTCTCACACTTTCTATTTGTTCTATATTCCTCTATTTTCCTCTGTCCTCTCTTCTACCTCTCCCTCCCTCTATAGTCCTCTCCTCAAATAACAGACGCCTTTTGCCGCTAAATGGCGGTGACATCACCACAACGTTTGTGCTCGGCTAGATGTACTTTGAGGCCACGTGCAGTATCAGGCTCGCTGACAGGTCACGGGACAGACCCAGGTGACTGACAGATGCACAAACTTGTGCTCCCTACTGTGTCAACTTGATGCATCTGCTCAGCGCTCCGCTCGTTGTTGCGAACGTCACTCCTCTGCCTCCAAATTTCCCAAAGCGTGCTTCACTTGCTTCCTCCAGAGGTCGATCTTAACACCGCTGGTACCAGTCATCGGCTTATCCGCTCAGCTCCACATCCTCCTATACCGTATCAGCCCATGCCTTGTGTAGCCCGTGCCATGCCCTCTATCTGGTCAAACAGAAGCTGCTTGGGAATGCGAAGGTTGGGCCATATGGGCTGTATGACCCAGCCAACGCAGCCTCACCTGCTGGAGGAGCTCAGAGATGGAACTGTATCCAGATCTTTCAAGGATCTGTGAGCTACTCACATGACTCAACCTGGTTCAACCCAAGATGAATCATAGGCAGGTCAGCTTGAATGTTTCAAACCGGTGCAGATGTAGACTAGAAAAACTACCTCCACCTCCTCTGCGATTGCCAGTCAATTGATAACACTATGGTATGCTGTGAGCAAGGACATGGGGGCGGGGGGGGGGAACTGATAATAAATTGGCCGTTCCTCTCATGGCATGCTCGCAGCCGCCAGTGACCAATGGGGGCAAGGAGCTGGTAACCCCTCCACACCTTCAATTAAATAACCAAAAAAACAACCTCTCTTCCCTCCACTGTATCTTACCTACTTCCCTCACCCTATTACTCTCCCTGTTTCTCTCACGATCCTTATCCCCACCCCTCCCTTTCCCATCTCAATCTCCCTTGCCTCTCCCTAATCCTTCCTCCCACACAGCTCCTCGTTGTGTTTTGCCCTCTCTCTTTCCTCTTGTTTCACGCCCTTTCACTCTCCCTCCTACCCCTCTCCATCTCTTCCTCCCTCCTCCATATACCTCCCACACTTCCCTACTCCTGTTCATATCTGAATTTCAATTAACGATGTCCATTTCAGCTAGATGACGGTATTTGTTGTGTTTAAGAAAACACATAACAAGTGGGCTACGAGAAAGCTACCATCTCAAGAAGAATGCTGGCAAACAGTGGAACAACGCGATCGTCTAGAATAAACACCTTGTTCGAGACCCAAACATCGCAACCTCCTGGCTTTGACATTCCTCGAAGACACTGGTGTAACCTTCAACTGAATCATAACATCAACAGGCCGATGCACACATCTCCTTCATTAAAAAATGTTGAAAGACAAGTCACAGTGTGATTGTGGCCATGCAACCCAAACTATGAAACGTATCATGTAGAACTTCTTTCGAAACATATGTAGCCAACCGTGATAATCAGAGATGCAGGGAAAGGACAAACTAAACACAAAAAGCAGTTCAAGAAAGTAGTTTTCAATCTAAATTTAAAAGTGCATAGCTCCAGTGGCTTCCTAATATAGAAGGAAGAGCATTCCAGATGGCCGCAGAAGCGCACTGGAAAGCACGCGATGCAGTAACCGTCTCTGTTCGATGGTTAGAGCCAAAAGCCACTGAGAGGATGACCCGAATTTGAGTGATGGTTTATGTTCCTTGATGAGATCAGCAAGGTATTTTGCATGCTAGGAACTCGCCACATTTAACCATGTAAAAACCGTAATGATGTATTTTGTTCAGGAGGCAATCAGGGAGGGATGCAGGATTTTTATAAGCAGTTGTCTAATTAGAGCAGGAAATGTAAACTTCCATACATAGATGGTTCTTTGGTTATTAATACAAATGACACCAACTTCAGCAAAGAAAAATGTTCTAAAGTCTTTACTTCCAGAGGTATCCTATATAGCCTGTTGGGGCAAGTTCTGTCTACGAGCCCCTAACGAGAGCCGGCAGGGTGCGCACAAGAGGGTGGTGTGGCAAACACCACCCCAGGTTCTAATTTGTGGCCAAGACAATCTACGGGAGGTCTAGAACTGGTTCAGAAATTGGATATCAGGTTTGCAGCATGCAAACCACTAACAACCACTCCGCACAAATACAATAAGCCCCCATATAGACTAAAAATATTGTTGTGGAAAGTACTATTTGTAGCGCGCTAGCATATTGCACTGGGCAATCATTTGAGGCCGAGTCGACCTCGGGGAGGCCCAGGACCGATTCAGATAATTGTCAATGTTGATAGCTGCGAGTAGGAATCAAACTCGGGTCGCCGGGTTCAAAGTGCAGCGTGCCAACCGCTACACTTCTGCTCCCCGCTCCGCACATAACATAAAATAACCGTCATTCAGCACTAATTGGCGGTGATGTCACCACGGCGCTTGTGCCATGCTAAGTGCACTCTGCACAAAAACAAACTTTCATGAAACCAATTTACCAATTGGATGCCGGTTGGTCTGCAAGCCACGATCCAGCACAGCAGCGAGATGCTGGTAGATCTTGTGCACCAGAGACTGAATTAATGTTTGAGTATGTCTCTTCGCTGCTGTAATTCCATCCTGTGAGAGTTAATGTAAAGACAAGAATACAAAGTGAAAGTGTACATTTCCGATATTGTATAACATTTTTTACATTGGTGCCTTGAAATAAAAAAAAACATTTGTTTGACATTAAAATTATCTCTTTAAAAATCGATAACAAAAATAAATGGAGATATATAAAACTAAATTATAATTCATAAAAAATGGTAACCCAGGAAAAGCAATTATCAATTGTTCTAATACTTATAAAAGTCTAAAAAATGTGTTGGTATGAGGACTGCTTTCAGTTTAAACACACTGTTCTAAACTTTTCACTACATAAGTTTCAAAAATATTATCTCCAACAATACTAAAATGAGCAAAAACACAAACAGTTGACAGATTTTAAAAAGGACTCAATAGGGTTAACATTTTCCTACCTTACAAATAAAAGAAAAGATCTACCAAAATCGATTTTGATAGATTATACCCCACATACAAAAGGAACACTAAACTTAAGCACTGCAATCTTCGAGCAATATGGATGTGTTGTCACGTGGGCTTGCCTGGTAGTGATGGAGCTGTACGCTGTCTCCCTCCAGGCTGTTTGAGGTGACCACGCCCAGGCCGAAACAGCCGGCAAGAAATTGCAAGCGGACAGACGTTAGCAGGGCAGCCGATTGGAAACCAGGTGACATGGGGGTACCGTGCTCACTCCTCCCTGATGGCTGGCAATCCTTGTCCTCCATCCCAGCAATCAGAGTAAGGATTTGGTGCAATGCCTCCACACGCAGCTATGGAAATAACAAACAAACTATCAATCAAGAATACACAGATACAATTTCTAAAAGAAACAAAACAATAAAAATAGCAATTTTTTAAACAATCCAAGAATGTTTAAACAATATAGGAAAAGCTGTGATTTCGTTACAATGGAATCAATATCATAAAATATAAAATAAGAAAGAGACGTTGCTCATAGCAAATATTAACGTGACTATTTTCTCTGTTCTCACCTTGTAATTTCCAAAAGAATCTTAAGTTTGTATTGTTAATATTTAAGCCGAAATTATGTCCTCATTTGAAAAAGCTGTTACTGACACCACCAACACAAATTCAACCGAATAACATGTGCAATTTATGAGAATAGGTTGTCTCCTTTTTTCTGGCAACAAAACAGGTGTTAAGATGTTAAAACACCCAACTGAAACCTTTTGCAAGGAATCACCTGTTTTGTTGCCAGAAAAAAGGGGGAAAAACCTATTCTCATATTTTCGTACTGGCAAAGGAGGTCCCCATGATGCAGTTTCATCAAGTCACACCTCACCTCTGCTCGCGTCTGTTGCTGCTCCATGGCGATGGCCAGTAGGTGTGGGTTGCTGGAACGGCCTTCTTCAGGCTCGCGAAGGCCAGGTGACTGAGCCAGGTCTCCTGTGATGAAGCCAGACAGGGTCTCAACCAGCGTCTGGCCATCCGAGGGGCGGCCCCGGGCACCAATTGCCTTATCCCTGCCCAGGTAACGCTGCTGTTGTTGCTGCTGCTGCCTGCGTGCCTCTTGCAAGGCGATCTCAGAATCTGTAAAGTACACAATAAGTATATTGCAGTAAAAATATTTATATTCAACCTGTCATACCCATTTCAGTTCAATTTAAAAGAGAGGTAATGACCAGATACACATCAAAAGGTGATCGTCTTCAAATACCGACAATATATAATCACCCAGGAATGTCCTTAATGCTCGTGACGTCACTCCACATCGACCAGCCCCCCTCATTAATATTCATGAGCAGGTGACGTCCTCCAAATGGACACCCCCCCACCCCTCCTCATTAATAATCATGAGCGGGTGACATCACTCAACATCGAACAGCCCCCCTCATTAATAATCATGAGCAGGTGATGTCCTCCAAATCGACACCCCCCCCCCCCCATTATTATTACCTATTATAATGATCCAATAATGCCTGTGTGCATCACAAATGGATGGAATGAATATCATGTCACGGTCTGCTTTTCGCTTGCAAGTTTCAGATTTACTTCAAAACACCCGTCCATGGACGGGCAAAAGGCTAGTTAAATTATATAGATGACAAACATTTGTTGTAAAATGTTCTGCAAAATATGTCCAGGCTAACTTTTATTAATTTTCAATAAACAGTGAGAATTTCATATGAAATATTGTGTATCTGAAAACATCAGTATCCCACCATGCCTCTGCTGAGTAGTTTTAGAAGTAATTTCAGAATCTTCTCTAAATGCACGCTCAGAATCCTGAAAGAACAAAAACAGAGATTTAGATTAGTTATTTTTTGCCACTTAAGTTAATGACAGTAAAAATATATGTTTAATATAGCACAGTAATGGTGAAGGGTCCCAAAGGCCCAACATTGCAGGTTGCTAACAACAAACACTTTTTACGTTGTAATCGATAACAGTTGAAAAAAAAAATCACATTTCTCAAACGGAGGAAGGTTATACGAACTTGGGAAAAGATACGAGTGGAAGGGAATTGCAAAGTAAATCAGTTTGAGGGAAGAAGCAGAAGTGTAGCGATCTGCAGTATGGTGGTTGAATAGCGTATGGATGAGACAAAAGAGTCTGGTAGACCGAGTGCTTGACATGGGTTGAAGAAGAAAATCGTAAAGTTCACTGGAACAGCATCCATGGTAGTAACGATAAAAGAGTGACATGGAGGCAATTGACTGCCAGTGAGCGAGTGACTGGATCGAATCAGTGATTCCTGGATTAAGCAACATGACTTTTAAATGGAATTATATTTAGTATAGTGAGGTAGGAACTGGTGCTCCACCTCGATATATATGCAGCATTCCAACTGTGGACAAATCTGTACTTTTTAGTAAAACAGTTGACAAGTGGCTTTGGCACAAGTAATAACACCAAGCTTTTGCTTTGTTTCATTATCCAAATTAGTAATAGCCGTTTCACTAAAAGTCATATAAGATCATTGTGACAAGCACATTCATGTTTTTACTCGAATCAAAAATAGTATGCTTAAAACATGGATTGGATGAAAAGTGAGACTATCAGCCTTATATGATATTATCGTGAACTGGGATAATTTTTTGTTGTGTCCAGGTTTTTGTCACCTCAATTAAGCATTCTTCAAGTCAGTGATGACTGATAGTGAAGTATCTGCGCATTGGGCATATTAATGTCTATTACTGTCAGCTGGTGATTGAAATGAGTATGATTGCTTGAAGCACTGTCCACAGCAAAAGAGTGGGAGACAATAAGTAATTTAATTAAGAGAAAAAAATCTTGGACACATAAATCCTAGAAGAACATCAGACTGGCCATCATCAGTGAGAAAGTTGGAAATCCTGGCTCGCAGATTAGTGTGCTTCAAATTATGGTAGCTTGGTAATTCGTGTGGAATGCCAGGCACAATGAAATGCTTCACATATACATCAAGAGCTAAGATTACAGATTTTACAAAATGTTTAAAGCTTGGGCCCCAAACAGGAGTCAGATAAGATAAAAGGTGATCCTTTAAACCATGCTTGACAGAACTCATACTGATGATCACTATGAAAGATGGTGCTTATATTTGATGAGATTTAAATATTATTACTGTGACATTACATTTCCAGAGCATGTTGTCAAATTGGCCTTCACTAATTAATTATTCAATGTTACACAAGTATAAAAAAAAATCTAAAATTAGTGGGAAAACAACAAATAACATTTTAGTAGAAATGAAAAACAAATACCCTTGTATATGCATCATCATCAGAATCAGACTCTCTCCTGGCCCGGCCTGGCTGAGAACTGCTCCTGCCACGAGCATCGATGTCCTCTGGTGAAAGTCCTCCTAGGTTGCTACATAAACACAAGAATATATTAATATGGGTATAATCAGGCTATTCATAAAAATATGCTGCTCATAGGAACAAAGAAAATAAGAAATTGTAGATGTTACATGATTAAAAACTAAAATTAAAACCTTGTTTAAATAAATAAAATTATCTACAGCCTTTTGTCAATCCACTGCTGAATGAAGGCCTCCCCATAGTTTACCACAGGTTTGTGCAGGGAGGCCCAGGCCAGTCAGATATCATCTCACCAATGATGTTATCCATGGTCAGGAATCGAACTTGGGTTTCTCCCGTTCATCGCTCTCCATTCCTTATAATATATTCCAGTTGGGAGCAATCAGAAGATATTTATTATATATTTACTTCATGAATACAGACATCATTATAATTACAACACCCTTTATATTTGCTACATATGTATGTAGCATGTATCCTTGTTGAGATATTAGTAAGATAGTCACCCTAAAATGTCATTAAAGTTTCTGCTACCTAATTGTACTTTTGTAGTGGTATCAGGGGATGCCACTGCATGCCACGTTAGGCCGGCCCGTGTGTGGAGCACGGGACATGCTGCTCACACCACCTACAGCACGTCAGTTGTGCAACGTGCACTCCGTGTGCAGCGTCAGCCCTTGGAGGCCAGGGGGCGAGAGCGCCGGGAGCGGCGCAGGGGTGACAGGGGGCGATGGCACTCCGGATGAACCCGGAGGGCTAGTAGCCGGAGGTACTGGGGGTGGGGCGCCCAAAGAGGGGGGCTGGGGGACCCTGGGACCGGTTCCAGGGGCCTCTGGAAAGGTCGGGAAGGGAGGCGTGCCTAGAGGCGGAGGAAGCCCCGGGACTGGGGATATAAGCCGGACTCCTAAACGGGTCCGGCGGTTGTTGCTGGTCTGAAGACATGAAGACGTCCTCCTGAAGAAGAAGCCCTGGGGTCAAGACCAGGACTCTAGTTGGAGTCCAGCTTGACGGCTTCCCCTCCCCAGTCGCGTTAGGGCGAGTTAGTCTGGAGGGACTCCCTCCCCAGTTACCTGGCGATAGGAGCAGCTACTCCTCGTGTTAGCGAATGTTGTTATAATAAACGTGTTGCCTCCAAGAAGCCTCGCTCTCCCTCTGTATCCACAACACTTTGATCAGTACAAAAATGATCTAACTAAGCCAACATGCGTGACAGGGAACTTATTATTTAACAATGATTTATGTTCATGCAATGTTTTTTACATTCTCATCACGAAAAGGTGGTTTTGGCTTTTATTTATATTTGCTTCATTGCTGTACTTTACTTTATTTGCTTCTTGTCATTTTGGTGACCCAGGTCACTTTAAAATTAGGCTATCCTGTTTTTTTCTTTTAGTTTGCATGTAGATGAACAAAATGCACTTGGACTTACCCAATGTAACCACCTTGTCCGGGCAGGTCTTCTTCTCTACTTTGGCAGTCCCTCACAGCGGGGCTCACCGCCAGAATAAGCAAGGCGCATCGCTGGATAACCGTGTTGCATGCCAGCGTGAAAAGATCAAACTCTTCAAACCCAACGCCCGAGCTCTTTCTCTTGGTCGCTTGGCTTGACTGCGGCCCCGCCGACGGTTGGTTGTGGTCCTCGGACTGCTCGTCTAGCGCTGGGGAATTTGAACTTCCACCGCCAAGCCTCTCCCACTCCCTTTCGCGTTCTCGTTCTCGAGCCGCATCCCGTGCTGATAGGAAACATTGAAAAACTTCTGTAAGGTGCACAAAAGAGAGACAAGACATATAATCGCAATTACAGAGCCAACACGTTGTTGGCATGCTCGCAAGCAGGAGACGAATATGGAAAGAGTCAAATTGTGTTATTGCTAATTACCCTACGCCTTGTAGTTAAGCAATCCTATGACCAGATCAACTCAGGATGTGCCCAATGTCATCAGAGCTCCATAGCTAAGCAGGCTTGAGCCTGAATAGTGCTTGTATGAACAACCACAATGCATAACAACAGTTAAAGGACATTGCAGCAAAATTCATTGCTGTACTGTGCAGTAAGTCAATGCTCCCCACATTTACCAACCAGCACTGACCACTGTGGTGAAGTATGGATAACATACACCGCCTGCATTGTGAAGAAACCAAACAATAGTTTCATAAAAAGGGCTGTACCACATCATGATTACAATATGAAATTCAAAACTAAATCTAGTGATCCATTTTGGACAGGTAAACGGTAATGAATCAACGGCAGCAATTATAAAATAAATAACAAGCGATCCTGAACTTTAAATAATTTGCAACCTTTAAATGGCATTCTAAGCTCCAGTAGGAATAATGCATGTTGCTGCTCATAGCTTTATTCAATAATCGTGTGAAATTGACTTTGGTAAAGTGACCATGGCTGCATAATTTTAGATCTCTTGAGACTCATCTTTTTAAGACCGACAACTAGGCAATGAATAATTAGATGAGATTATGGTTTATCAAGTGATTCCGAATTTTTTTTACCATATTAAAGCAAATCTAGAAACAATCCCTGCCTGCAACACCCTCCCCCTCCCCCCTTGACACCACAAAAAAACTGATTTTATTCAAGATGGATTTATTTAAGCATGATGAACTAAGCATTTAATGAAATAAATATTTAAATAAGACTAAGCTGCTGCATAATCAGCACATATAAACCACAATTATTTTTAACAAGGACAAATGAGCAAAACGCAGAGGACAATCAAAAAAGGATAATATATAAAAGAACTATAATTAATTATACTACTAAAATATATATAGAGGTTTCCCTCCCTGTACGGAGCTTAGGTTTGTACGATTTAACGTTTATGCGACAAGCCTATTTCTACCCAAAATGTACGAAATGCGGTTTGAATTCTATCGCATACGACTGCATGGTCAGACATGGGACAACACTGTATTGTATGTATGCGCTACTCAACAGGCAGCTGTCCTGAGAAATTTTGCTTTGTGCTCCATTTTTTTGGAACGCATCTACTACCGCATGAAGCAATCTTGATTTGAAGGTTTCATGACTGCAGGAATCCATACTCTTTGCTTTTTTCGTAAATTCACGCAGGTAGGCATAAAATAAATAAATAAATCGCTCAGTTTCGATCGTAATACAAGCAATCTTCATCAGGTGGAACCACCGCAAGAAAATGCTGAAGTATGCGAGAGAGCTGTCGTGGCAAGAGGATATATAGGTAAGTAATATAAAAAAAAACTTTTTCTTACAACACGCTTTAATGAAATGTACCGTACTAGTAATGGCAGAATTCCACGACTCCAGGAAGTGGCCCCGAAGCTTGCCATAACGTAAGGGGACAGTGGTCATTTACAGCCAACGTCAGTTTACCGTGGACAATTCGACCCAAACCGAAACATAACATATACAAAATAATGTTTTCAAAAATATTTTTTTTATTTTTTATGATAGCATATAGTATTGTCATCAGTATGACATAAGTATACCAAGTTTCCAGTCGATACCACATTGGGAAGTGGGTTAAAATTGAGTTACAAGATTTGAGGATACAACAGAGTGAGTTAATAAAAAGCGTGTAATAAAAAGGGGGAAGGCAAGCGGGGAGAGAGAGGGGGGGGGGGGGGGGGGGTGTGGGGCAGGGGGGCTGCGTGAGCGCTAGGGGGAGAACTGAGGCTGGGGAGGGAAGTGGGCGTAGCAAGAAGTGGGAAGCTGAGATCGAATCTGTGAAGGTCATTCCTGACATGCAATACCCTGGAGTCTACAAACTGAGTTGTACCTGCGGTAGCAGTTACATTGGGGAAACGAAACGACATGTCTCGGATCGTGTTCGCGAACACAAGGCGGATCTGAAACACGGCAGAACAAATACCTCTGCCGTAGCTGACCATTGTTATAACGTTGTGGGCTCGCATGATATTGTTTTTTTCCGAGACCAAGGTACTCTGCAAACCTTCGGGCAACTATCAAAGGTTTGGTCATGAAGCCATCCAGATATAAACGGGCAACTTCCACCGAGAAGATGGATATAAATTGAGCAATCGTTGGAAGGATGTTATTAACCAGGTAAAGCCTTAACTGGTTGTGGTTGTTTCCATCCTACCTACCGTTTACTGTACATTTTTCCTAGTTACCCCCCGCATCCCACACTCAGCTTCCCACTTCTAGCCCCGCCCACTCCCCCCCCCCACCTCACGTCTTCTCCCCCAGCGCTCACACAGCACACCCTTCCCCTGCCCCACACCCCCCCTCTCTCTCTCCCACTTCTAGCCCCGCCCACTCCCCCCGCCCCAGCCTCACGTCTTCTCCCCCAGCGCTCACACAGCACACCCTTCCCCTGCCCCACACCCCCCCACTCTCTCCCACTTCTAGCCCCGCCCACTCCCCCCGCCCCAGCCTCACGTCTTCTCCCCCAGCACTCACACAGCACACCCTGCCCCACACCCCCCCCTCTCTCTCCCACTTCTAGCCCCGCCCACTTCCCCCTCCCCCACCTCACGTCTTCTCCCCCAGCGCTCACACAGCACACCCTTACCCTGCCCCCCCTCTCTCTCCCACTTCTAGCCCCGCCCACTGCCCCCGCCCCAGCCTCACGTCTTCTCCCCCAGCGCTCACACAGCACACCCTGCCCCACACACCCCCCCTCTCTCTCTCCCACTTCTAGCCCCGCCCACTTCCCCCCCCCACCTCACGTCTTCTCCCCCAGCGCTCACACAGCACACCCTGCCCCACACACCCCCCTCTCTCTCTCTCTCTCTCCCCCCTTTTTTACCAATATAACCTCTTGCCACGGCAGCTCTCTCGCCTACCTCAGCAATTTCTTGCTGTGGTTGTTCCACCTGATGAAGATTGCTTGTGTTGTGATCGAAACGTCATGATTTGTTTTATTTTATTTCTACCTAACGTGACTTTACCAAAAGAACCAAAGAGTACGCATAAAGCAAGGCAAACTTGTATTAAAATATGCAGCTATCATTCACATTCATTGTTTGCAAAAGCTAATGTTATAGCATTAGCTTTTCAAAATACGTCTAGGTGTGCGTATTTATGGGTCCTGTGTGAAAGAATATAGGATAAATGGATACTCACTGCCAGGAGTCAGAGTGTCGTCCCTCTCTTCCTCTTCTTCCTCCTGTCCTTCCCGCTGCTCATGCTCACGCTCGCGCTCCAGCCGTTCCTCCAGCTCCGTTTCTTCATCCAGAGTATGAGCAAGGGGCCCATCCTGGCCCTCGTCCTCACCACCATCTGAATTGTACGAGAGCTGACCGAAACAGTAAGATAATGGCAGAAGCAATAAATGCACTCCTCACTAGAGTAACTAATGCTGAGTAAAATTGAATTAGTTCATATGTACACTGCCAGAGTATAAAAAAATATCTCGGAGTTTACGCACGCCACTTACGATTGTTATCTCTATCCCTTCCGCCCACTCACCTTTTCCATTCTCCATGTACATATTTCGTGTGATGTGGTTACCAAATCAAAACTCGATTCGTCTCCCTACCTCAATTTGGTTTAGGGCAACTTTAATCTCCGTGGATGGTTAAGCAAACAGGACACTTCGTCCAAAACCAGGTGGTCTTGATTACAAATGACAATAGAGTTACACAAGTCAGTGGCGTTATGAATCAATTAGTGGCATATGAATCAATTTCATATTATGGTATACTGCAATGAATATGGAATCTTAAAGCCAATATCATTAAGTACTGCACATGGCTATTTACAAAGCTCAAGCCTATCAAGTGGGCTGGTCATCCTTAAAAAAATCTATTTAACTCCATGGGCCTTACCAGCTAAAATAAAGTCAGTCTGAAATGTGCTCTAATTAAGGCTGAAGGGGTATCATTATGCACAATTATAATGGACGCTGAAAAATATATGACGGATCACAAATTAAGAACTACTTATTGGACATTTTCCTGTACATCAGTACCAAATGACATTTAAACCAATCCAACCTAACTGCAGAACTATAAATGTTGAAACTTAAATAAGTGACAAAAGTAAAATATGGTGCACAAGAAATTACATGGCAATTTTACCTTAATGTATTTAAAAGACAAGTTCTTTGAACGTAAAATCATTATGAGATGATGAAAAATTCTGAAAAATTGTATTTGAATGATATTACACATCTTTAACTGCATTTTAATGTCATCGTTTCTTCCATTGGATATAAAAATGGGTGTTACTGCTCTGGCACTTTTGCATGATCACAAAACAAATGACACACTCAACAATGAGCGATTTGAATATGTAGCAGAACAGTTGGAAAACAGACCACAGAATAGGCCATCACAGAGCTACCTTTGAGATCCCTGCAAGGAACTTCTGGTCCAATATTATTCCACCTGCTCCTTCTATGTGTTTAATGTCTGTCAGATTACATTTTTATTCTCAGAGACGGAATTGAGCCAAATTAAGTGCAGAACCACACGTAATGCGATGGTCTGTTTGCAGTCATTGGTGACCAGGCTGAGGCAAACTCACTTGTATGTATGTTGAACTTCTTTCACACCGTAACGTAGCCAAGTGATACATTTGGATCCTGGATCTCAGCGGTGCGAGCTCAGCACTGACCTCAGCCACATAGCCACTTTGCTATTCCTTCAAACGTTAAAGGCCTGTGATATATAGTCAATGGGCCAAAGTTCCTATCTGCTCAAACAAGTTAAAGTTACGTTTATTTTGTTTAACCAGATGAGAACTCAAAAGACCAGGATGACATGCGGCAGCACCTATACGCATTGGTCACCACAAGTGAGTGGGAAAACTCCTGCAGTCCTAATGCAGGAGCCAGTCTCTCTAAAGACCCACCACTGGTTATTTCCTACAAAGTATTCACTTTTCTTTGGTTCTTTCGGTAAAGTCACGTAGAATGAGAATTAAAAAAAATAACACAATAAAATTCTCACGACGTTTCGGCCACAACACAAGTGGCCTTCTTCAGGTGAAAGAAACAAACCTGTCGGGACGACAGAGCTTTCAATCGAAATAAAGTATTCACTCATTTGCTGCACCCACAACAGTGATCAGCAAAGTGGACACTCAATTGATATTTGAACTCGCAACTTCCCGAATTGTAATCGATTGCTCTCGCCATAGTATCACACGGTGTGTTGCATGCGTTTAATGTCATTGCAAGATAAAAGGAGTGATTATTTACAACATAAAAGTCATACCAGCTTCAATCTTTCCGATGCTCTGGAACGCGGATTAATCAGCTCAATATTCCGTTGAGCCAAGAGTCGATTGCGGAGTTTGTAAACGCAGGAGAAGACTTCTGAAATCAGTCGGTTGGGCTGAAACCTGTTTAAAGCACACATTCAGGATTATTTAAAGTTTATAAAATACTGCAAGTCAGAAAAAAATATTTCTAAACTCTTCAAGATCGGCAATATAACACAAAAATATGTACCCAATATTCCCAGTTTTAATTAATGTAACATTTAATGAGGTTAAACAACACTTAATTAATCATGGGACCTCCTTTGCCAGTATCAAAATGTGAGAATAGGTTTTCCCCTTTTTTCTGGCAACAGGTATTAAGATCTTCTTTGGTTCTTTCAGTAAAGTCACGTAGAATGACAATAAAATAAAATAGGACAATAAAATGCTCACGACGTTTCGGCCACAACACAATCGGCCTTCCTCAGGTGAAGAAACAGGTCTATCCAGGAGACAGAGCCCAAGTGGACCCCGTCACGCCAAGACTGAGTCTTATTAAGGCTGTGTGGGCGGAGTTGGATTAGCATGTTACCAGCCCCCACCAGGGGCGGAGGAGGGAGGGGTGTTAAGATGTTAAAACACCAAACTGAAACCTTTTACAAGGAATCATGTCTGCATTAACCACAATACTTGTGGTCAGAATGCAAAAAAAATTATAATATATGGATTGTCTTTGAAACTGATTGGTCCACACCAGAGACCGCTTTCTTTCGAGCCTAGTCTCGAATGGTGTTAGACCGGAGGACGCCTAAAGGCGTACAGCACAAAGACAATGCATTATCAGATTAATGAGAGCTCGGGGTGAGCAGCGACATCATGGCACCTCCTTTGCCAGTACCAAGCATGTGTTTTACGTAAAAAAAAAACTAACTTGTGTTTAATTTAACTTCAACAACATATAAATAAAAAAAACATCAAAAACATTATTTTCCAAAAAAATTCGGAATATTTATCAGAATGTATTTTTGTATGCCAAGAAACTGAATTATAATTTCACAGTTAAATGATGCAAATGAGAGGATGCCTTTCCAAAAATACAAGATTCAGGAGGTATAGAACGCAGAACTTGCATTCTGCATGCATTCCGTGACTGTGCGAGTTATAATCTTGTTTATAGTCCGCAGGTGTGGCTTGTAGATCCGATTCAGAGCGTGATTTGTATTTCGGCAAACTACCATGTTAGTTAAGTCTATATATTGTCAAAAGCAGAAATTTTTTCCAATTTCTTAATACAAGTGGAAACTATTTTGTGTCAACAAATAAAATACAACCTGTTCATTCAGTACCTGTCCACCATATTCTACCACTGATAGAGCAATATGTCACAAGTACCCTTAAAATAATGCAGCTCGCCAAACTTAAAAAGTTTAAAGATACATTACTAAAATAAATGAAGGAAATTAGAGAAAACATGACTTTTTTCAAGTTTCTACATATCCCAATCCAATATTTACTTGACCATGTTAACTTTGAACTCCAAACCGAGCCTTTTGCACGTTTCATTCACCCGCTGAAAAGATGACTACACGTTATTCAAGGATGTTTATGTTACTTAATAGCTACTGTCATAGGCAACTACAGGTGACCCTGACTTGTGACAGCTCGACTTGCGACCCCCCCTGCTTTTACGACCTTTCTTACAGTAATTAAGACCCCCGCAGTAACGACCAAAACTCGTATCTACGAGCACCTCACGACTGCTTCCGACGCCGAGTCGATGGGCGACGAGTCTGAGCATGCTATGCGCATGCCCGTTGCCAGATGGCGCCGCTTTGCTCTTCTGCCATATGCGTATGCAGCGTATAGCCCGACAGTCTGCAGCTTCGCCAAGAGGGGAACGCAGCATCTTTCTCAACACACTTCACTTCCTTATAAAATTTCTTCAAATTTTGAAAAAATGTTCACCTTTCGCTACAACCGAGAACAGTGAATGTGATGCACATGCAAAGTTTTTAATGATTTACAAATATGTTTGTTTTACTGAATAAACGTTGGTATAGGTTATTTTAAGTTACAATAAATGTTTGTTAGGGTTATTTTCATTTATTTTGGTATTTTTATGGCAAGTAATAGGTTTCCAGGAACGGAACCCCAATGTATAACATTGCACCAATGGGAGATGAAGGTTCGACTTACCACGGATCGACTTGCAACTGTCGTCCAGGAACCAATTAGGTCGTAGGTATGGGGGGGGGGGTCTCCTTTACTCAAGCCAATTAAAAAAAGAACTGCTCAAAGGAAAACACATTTAAAATGTAATTCATATCAGATCCCATGGTAGCAAGTGCAGTCTCCAACACTTATCTTACTCTTCCCTCTCCATTTACGTATGCCGAAGGGGCCATTGCCCGAAGCATTGCCAATTACACACCTCTCATTAAGGTCGTGTTGTTATCAAACATGTTGAGTTTTTATGTCACGTGTGCTTGTGCACCACTGCCAACAGAGTATCACCAAATAATTTATATAACGTTAGAGAAGAGGTCATTAACTCAGTGCGGGTATCTATAAATGGTTCGCCCTGTACAATTGAAAGGAAACATTCCCCACATCACAACACAAACGTACCTGTCTTGGCAAGCAGTCTTGAGCTGCCCAGTGTGCTTGAGGAAAGCAGCGAGAGCGAACCTCGACACTGTGTCCAGTAGAGGTTCACTGCTTAGGTTGGAGCTGTCCCAGTCTGCACAACCAACAAATACTATGACGGATGTTCATGAACACATACATTTACAGATTTTATATTTGGCATATAAACAATTCAATTATTACTTCATATATATTTTTAAAACATTAAGGCTATTTAGAATTTGTCATTCATAAAGTAAATTATGCTTTAGGCAAAAAAATGCTAATTTTAATTATTGGCAATGAAAAAAATCTGCAAATGTATGCGCAGTGCTTAAAATGCTGCCTGAGCAAGCGCTGCAGACCTTGTACAAGTCAAACCACTTTCCTTAATTGTATTTCTCAAAAGTAAATACAATCCTGCTGCAGTATTTTTAAATGTCAACATGCAAATGAATATGCGCATTAAGTACCAATGTGAACATGAGCGGGAGTAGGCATAGCATACTGACCCCTGCTCAGTGCGTAGTCTTGCATTTTGACCCAGAGGCTGCGTGCTGGTTCTTTGGTGGAGCCAAGGGCCAGGTCCACGAGAAGGGAGACATCAGCTGACAGCCTGTACTCAAACGGCTTGTGCTCCTCATTGCCCGAAAGTGCTGCCTCCGTCAGAGAGTTCATGCATTTGTCTGAATGGGGGCCACGACAACAGATACGTAAATGCAAAGATCACAGAGTGGTGTTCACTTTTGAAAAAAAAACCTACTGTAACGCAAAGGGAAAAAAAAACAAATGGGTTAATTCCAAAAGAAAAATCAATCTTTAACATATTGCGCATAGCTTCAATAATAAATATATAGTTGTGTATTCTATTATATTTTATGCACATCAAAGTAGAAAATCTACAATTTCAATCTTGTATGATATATATTAATCACCTTCTAAGTTTTGAGACTGTAGTTCTGTAGTGGCAGGTTAAAATTACTATACTGAATTTTGAAAATATCCAATTAAATTTCTACTTTACATTTAAATGGAAATTTGCCATCGTTAAGTGATGTAAATAACTATATTTTGTTGCAAGTTCCCATTATTTTAAGTATAATTTAAATAACGGATAGATTCCAGGTTACTCTGCTGCAGATCCACAAATACCAAGTACACGAGTCATTAATGATGTCGTATAATGGAAATATGTTTATAAACCGGCAGATTTTCAAGAAACGGCCTGAGATTTAGAGTTGGAAAAGGCACTTAAAACTGCTTTTTTGCAAACCACAGATATAAAATACATATGCATTGTGTGGAATTCCACACAATTTGTTTTTAGAGTTTCTGACAATACTTCACCATGCTGGTCAGTGTGGTTTGGTGAAGACAGGGAGCATAGGCATACAGTTCTAGATATTTTCTGCACCACTCTCTGTTACCCACAGGATAGCCTTGCAAAAGCATTGACAACCTGTTTGTAGATGGTGATCACCAATATAATCTTTCAACCCTGGTTCGCATCTGAGACCTGATGAGATAATATGCATTTTGGGCGATTTGAATAAGGAACACTCTACAATATGCCAGACTTATAGAAACAAACTAAACGTTGCTTTTTGTTTAATTAGTTTTTTTATTAAGTTAATGTTATTTGTTATCAAACTGCGTATCCTATGTTAACACATACCAAACTGCACAATGTTCATATCCAGGCCATTACTGAAGAGCAGGCTGAACAGCCAGTGTGCACAGTCCTGCTCCTCTGGGGTGTTTGATGGACCCTGCAGCATGCCCCCGAGGCACCGGCCCACCAGCAGAGAGATGGTCCTCTCCAGGTCTACAAGCCACACCCACACTTGCGCTGGCTGACCCAGAGATGGTCCTACAGGCTCCACCCGCTCACATGAACCTGCCCCACACACACACACAGGCAATGACTGGTGACAGCAGGTTCACTCCAGTGCGACAATGGGGACATTTCAAAACGTACTTTCTGCTTTCAGAAGTTAAAGAAACATCTATACCGTATAACACGTTGGTAAAATTAAGCTAATTTCATGCTTTTTCAGACTGACTACTGTGCCATACACCTTGATGTGTACTCCAATTAGAGAACGTATTCAATATAATCACACACAAAAATGTGTAATCATGTTTATCAGTAAAACCTACCACTCTGTGTGCACGCAACAATATACATGCATGCACACAATCTATTTCCATTATATTTCTGTAACATCAATGGGCCTCATAGCTAGGCTGTTGTAGCACAAACTGAGGCAGTTATGGATGTCTGGGGTTGGTAAAGGAAGCTTGTAAGCCCTTAAGGAGACCAAGCACATTCATGACCACTTATAACTGCACATAGAAGCTCTTCAAGGCTTGTAGCCCAAAAATTTAGCATAATTTTGTAGTCATATTTATTGAATTAGTTTTGTTTATAAATCTGCCTAGTATCAGAAATATATATTTTTTAATCGCACATTATAATAAAAAATAACTTGTTAACTAGGTGCTCTGAAGTAGGGTCCAAAACCAACAAAATGTAATCAATCAAATGAATTACATTTTGTGCACCAACTTATTTCATTATTTCCCCCAACATTTCAAAGCAGACATGTAAAATGAAGTTAGGTAAAAAATATAATTATTTAATGTCTTAGATCATTGACTTTATTTCTCCAAAATATACCTCATCACCCTTATCACCCCATCTCTCTCCCACATTCTCTCTCCACTGATCACCCCATCTCTCTCCCACATTCTCTCTCCACTGATCACCCCATCTCTCTCCCATATTCTCTCCACTGATCACCCCATCTCTCTCCCATATTCTCTCCACTGATCACCCCATCTCTCTCCCATATTCTCTCTACACTTCCCCACCGGATCTGCAATAAAGCAGACCAGAGGGGTCCGCAATAACATTTGGTTTACACCGAGTCACGAACTGCAAAACTTGCAGTGCATCTATAGTTTACTGAAACATATACATACAAGTATTGATATGCAAATCACAACATGATTTTAATTTAACATTGATGGAAAATGCTACTTTTGCAAGCTTTTGGAATTTTATGCAGTGTGTACACAATATATCCGTTCTTATAGGCTTGTGCAATTTTGTCCAAGATGTAGGCAGTGCATTGCACATGAAGGCAATGCAGGTTGTTTGGGGCACAACACTCTTGTGTCAAGTCTAGCAAGTGATGCAAGGTTTCAAACATACAAAGGCCTGAAATGTCTGGTCCATGCCTCATAGCTCCCAAAATGGCATGCAGCAGATGAGACAAATGTATTCATCTACAGTGTACCAGTGGAAAATGGTTTGCCAGGATATGGATATCAAATTGAAAAGCATTTCTTTAACCGATGTTGAACAATAATTAAAATCAACGAATAAAAGAAATAATACAAAAAAAGATTATTTTATATTACCAAATTTTTTCACCGATTTAAAATGCAAAAAATAAAAACCAAATATATTTAATGCAACAAGAAAAGAGAAGTAGCGACACCAAATTTCCACAATACATTGAATGTTATCCGCTGTCTTAGTAGTACAAATGTAGTGCTTTAACAACCTCCTTTATGAAATTGAAAAAATATTTAATATCCTTGGTGAAAGGAAGATTACCAGTGCAAAGGATTACAGGTGACCTTTATCATCATGACCTCACATCAGTCAACTATTTTTAAAAATAGTTTCATGGAAAAAAGCCTCCCTACCCCGTGGAGGTTGTTCAGGCACACTTTACCCCACGAGTTAGTGTGGACTGTAAAGAGGGGGGTCAAGACCAGGTCAGATATTACTCACCACTCATATCAGCCATGGCTGGGAAACAAACTCAGATGACCAACTTAGTATCGCGATGTGAGAACCACTGCACCACGGTTGCACCCACCTTGCATCTATCATCGAAATAACATTTGACTTAATTAATTCCCACAACACGGTCTGATGAAAAACACAATTTGCGTTGAGTCACATTCCAGTCAACTGCATGCACCATACTGCCTCTATCCAGGGTGCGTCTTTGTAGCAAAGATCACCGTACCTACAAAAATAAACTGGGGGGGGGGGGGGGGGGGGAGACATCTAGGAATTGCTGCACCAGTACCATGCATTGGCCACTCCAGCTCTTGCTCCTCGAGTAAATGGGCAGCTGGCAGCAGGCGATTGAGGCGGTCCAGTGGAGGCAGCAGTTCCAACAGATGGCTCAGCAGTGGCCGCACCACAGGCACCGCGAGCAACAGCAGCGAGTTCACAATCTGGCACAGCATGCTTCCCGCTGCCGAGCTATATAATACATCTGAAGGAAGACAATATGAAGCACGACGCTGCGTTATGACTTGTCGGCAATGCAAACTCCCCCCCGTTTGAAGTGCATGCAAGTCAGGATGCAATTTCATACAGGTGAAAACCCTGCACAACATAAAAATCAACACATTTGCATTCGTCCTAGCTTGTATACACAAAATCTTGCATGCATCTCCTAAATGTTTTGAGTTTGTGCAAAAATGTGTGCTTGCATATCCCATATTGTATAAACCGATCGGTTAAAAGATGACGCTCGGAAGGTGGCGAGTGCAAACCATGGCTGAGAGAAATTCATCCCTCAATGGACGAGAAAATTAATTATCACTTTGTCAGAAGTAAACAGTGGTTGTGCTATAGAGATTCGTACACAAACTCTGGCTCAGAGCTGTAAAACAAAGTGATGGGTGTCACCCCTTGCCTGTGTGAATACAAAACAGGTTCGACTTTTTATATGCCAGTAGTTATTAAGCACACATTTTTATACTGGAAAGCTTGGATGCACGCATGCAAATGCAAGTTGCACTAATTGCACATTACATTACTAGCAGCCAACACCCTAAGCTCTACACTCCACTTTTGCAAAAGCAGGCATTTAGAGCTCTGAATGCTGCATTATAATATTGTATGCTAAAGATTATTACACTTTACATGAATTATCAAGAGATGTAGGTGGTGCCAGCCACCATACATAGTTGTGATTTGACGCCAATTAATAAAAAATGTAATGCGAGTTTGAGAAACGCGCAACGTGCAAGAGCCCAACTAATAATAGCAGTCTAATCTTAAACCCTTGTCGCAACTCAGTTCCCACGCGTAGCTGCACATGTATCGAAGTTGCCAAGCGTAGCTGTACATATCACGTAATAATGCATTACTTGAATACCATAAATACCTGCCTTTCTGCCCAGTAAGGCACATTTCCTGTGTTTTGTACAGCATCATGCACTAGTTACATTTAAATAGATATAAAATTTTATTAATTTTCAATTCATCCCGAGTTGTTAACATTTTTTATTGTACATTCTAAACAAATTCAGGATTTATTTGGTGCAATACAGTAAGCCTAGGCTGCACGTATCTTGCTTTTAGGAATAACAAACACATTAATACTAATAACAATAGTAAATTCTAGATTATTTGGAGTAATGGGGGAGGGATGGCAGATAAAACAGAAAACAAATATAAAAACAGGCAAATTAGGCTATAAAAACATATTTACTGTTTACTCACCTAGAATGCGTGTAAAGATATAGAATGTTTCATTATATTGTATTGTTTGCTAACGTAATCATTCACACAGCAGAGCAGCTACTAGTAAGAGACTCAGCTTACTTGTGAAAGGCGTGAATAAGAGTGGATTAAGCCATGTTCCTTGTTTAGCAAGCACAGTTAATCCTCGACACAAAAGAACCAGAGTTAATTGTACAACTTACTTAACTTTATACCATTATACATATTAAGAATTGATAAACAGGAGACTTTCACGTGCACGTGAAAGTCGTAAACTTGGTACCTTTGCACATATGTAGCCAAGCACACAAAACTCCAAGTGAGGAAATGACAACACGACAATGGTCTGTACATAAAAATACCACGTGAGATTCATACCTCTCAACTTGTCCCTCACACTGCCATTGCGGGGAGTTTCCCTCAACAGGGACACCGAGCGTGCGAAGATCTCTGCTGCATGAGGAAGCAGCAGCTGCAGATGTTTGTGCAGGAGGGCCACGCTGCTGGACGTCTGCAAGTAGCACACACGACAAAGCCAGATGATACACAATACTTAGGAGCAGTAGCAAGTCATTGGACAGAATACTCAGTGTTGATGTAAAACCTTCCCCATAGGTGGCTTATTTATTTGCTTTAAAGCAGCCGTGGATTAGCCGTTTGCAAATGGGCTTAATTGGTTGTAAAAAAAAATAAACCATGGAGCACAATATATGACCGTAATCATCTAAACCTGCACAAGGCAGGCATGCCGTGAAATAATGGCCTTTTAAATTGTCATTTTGTAAAACACTATGGTTCCCCAAACATGTGTATACTGTTATAGCTATGCTTGAGGATTACATATGTACTCAATGTACAAACACTGCCAGAGTAACTCATTAAAATTGTGCGAGAAAGCCTACTCCAATTTCATCACTGGCAATGAACCCAACTGAGCATTTTTCCACCAACATCATGTCTTATGCACACGTCTTGTTCATTGTACAGGTGGTTTCATAGCCTGTGAGCTGGCATGTGCATTCCGTGTAGCTACTTCACATTGATGATGGTCTGATTCCCATTACCGGCCAGTAAAACAAAACTAAAATAAAACTAAAATGTACAGTTTTTTTAATAAATCCCCTTTGGTTAGGTCTTCAGGTCTTCCTTAAAAAAATACATATACACTGGGTTTAAACCTGCCTTACAGGATTAAACACCATTTAATTTATATATTCTTAAACAATACTGACAAAGAATGACCACATAGTATGACAGGTTAAGCTCTGACCTCGGCAACATTGTTGACATGGCAGTAGGCCAGCAGCTGCTTGTGAAGGGAAGACAGAAGCTCATGGAGATGGGCAGGTGGGTTGCTGTCGGAAGGAGACATCTCGGCATTCTGCTTGTCACTGTTCTTCTCCAGCTCTCCAAATGCTTGCTCCTGCAGGGAGTATACCTCTATGTTCAATCACAGCATGTTTACAGTCTTTTGCAAAATCCAAAAAGTAGAATCTTTTATATTTTGCATTGCCCAATACATTTTTAAGCATTGCTTGATATAAAAATATGTACAGCCCTTAGTCCATCTACTTGCTCGATGAAGACCTCCTCATTATATTGGTAATTGAGGTTTGATCACCCTTCATTATGCTGGCCAGAGCAGGGGAAATGGGGGGATGATGCCCTCTGGACTGGTTAGGATATAAAATTCGCTATCGATGCTAGCAATGGGGAAGAAACCATCTCAGGTCACCGGGTTCGTAGCACAGTGCACTAACTTCTATGTTACCACTCCACCATTGCTTAATATGTAAAATTCTGCAATATATGTACAGTACTTTTGCACTTAAAAGACTCCGAGTTCACAGCCAGATAATTGGAAGTGCATTACTGCAAAAAAATTCCTCAGTTCATACATACCCATTACCAATATTTCACCAACATACTTCTCATAAATATCTATGCACAGAATGTCAATATTACACCACCATTCCATCTATACAAATTGTAGAGTTTATAATTTTTCAGGGCTGCAAGAAACTAAATCTTAATGCATGTATCAAAACCGGCCAAACCAGTGAATAGTGCACTTACAGCTGGGTTAGTTTCCCAGAGTGGTCAATTCTCACAGCGAACTATTTAATTACTATGCAATTACCAAAGAACTCCCTGTGTTATTCAAAGTTTATGGACCTTGTAAAATCTTTTTGGGCAGTAGGCTGCCAATGTTAAGCCCAAAAACTAATTTGAAAGCACCTGTACTTATAAAATAAATCTCAATGGGCTCTCACCTGAATAACAAATTATGTTTTATGGTCCTATCAGTTATATTGGTACCACAGGAATGTGGAATTTCTACTCCTAGCTGAGGGCTATCAACATCACCCCATATTCTTCGGAGCAGGGTGACACTTGACGTTTTTACCATTAACTATGCTGGTCAATGTGAAGTGAACAGCATTTTCATTGGCCAAAATTATTTGTAAAAGGTTCACGAAAAAATGTAGAGCATTTTTTTCAACGGGGATGGTTCGACATTTGCAACAAAAGTGTGAAGTATAACAGAGTGACGTTTTGATGAGAGGGAAATATCCCTCAAATTACAAATTTGAGGCACTAAAAAGATTCAGGTAACAATTATCCCTTGTGCCGAACATACATTTCCATCACAAAATGCGACTGCTGAAGATCGCATACAAAATTTTGCCTACATATTGTTGGTTCACAGACTCTTCTACATTTCACGCCCCCAACACACCGTGTAGAAGCCCATATTGCGAAGCAGCGTCTTCATCAGCACTTCCGCGAGGTGAGTGTCGGGCTGACCCGTGTGAGGAAGGTCAGTATCTGTGGGACTAGGGCCAGGTGATGGGCCTTCAATAGGGTCTGCTGGAGCACTGTAACCCAGGAGTGAGGCCACATGAGTGTGATCCTGCAAGCTTGTCAAGATTATATCCAGCTGCATCCTCTGAAAAACAAGTCGGAAGAAAAATTAAGTTTTCCTCCAAAAGTAACACCCAATAGAAACATTCTTTGTCACTCGAGTAAATGAGATCTCTTTGGTTGCAAGTTGTAATTATACATTTTCCTTCAGAATGAAGTGGATTCATTCATGTAGTACAGCTTCTGATGAAGCGTTGTTGTTTGTGATGGCTATATTGAAGAAGATACCGGGAATAACCAGGCAGGACAAAAAACAATGTTAATATAAAAAAGGAGGTAGTGTGGATATACAACAGAGATGGCTGTCAAAATTATATTATTTATGCATACAAATTTGAAAATGCCAGGTAAACTATCGCTAAAGTGGGAGTGGGTTGGATGCTGCATATTTGGTTTACTTTTCCACTTGTTTACACACAAAAGCTTCAAATAGTCTCATGACTATTTTTCAGGAGGGTCCTGACAAGTTTTCACAGTAGGGAGTTTATGTTGCTTTCATTAAATTTGAGTAAATTGCAGGTAATGTTTGAGCATTGGGATGTTTAGCCAACATCAATTTATATTCTTAGCTCTTTCGGTAAAGTCACGTTGAAGGGAAACAATTAAATAATAATATATAACAATAAAAATGATCACGACGTTTCGACCATAACACAAACGGTCGTCATCAGGTGTGACCGTTTGTGTTATGTTCGAAACGTTGTGAGAATTTTTATTGTTTTATATATATTTTATTATTTTATTGTTTCCCTTCAACGTGACTTTACCGAAAGAGCTAAGAATATGAATTACTGCAGTCACGAAAGCTTTAAATCAAAATTCAACATCAATTTGTTTGTTTGTCTTTTTTGGATTTGGGAGGAAACTGGAGTACCCGGAGGAAACCCATGCATAAACAGCGGGAGAACGTACAAACTCCACATAGAAAAGGCACTTGAGTCGGCAATTGAACCCTGGTCCTTCTAGACGCAATGCACGAGTGTTACTACCGCGTCACCCTGCCTGCCCAGCAGGATGAAATTACAGATGCCTCGAGCAGCCATGGAAAAACAGCACTCTGCCAAAATAGTCTTGGTTTTGGGTACAGTGAAGGCAGTTGAGTGATAAGGTCGCTTGTGCACTTAATTCGTGCTTTGCACACACTCCAGATGGGCAAACAGATTTTCTAAAATCCTTTTCTATGGACACATAGATGGGGAAAATGCACAGGGGAGGCCTGAGAAATGGGGTGGACACTACTGGATGCGGATAAACTATAGCCAAGGATAGACAAAATTGGAAGTTGGCCATGGACTGCCATTGTGCACCGACCTATTGGTGTCACGAAGGCAATAAGTGATGTAACATTATATTTGTTCTATTGCTTTTGGCTTAGTGGCCAAATGCCCCAAAAATTCGTGGAACTTCCAAACATACCATTGAATGAACCTTCTGAAAGAGAGGTTTGAAGACCGAATTATTATTATTAAAAATGTAATCCTTATAAATATTATGATTGCAAATGTACAACCCTTTGTCAATCTAATGCTGGAAAAAAAAAACTATTCCCTATCCCATGTTGGTCACAAGGATTGTTTGACCATGCTTAATAACACTGGACCGTGGGGCCTGGTAAAGGGGGGAGCCAGGATCGGTAAAGACATGTTATTTAAGCTGGAAGAACCCAACGAGCTACGAAGCTCTTTTTCACATGTGTCCATTCCAAACTGATCGGCAATGGTGAATAATTAGAGATACAGATGTACAGATATGACCGCTCAACACTGTTAGTCATTTCTCAGAACCAAATTCGGGTTTCCTGGTTCATAGTACAGCAGGCTAATATGTAGGACATTTCAATGATTGTGACTGTTAAATGTCTCCAATTTTAAATGACACCGAAAAGTATGCGAAATTAAGCAATATAAAAACACATACTTCCCAGTTGTCTTTACATAATACACAATTTCAAAAAGTAAAGTGTGTGCATAATTTATGATTTCCAAAAAACATAACCAAGATTAAGTCAAATACCAACCTGTCCCTTGGACAGACTCTCCCATCTGTCAGGGCCCTGTGGCAGCAGCGAGTGCAAGAGCTCCATCCTCTCTCGCAGTGGTGGCAGCAGCATGGAGGCACCCACAGACAGGGTTTCAATAACTGCCTGCCATGCACCATAAAAACATGTAATTAGTTTAGAAAACACAGCAACCCATAAGAAAAAAAAGACTTAAGGATTTAAGACCATCTACCCACAGGAAACAGTTAATTCCATATGCCAACCGATTATCCGATCATCCATCTGTTTGGCCATGCTCTATCCACTGATGGAAGAAGGCCTCGCCATAAACTTGCTACTTGCCACATAGCTGCAATGCCACAATGAATCAATCTTGATTCACAAAGGAGCTAGTTTCATTGCTCCATTTATACATTGAATAATGACATTCTATGAAGGTGACTTTGTCCCTAACTACAGCTTAATTAAGCATTTATTTTAAACCATATTGAGCTTGCCAAAATAGTGGAAACTTTGTTCTAGCAAAATTAAAAAGGATCCTATTTACACAAAGTGTTATGCATATAAAAGTCTGCAAAGGCTCATGAAGATAAACTTTGAATAAACATCACCAGAAACAAAGAGTCCACAAGGGTTCAAAAGTTTCAATGATTAAAATTAATGCTTTCCCATTCCAATTACTTTTTCTTTGGATTCCGTTCCGACGACACGTAAACGTCATCCGAAAGGAATCGGAAGAAAAACCAAATTAAAATAATTGAACTGTACCAATGCTACCACAAGACCATGTGCAAGGGTGTGTGGCACAGTTTCGCGCCAGCTATCATAAAGTGCGGTGGTGTCGCGACAGTTCTCTGCAGTGAGTACAATGCCTCTAAATAAAACTAACGCTAACCGCTTGCATATTCCGAGATTCAATGGTGAACAGAACCCACCCTGCAACTTGCAGACGTCTCGGAATGGGAAAGGGTCAATTATTACATTACTCTTCAACAGCAAATGCATTTTTTCTAATATGCAACTTTCAAAAGACTCCCGTTTGTAGACACAAAACAACATCACCTCCTGGATGGAGTCGGGCACAGAGGAGTCCATGAGTCGGAACAGCAGGTTACGCAGGGGCCTTGCCTGCCGCCCCAAGATACTGGTGGCCACCCCACCTGCCATGGCCAGCGACAGGTGGGTGGACAGCAACTTGAGGCACAGCAGTACGAAGTGGTGATGCTCTCTGAGAACACAGCCAAACAGCATTTAAATTCAATACTGCACACCAATGCAACAACACGTGGCACTCATTTGACGAAAGAAAATAAAGACGTTGGATACATATTCATCTTTTTGTAATGCATGTTTTCATTAGAATAAGTGTCCTTTCCAAATGAGGTTTATTTGAAAAATCAGTAATGAAGACAGGTTGGCATTCTTCCAAAAACATATCTTACTCGTATAGAGGATAAAATATATATTTAGGTACAAATGCATTTAGAATAGTGAATAAGTGAAGTCAAAATAAGCAATGAGAATGTTTTACACTTTCTGGCAATAAAACAGGTGTTAAGATGTTAAACCACCAAACAGAAACCTAATGGAACGTCTTTTGGCGTTTTCTGGTCAGACACTGTTTGAGACTAGGCCATAAAGAAGGCAGTCTCTGGTGTGGACCAATCAGTTTCAAATACAATGCATACATTAGCAGAGCATGTTTTTTTTGCATGTTTACCACACGTATGTGTGGTTAATGCAGACAGGATTCCTTGCAAAAAGTTTCTGTTTGCTGTTTTAACATCTTAACACCTGTTTTATGACATTTAAATAAAAAAATGATAATCGAAATAAGCAGCTTGTGATAGATTCCATCCAAATACAGTTACAACCAGGAGGAGGTTACTACCGTGCATTACTCAAATTGTTAAAAGGAAAAGAAGGCCAATTAGGATTCAAATAAAGTTATTTTTCCTATCTTTTGACGAAAACCCTATATGTGACGAAAGCTTTTGCAACAAAGTTTGTTTTTACCTAGAGAGATGTTATTATAAGTGATACGTATATGTTTTTAAAAACGGAGTATTATATTACGACGTGCATATTTTGATAGGTAATTGAATATTCCATAGGAAGAAAAAAAAACTTGGTAATTTCCGTCATTTATAACAACCACACAGCAACAGCCGAATCAATTGGCTTTACACGTTTGTCAGAATGTTACCGATCGATGCTCTTCAATCAAAATGTAATGCATTTACCTTGATGTAGGAAAAGGAGTGGGTGGAACATCGCTGTTGATGCGGTCGTAGTAGTGCTCCAAGAAGGAGCGCAGGTGTGAGAAGGTGCTTTCCTCCAGGTCCACGCAAAATGGTCGGTGCCAGGCCACCACTTGCCTGATGGTTCAGAAGCTATGATCATTAAATGAATGCATTATAGAGTACTTTCGTGTTATATTTGAACAATCGATGTAGAACAAACTATGGCTAATTAAAATGATCCCATTTACTCGCCAGAACAATTATTCACAATTTAGCATAAAGCATGCTGCTGGGCTGTTTTCCAAAAGAAAGTGGCTATAAACTAGATGCTTTAAATTTTCTGAACACCAAATGTATACACGGTAAATGTATCGAGTGTCAAACGTAATTGTGGTCCAAGCAGTTGAACGCAGCACGATACCTACATTTTCAGGACCCTGTAGTTGTTCCTATACCTTCCATTTCGATTACGAATGTAAAAATGTACCCAAACATTATAGTGAGGGAAAAAAGTATTTGATCCCCTGCTGATTTTGTATGTTTGCCCACTGACAAAGAAATGATCAGTCTATAATTTTAATGGTAGGTTTATTTGAACAGTGAGAGACAGAATAACAACAACAAAAATCCAGAAAAACGCATGTCAAAAATGTTATAAATTGATTTGCATTTTAATGAGGGAAATAAGTATTTGACCCACTCTCAATCAGATTTCTGGCTCCCAGGTGTCTTTTATACAGGTAACGAGCTGAGATAAGGAGCACACTGTTAAAGGGAGTGCTCCTAATCTCAGCTTGTTAGCTGTATAAAAGACACCTGTCCACAGAAGCAATCAATCAATCAATCAGATTCCAAACTCTCCACCATGGCCAAGACCAAAGAGCTCTCCAAGGATGTCAGGGACAAGATTGTAGACCTACACAAGGCTGGAATGAGCTACAAGACCATTGCCAAGCAGCTTGGTGAGAAGGTGACAACAGTTGGTGCAATTATTCACAAATGGAAGAAACACAAAATAACTGTCAATCTCCCTCAGCCTGGGGCTCCATGCAAGATCTCACCTCGTTGAGATGCAATGATCATGAGAACGGTGAGGAATCAGCCCAGAACTACACGGGAGGATATTGTCAATGCTGCATATGACCCCAAGAAGACCATCCCCACCGTCAAACATGGAGGTGGAAACATTATGCTTTGGGGGTGTTTTCTGCTAAGGGGACAGGACAACTTCACCGCATCAAAGGGACGATGGACGGGGCCATGTACCGTCAAATCTTGGGTGAGAACCTCCTTCCCTCAGCCAGGGCATTGAAAATGGGTCATGGATGGGTATTCCAGCATGACAATGACCCAAAACACACGGCCAAGGCAACAAAGGAGTGGCTTAAGAAGAAGCACATTAAGGTCCTGGAGTGGCCTAGCCAGTCTCCAGACCTTAATCCCATAAAAAAAAATCTGTGGAGGGAGCTGAAGGTTCGAGTTGCCAAACGTCAGCCTCAAAACCTTAATGACTTGGAGAAGATCTGCAAAGAGGAGTGGGACAAAATCCCTCCTGAGATGTGTGCAAACCTGGTGGCCAACTACAAGAAACGTCTGACCTCTGTGATTGCCAACAAGGGTTTTGCCACCAAGTACTAAGTCATGTTTTGCAGAGGGGTCAAATACTTATTTCCCTCATTAAAATGCAAATCAATTTATAACATTTTTGACATGCGTTTTTCTGGATTTTTTTGTTGTTATTCTGTCTCTCACTGTTCAAATAAACCTACCATTAAAATTATAGACTGATCATTTCTTTGTCGGTGGGCAAACGTACAAAATCAGCAGGGAATCAAATACTTTTCCCCTCACTGTATTTTATTAATATAGTGTATGGCTAAAATGAATGCTTTATAGACTTCCATCGCAACACATAAAGCAAATGTAAGAAATTATTTTTAAAAACTTGACAGGTCACAAAAATAACAAGTAATCGCCTAACAGTTAAACCTCAAGATAATACCGGTCTGTTGGCAGAGCAGTCCATGCCAAGCTGTGCGAGGTGCCAGCTGAGATCTGCTGTACAGAAATCCCATCCATGCCCATCACCTTCTTGGGCTTGGTCACAGGGCTGGTTGAATGCCCTTGCCCGCACTGTCCCATGGAGTTGTTACCCCATGCGTACACTTCGTTATCTGTCAAGCACCGCACCACACAAGGATTAATTTTGAATGTCAGTCAGGTAAATGTAATTTTGCTGAACACATGGCACCTTCCTGGAACAAATCTGAAAGTGAAAATAACTAACACAATTGTACAAATGAAAGTCGATCTGCTTTAAAACAATGTAAATACATGTATAAAATCAAAGTTCATGACAATAATGCAAAAGATTTACACAGGAAAACTTGAATTCGTCTGGAGTCTTTCAGAAGGGTCGTACTTTGGGATGGGTATGTTTTTTTTCCTCGAATGCATTCCAACTATGCTATCTGCTTCATATCGTGAAACAAAGACCAGGGTGTTCCATGTCAGGACTTCTAAAATATGCTTAAAGTGGAATTTTCATCCTTTACACAATAGAAGGGCACACTTTCCCATGTGCTCTACAAAGAGGTGGTTGCAGAACAGCAAAACAAATCGTTTTTTTCTTCTCAGGAACTGGAGTTTAGCCCCTGCTAAAACAAATAATATGGTGGTTTGTGTGCAGTCATTAGTGACTAGGCCTAAACCAACTTGGAGAAGACAGTGAAATCATGAGTGGCTGACACCCAGATTCGAACCCAGGATCTCAAATGCGTTGCCTCCGTAACGGACCTTTGTGCCATCCAACCATTGAGAAGTTGGCCAATTTTATTAAAGAACATTTGGCATGTGGGAGTGAACCACAGTACTGAGAGAAATCTAAATGCATACGAAGGAATTACAATCAAAGCTTCACAGATATATTCAACACACAAACAGATGCAATACATTAATGCTCTCTGAGGCCTGAGCAGATTACGATACTGCCATTTCCTGGCTATCCCACAGCCCATAGCATTTTGCCTATAAAAGTGGTAGTAACCAATCCAAGCCCTTACCAGGTCTCCTTAGATTGTCAATACAATGTATCACCATTGATAAACAGGACTAACCATGGGTAAGTGCCAGGCAGTGGCTGTCCCCACAGGAGATGTCCACAATACGTGTGCATGCCAAATCTTCAATGAGCTTTGGTCGCAAGGCAGTTGCTTCTGAAGAGCCACAGCCAAGGCAGGCCCCGCAACCCCATGCATAGAGCTGTCAAAAATGGAAACCGATGAAAAACTATTCGGCACTTTTAACTATAATTCTTGCATACAATGACAACTTTTCAAGTAAAAATTACATTTGATGTTAACAATTCTAGTTCATTTAAATAACATTTAGATTTTTCATAACATTTCTGATTATTCAGAAAAGCATCTTTACTTTACAGTCTTAAACATTTAGTCTTACGAATAAGCAGGTGGAGGTGTAATTTTCATAAATGCATTTCGACAATCAAAAAGTTAACATTTTGGACTGAATTTACAGTGTTACAAAATTATCTTTAACCGACTTCACAATGAACTAGCAATACAATTTTTTTTAAATGGACAGAAGAGAAACTAAAAACTGGTTTGTCCAAACCAACCCATTCTGACCTGGCCAGTGGATGTCAGCGCGAGAGACGACTGGCTACCCGCACAAACTTTGCGAATAAACATCCCTTGCAAGGCTTCGATGACCTTCGGCTTGTACACTCTGTTTGTATCTCCATGACCAAGTTTCCCTGTGAAAAGGTGCAAAAAAAAACTGGTTATATACCGTTTTCCCCTGTTGTATAATTGTTTCCTCTTATTTGTATGGCAGTTTTATATATATATTAAAAAGCAGTAAAACAAACTATACGTATAAAAATACATTATTCTTAAAATAAAATGTACCATTGTCTCCTCCGCCAAAGGACCAGACAATACGCCCATCTTGCGACACAGCAATTGTGTGGGAGCTGCCGCATGCGACTTGCCCCACGTTACTAATGTCCTTCACCAGGGTAGGGATGTTCCGGCTGTTGCTGTCTCCATGACCTAAAGTTGAGCAAAATGCCATGACAATCAAACCTTGAATATGGTAACCAAATTACAAACCTTGCAAACACATACAAAGATTAGTACGCCAACGTCCTAGTGTGTGTGTGTGTTACATGTGCAAAGAAAACCTTTCTGGATAATCGTCTCTAAAATCACGACCTTTCTGGTGATGTGCAATAACGCATTTTTTGTGGCCCGCTTAGTGCTGTGGTGACTGTAAACATAGCAGCTGTATGCCTGGTTTTTACAACAGCTTAAGTTTATTTTTTATCTAAGTTTGTAAATGCAAAGGAAAATATCTTACTCGCCCTGTATTTTGTAAACAAATTCATTTTATCTAGGAGTCAATAATCTATTGTCTAGTGACCTATTTAAATGACTCTCCATTCCCATGTGTATTGCATTTTGCAGGGAAAAACCTTGATAAATTGTCCGAGGAATGTTATGACCAAAAGTAAATTTACATTTTTTATAAACATGACACAAAAAAATTCTACCATACAATATTTCTAAAGCAGAGTGTCCGCAACTTCAGTCTTCGTGAGATACCATACTAGGTTTACCAGTATACTCTCTATTCAAATTAACTCCTTCCAGGCTGCAAGTGCCCTTTGATAGTTTTACACATCCCAAATGATGTGATAAGCAATTAATGCCATCAGCATTCATGGAACGATTGAGCATTAATTGCTTAGCGCATCACTTGGGATGTGTTTAACTTTGGACGTGTTTAACAATCGTCAGTCGTGTGCAGCGTGGAACGCGTTCATTTGTATTTGAATGGGGAGTAAATTAGTAAACGTGGAAATACATAGCATGGTGGGTCACGTAGACTGGAATTTGGTAAAATGCTTAAAAGTCAATATAATTTTCTTTCTGGAGCACATGAATAAAAATAAACAAGAAAAAATGCTTCAAATTCACAAAGACTCAAAACTATATATGGTCTTAATTTTTAAAATGGAACATATTCATGCCAAACAATCTTAAAATGGAATTGGCCAAACATCACAATGCAAGTCCTTCCTCAAAAACTCTTCAGACTCTTTTCTGTACAATTAAATTATATAATTATTATTTTAAGGTATATTACTCAGTATACAGTACAAACCTAGTCTGCCAAAGTCCCCTTCTCCCCATGTGTACAGCTCCCCATCCTCTGTGACAGATGCACTGTGCCTGTAGCCAGCAGACACGCACACCACCACCTGCAAAAAGAAAACAATTTGGTAGGCATAATATATTAACACGGCCTTACAAACCATATTCACTGCAGCCAACTGAAGACTGGAGAAACATTTTTTTTACTTGTTCAATATAACGTTGGTAAAGTTAGTAGATCAAATGTCACTTTAATACACAGTATCAAATGTCAGATTAATAACATGTTTGTTTTGCTCCTATTGAAACTTTCTTACAAGTTGAATTTAAATCCATTACCCTTCTAAGACACTTTCTGAAAATGCAGGCATTTCATTCATGAGCCCTCTATCCTAAACATCTCCAGTAGATAAAACTACATCCAGTTCACAATTATAAGTCACTGGCTCCTTGGGAGTAGAACTGGAATGCAATATTCGTGAGATCAACATACAATTATTTCATACAATTTAGACGAATGCATCTAAATACGACTATTTTCTCAAGATAATGTGTAGAAATAGGTGGCTATTTCTTTAATAGGAGGAAGTCAATCAAAGACAGAGGAAAAAATAAGAACTTGTTAGTGGAATTGAACAGGAGCAGGGAGTCAATAGCACAGATAGTTGGAGAGAGTTCGAGACCATTTGGTCAGCGGACAAGAAAGAGCAATCACCAACAGAGCGATGGGCGCTTCTATAGAAGCCTTGGTTAATGGAGTGAAGAGTGTGTGGAGGGGAGTAGCATTAGGTAAGACGGGAAAGATAGCCAAGATAAGTCGATGGAATGTAATTGCAAATGATCTGGGATTGGATTGGGAGCCATTGGAGAGATTGAAGTAGTAGGGTTGTTTCATTTACAGATGCAGGTGAGAGGTCTAGCAGTGGAATTTTGGATAATCTGGAGTTTGGAGGCGAGTGATTTGGAGAGGATTTCAATAGTCAGTATATAATGAAGGTCTTAGTGGCAGCTAGCACAAGACATTTGCAGCTGTAGGAGATTTAGCATACAGATTGGAGGACTTTTTTTAAAAACTCAATTTTTCTGAGTAAAAAAAGCCTTCAGCATTACCAGCGTTATATGCAAGCAGGCGAGCAATTAATCCATGGAGTGCAGACAAAAAACTGTCAGGTCACGTGCATCTCATGTATAAAACAGGAGAGGCGTCACCTACAAACATGGATAATCTGACCTACAAACATGGATAATCTGTCCTCCAAAGTAGAAATGTCATTATGGTCACAGTTAGGGAAATCCATAGGTTGGTGAAAGTGTCTTTAAATTGTTTAAATCATCCAAGGGCCATGGTAACTCGAGCTGCCTTGGTCCCCATGTGGCTCCACACTGCATCACGAAATGTTGGGTTTCCTTCGATGACCAAGCCGAGTAAGAAGCAGTCAGCGTAAAGCTTCATGCCACAGTTCAGGCATGGAACAAGCATTAGCCACAATTTATTTCACATCAATGGTGCAGTGGAGGCACATACCACGACGCAATTACTTATTGAAGACAACTAAATAAAAATCAATGTCAACTGCTCTGTTGCTTTTTGAACCAGATTGCTCCACAAATATACTGCTCCATGGAAGCTAAAACTTAATGTGCCTTATGGGAAGTGGTGCCACAACGTGGACACATCGTTTCCAGCCGTAATCACACTGTGAATGGGTGTCATCTGGTGTCCAAAAAGTATTAATCCATGGGGATTGATGGAGCAACTGTGGATCTTCTGGAAATAATTAATGGTAAAATAAATAAAAAATGCCAAACCCAAAAATGTAATGCTTCTGGGACTGTTACTGATTCACGAATAATGGATTTGGAAGAACACATACAATGTATGACAACTTATATATTTTAAGCCTTTCAGATCCATTTGCCAGGCATATAATACAGGACAAACCTTGCCCTGCAGTGGCCCTTGGATCAGCTTGGGGTACTTCTGCGTTGAGCTGTTGCCATGGCCCAGTTTTCCATAGTCACCATCACCCCAGCTAAACACTTCTCCTTCCATGGTTACAGCCAGTGTATGACCATCAGAGCCTCTGGATGACGAGATCTTCTTGACGGCGCGCTGAGGCTCAAAGGTTAATTTCTTGAGTGTCGACTGGTTGTTGGAGTCACCCAGTCCCAAACGTCCATAACTGCCCTTTCCACAGGCTCGCACCGACCCGTCCACTGCAATGACGAATGTGCAGTACTGACCCGCTTCAATCTGCCCAAGAAAGAAAATATTCAGAATTACACACAGGAACAAATTGAAAAGATGACCTTGTAAAATAATCATTTAATGCAGAGTTTCTCAACCAGTGGAGTATGCTCTCTAGTCTTCCAGGCAGGTGCAGGCCAAGGCATGGATTCTGTGCATGGGAAATTATTAATAAAATGGCTCAACAGCCAGGAGGCTAATGGTGTCCACTCCACTAAATCCTACACTCAATCAAGATTGAGCCATATATGAAGTTTATCAAGAGGGATATCCCAACATGTGCAGTTCTGTATGCAACAAGTGCCGTGATTGTATGCAATGTTTTTTCTAAACTTTTGGATAACGTGGACAGCAGCTGCCACCGTTTGAAGCTTCAACCGATGATGGTTGGATCTTGACCAAAACTGCTTTCAGGCAATAACTGGCACAGAGGTGTCACCTTTCAAGAGTAATCAACTACTTTCCAAGAATCGTTTGGTACTTTATTTTACCGTGAAATTGCAGACATTACGGGATGTTAAACACTGAATAAGAGAAGTGAGCTTGGGCAGAACATGTCACAAGAAGGGATGGCCAGTGGTCGAGACGAAAGATGGGAGTGGCAGCAAGAGGAAACAAGTCCGAAATGTTCATCGCATTTTGATTTATACGTTAGATTGGTGTGCCATTGTAGGGCTGGGGGAAGGTGGGGGGGTCAGAGACCAGTAGTCTCAAATGGCTCCTGCCATACCAAAAAGAGGTTAAGAACCACTGATGGGGCACAATGATAAATGTGTTTAATTTATTTTTATATTAAGCATTACATTTATTTAAGCATTAGGACTCCTGCAGTGTAACATACAAAATATACCGGAGTTGCACAGGAACATTTAAAAATGCTGTTTCTAAGATGTTCACGTGGTATGTTGATAAATATTATTTTTTTACTTGTAAGTACAGTGAGGGAAAAAGTATTTGATCCCCTGCTGATTTTTTACGTTTGCCCACTGACAAAGAAATGATCAGTCTATAATTTTAATGGTAGGTTTATTTGAAGAGTGAGAGACAGAATAACAACAAAATCCAGAAAAACGCATGTCAAAAATGTTATAAATTGATTTGCATTTTAATGAGGGAAATAAGTATTTGACCCCTCTGCAAAACATGACTTAGTACTTGGTGGCAAAACCTTTGTTGGTAATCACAGAGGTCAGACGTTTCTTGTAGTTGGCCACCAGGTTTGCACACATCTCAGGAGGGATTTTGTCCCACTCCTCTTTGCAGATCTTCTCCAAGTCATTAAGGTTTCGAGGCTGACGTTTGGAAACTCGAACCTTCAGCTCCCTCCACAGATTTTCTATGGGATTAAGGTCTGGAGACTGGCTAGGCCACTCCAGGACTTTAATGTGCTTCTTCTTGAGCCACTCCTTTGTTGCCTTGGCCGTGTGTTTTGGATCATTGTCATGCTGGAATACCCATCCACGACCCATTTTCTCACCCAAGATTTGACGGTACATGGCCCCGTCCATCATCCCTTTGATGCGGTGAAGTTGTCCTTTCCCCTTAGAAAAACACCCCCAAAGCATAATGTTTACACCTCCATGTTTGACGGTGGGGATGGTGTTCTTGGGGTCATAGGAGGCATTCCTTCTCCTCCAAACACAGCGAGTTGAGTTGATGCCAAAAAGCTCCATTTTGGTCTTATCTGACCACAACACTTTCACCCAGTTGTCCTCCGAATCATTCAGATGTTCATTGGCAAACTTCAGACGGGCATGTATATGTGCTTTCTTGAGCAGGGGGACCGTGCAGGCGCTGCAGGATTTCAGTCCTTCACGGCATAGTGTGTTACCAATTGTTTTCTTGGTGACTATGGTCCCAGCTGCCTTGAGACCATTGACAAGATCCTCCCGTGTAGTTCTGGGCTGATTCCTCACTGTTCTCATGATCATTGCAACTCCACGAGGTGAGATCTTGCATGGAGCCCCAGGCCGAGGGAGATTGACAGTCCTTTTGTGTTTCTTCCATTTGCGAATAATCGCACCAACTGTTGTCACCTTCTCACCAAGCTGCTTGGCAATGATCTTGTAGCCCATTCCAGCCTTGTGTAGGTCTACAATCTTGTCCCTGACATCCTTGGAGAGCTCTTTGGTCTTAGCCATGGTGGAGAGTTTGGAATCTGATTGATTGATTGATTTCTTCTGTGGACAGGTGTCTTTTATACAGCAAACAAGCTGAGATTAGGAGCACTCCCTTTAACAGTGTGCTCCTAATCTCAGCTCGTTACCTGTATAAAAGACACCTGAAAGCCAGAAATCTGATTGAGAGTGGGTCAAATACTTATTTCCCTCATTAAAATGCAAATCAATTTATAACATTTTTGACATGCGTTTTTCTGGATTTTTGTTGTTGTTATTCTGTCTCTCACTGTTCAAATAAACCTACCATTAAAATTATAGACTGATCATTTCTTTATCAGTGGGCAAACATACAAAATCAGCAGGGGATCAAATACTTTTTTTCCCCCCCTCACTCTATTTACTTCGAGCACATCCAAAGAAAACAGTTTTTGTTATTGAAGAACAATGAAACATCAAGTATGTGCCCTTTAAGGTTATAGAATTAAGACAAGCAAATCATTATCAGACAGGCACATGTAGAAAATATATCAAATATTAGCCATTAAAAACCCCTTCGACAAATTAAAAAAAACCTGGCACTTTTCTTATTTAAAAAAAAAAACACCATAAATAGATTCTCTTAAGAATATGGCATTTTTCTGACAAATGATTTCAAGAGAACTGCTGGCCCCAATAGATGGTGTGCAAGCCACTTTTGAACAAACACGATATTCATAGGATTGGTGATGAATTATTAATAAACTCGGCCGTACCGTTTGTGCATTGGCAAAGCCCGATGCCATCTTGGGTTGCAAGATTTTCTCCTGGGCTCCTTCAGCAAGCTGGTGGCTGCTGTTGCTGCCCCACACGTACACCTCGCTGGTCTCCGACACAATGGGGCTGTCACCGGTCTGCCCCCCGTCCGCATTCACACAGGAGCGCGTGTAGTCCGATGCCATTTGGCAAACCTGTGGACCAGTCACACAATAGAGTGCAGGAGACCCTTGAATATCACGGATTTAACGCTTGCAATTTCGACCTATCGCGGGCAACCTCTTTGCATACCAATTTACCTATCACGGGAGTTAGTTTTGGCCTTTCGCTGGTATACTGTACCCGGAAATACTACATCATCGCCTGATACCGGAGTGTGGGGCGGGGTGGGCGAGGAACCCGAGGCAGTCAGTCGCACGTCAACCTTTGCAGTGCAAGCATCCCGCGGACAAAGACAAAGATCCCCCGTATAGCCTTAATAGGCCGTTGTGGCAAGTGCTATTAGCGAGCACCTATGAAGGCTGGCACGGCACACGAGGGAGTGGGTGGCCAGCACCACACCCAGCTGCCTTTTTTTCCCCAGTGGCAAAGTTTACACATCGCACCAAGTACTCATTTTATGCCGAGTCAATCTAGGGGAGGCCCAGGACCAATTCAGATAATCGTCCCACGTGTTGGGATTGAGCAGGAATCTAACTCAGGATGCCGGGATCGTAGCACAGCATGCCAACCATAGCACTACCGCTCCCCATTCACGTACAAACACATACACACCCTCTTTGCATAATCTGCATCGGTAAGTTCAGTATTAATATTTATTGTTTTGTATCGGGTTTTAACATGTTTAGTTCAAATATTTATTTTTAGTTGATTTGGCATACAGTACAGTACTTATTTAAATTGTGATGCTTCCATTTTTGGTAGCCATGTACCCAACCCCATTATTTAGGTAAGGCTTAAGTTTTGAATATCGTGATATTCAAGGGTCTCCTGTATAGCATCAACCTCTTGTCATAAGATGGCAGGCATACCAACAAATTAATATTAGGTGTTACATTTTAAATTAAATATTATTCCAGTTTCAGACACCTGACACTTTCTGGCTGGATGACAACCAACACTGTTCAGATTCAGATATAGCAACAACCTCTTTGCCAAGTTATTAATGGAACGACATTCACATGGCACTGTATAAGAACATTATGCAATGCATTTAAAGAGAAGTTCTAAACATCAATTCGCTACAAGATTTAAAGGAATAAATAACATAATTCTGATAAATATACATAACTTATGAAGGTATTAAAATATATTTAATCCCAAAGACTCACTGCTACCTATCAGTCCGTTATATTTGCTCAAATGTATTTTGATGGCAATTTCAGACAAGAGGACCACAATGCACTTCTTGCATAAATGCCAGTAGTGTTCACGTGTCGAGGTTGTGTGCTGTTCACACAATCCTGTGTTTTGCATTAGCTAAACTAATGTGCCCCATAGTGTGGAATTGGGGACTCCACATATATGGTTACCGGAGGCAGTTTTTGTGGCAGTGAGCATTAGTAACTAATGTGCTGATAAGTCCTAATAAGGATGAAACTGGGTCCACAGTTGTCTATCATGAGCACTAATGCCTGTAAGCCAAACATTTGCTCACGTTTTGACGGTAACCTAAGAAGGACCACAATGCATTTTTTTAAGAAATGTTGATGTTTTAAATATATGCAGAGGCTGTGTGCTTACGACACATCCAGTCATTATCAGGGTGGCTTATTGAACAAATGCTGCCAAAATTTCCCAATATCATAGGATATATATTCATGAACTCCATGGTAAAACAGATCCTTGTCCATTTATTTTATTACACACAATCCACTATCAGTGTGTAATTTATTTGGTATCATTTTGATGTACAGCATTGGAATTTATGGAGGTCCCTTGCCAATGATATCAGGCAATGAGGCAGAATTTCTTGAACAGGCCGTGCTCTGCAAATGGGACTCCGGTCAGACCTGATCCAAAGTTAGCCTACTTTAATAAATACAGCAATCCCTCACCAACCGCGTAATGCATGTACATACGGTGTATGATCTGTACACCAATTTACCAAACGCGGCCTAGAAATTGAGTATCCACGGGCAAGCACAGGTCCGCAACACAAATTTACATGTCGCGGGGCCGCAACTCTCCTCCGCGCCACCCATGGCGCTGCAAAGTTTTTGATTATCACAGCGCACAGAGCGCTTCGTATTGCGGTCTATACAGCCACACAGGGAGGTGTGCTGGGACTGATTAAAAAAAATGCAGCAGCAAATCATCCTAACCTTTTTAAAGAAAAGAACTACCACCACCGATCCAGCCAGCAGTGCCACTGCACCTGGCTCCTCATTTGTCATTGATGACCCAGAGAAAGAGGGGGAGGGTGGGCCTGAGCCCCTCCTCCTAACGACCCCTTCCCCCACCTTCATATTGTCATCTTCATCATCGTTGTCATTGTCATGGACTTCTACCCTCAATATTAAAAAGGTATGTAACGCTAATTTAATGTTTTATGTTAGTGTGTAATGTACTATATTTCAACCGTGTTTAGTGCAGAAACAGGCAACGTAATTAAGTTATTACGAGTCTGACCGCGGTCGTGGTTCCCCTAATCCCTATTTCCCATAGGCCCTGTACATTACCAACTGCAGATATGCCTACCTCAGCCTTCTCCAGGAACCTAACCCCGCAGTTGACGAGGGATTGCTGTACTGCAAACGATTTGGAATGCACATAGGCTAATGGACGAAACTAACATTTTATTTTTAGTTGGTGAAACAGAACCTTGTTTAATTGTAAAATAAATATTGTTTGGACACAGCACTTCACTTTCAAAGCTCCAAGTGACAAAACATACAATATTTTCTGAAGATGAGTAACATGATAAGGTCTTTATAGCAGTGACCCATTTTACATTGCAGACAAAACCCAAGAACTGGGCTACTATGTCAACATCTATTGTCACAGGATCTATTTAACAAGACATAAAACAAATAGGCTGCCCAAGGGCATGGATGACAATGCCTAAAACGTATTTAGCCACATTTATAAACACTCCTTGGTTCTCTGTAAAGTCGCATAGGTATATTTTCTACCTATGTGACTTTACCGAATGAACCAAAGAGTATGGATTCCTGCTGTCACGAAAGCTTAAAATCAAGAGGGAAATACCTACCGATCACGTGATTTCTATCTTTGCACACACCAAATGATGTCAAAGAAATCAGTTTAATGCTAAAGAAACCCTGTAGGCTAACTATTTATGTTCAGCCTTTATATTTGTGCTCATGTTGCACAGTTTGTCATGAAAATTATCTCCGTTAAATACAGCATTGTAGGAGCTGAATTAGCCATTATTAGGTGGGGAAAGAATTCCAAGGGGAATCAAAATATACCAAGGCAAAAATAGTACACGGTGATAGCTTTAGCGATCACATATCCTTGTTTGTACTGTTGCGAATGATGTACAATTATTGGTTCTTTGGGAAGATAGTGGAATTGGAGTGACATTTCTCAGTAGGCTCCACAGTAAATTGAAAAGTTATACGCACATAAACACAATGTATAATGTATAGCACAAGTACATAAGGAGGCATACAAAAAAGGTACATTATTGTATTTTCTTCCATATACAAGTGTCTGGTAATCTAAACCTTTTAATAAATCACCACCACTTTATTTATTCTTTTCAATGTTTTCCAAAAAAGACCAAACCTCTTCAAATTAAATGTGGATGCTGTACTGGAAAAAGTATTACTGCCAAGTGAGCTTAGTGATGGGAATCGTTTCTTACCTCCTCAAACAAACACATTGCAGCCTGGTAGAGACAGCAGAGGCCATCAGGGGTCCGTTTGGGCTCTCTCCACTGGTTGTGCTCAGAGGACGTACCCTGAACACACACATACAGATGCAATAAAGGGCATTAGGCTTCCAACAATAACTTTTAAACAATGTTGTCAAACTCGATTAACTGTGCAGTCAAATCTCACCATGGAGCGCCTCATTTGTGTAAGCACACTCATGAAGCAGTCGTATCCAATCATGCCCTCCAGACTCATCGATTGATGTGCAGGCTCCAAGGAGACTGTGGAAGCTGTAATTGTGGAAGTGGTAGCAGCTGTTGTGGTGGCAGCCATAGTTGAGTCAACATCAGGTACTTTCCCTCCAGAGGCTGCCAAGGCCATCTCAATCCACTCGAGTAGATAGCGCAGGGAGCCCCGTTGGGCTGCCAGCCCCAACAGCAGTTCACAGGCCAGGCGGCGGCCAAGCACGTCAGCGCCCGACGATGCCATTGTAACTCCCTTGAGAAAGGCAGTCACCTGAGCCAGGCAATCTAGCCCCATAGGTGGGAGCTTGCTCTCATTGGCCAGGGAGAGGGGTGGTAGAGACCCTAGTACCTCTACTGCTGTGCTTAGCACATCATTGCACAAACTTGGGTTTGGACCTGGCAGTGCGACTGTGAAAAAGAGAGGTCAACAATGCGTACAATTAGACAATTATTTTAACTCTATGGTCGAAGTTTAATGATATAACATACCTACAAACTCAATTTCATGGTCACAATGACGCAATAAAATGGACTCCGTTTTGTTAAAATATCGTACGACAGATTTCACAAGGACAGAAGAGCCCCTGTTTTTATAAGATAAAATTGGTATGCAGTAAGTTTTGATTGCACGTGTTAGTGCATTTGAGAAAAATGTGATATTTCAATGTTCCTTCTGGATTCCTACTGTCGAATGGTAACAGGAAGCCGTTTTTTTTTTTAAATGTGGTATAGGAAATAAAACAATCCACGTAGTTTTCAATCTTACAACAATGCATGTGTTTCAAATTTTCATGAGTTTTAGCTAGACTAAAAAAAACACACCTTAAAAATAATGCTGTTTACTCCTAAATGTTTTAGGAAATGGAAAAATCATAACCTGGTGCCTGGGAAGGCAAGTGCCAACTCTGACGCAGCAACGCAAACAGCAGACTGAGGCCCGTCTTCACTCCCATCTCGATGAGCGCGTCCGTTCCCGATCGTTGTCTCTCGCTTGCACTCCCTGCATCACCGGGGCCCGAGCCACCCTCCGGAGCAGACGCTTGTTGCTGGCGGGCACGTCCCCGGTCGTGGTACTTGCTGGCGAGCGCATAGAAGATGCGTTGCAGTACGAGGAGGCGCTGCCGCAGGGTGGCGGCGAAGGGCGAGTCTGAGCATACAGTCTTGGCGAGGGCCAGTTGGCTGGCAAGCAGTGCTCCCAGGTAGTGCTCCTGCTCTTCACTCGACAGCGACTCCCGCTCAAAGTCTGGCAGTTGGGGGCCTTTCAACCTCATCACCTGCAGCACCACCACCATCATATTAATTGTATTCAACATTTGGTGATAAACAAGCAAGGTGATACCCTAGTTGTAAGAACTAAAAGGGAAATATGGAAGATACAAATGGAAGATTGTGATTTTAATGCAATAAAAATATACTTTACAGCTTTCTCAATCCACTGCCTGATTAACACCTTCCCTATGCATTGTCATCCATAAAGATTGCTTCAACATACTTCATCACGCTGGACAGCACAGGCTGGTGGAGGGTACTTAGAACGGATTCAGATATCACTCGTCACTGATGTCAGCCATAGCCATTCGCTAACCAATGCACCACCTCATTACCTTAGACAATTAATCATGACACACGAATACATAAAAATAAGACACATTTAAACCTGTGGCATTATATTCTAACATAAATGACCTAGAGAGCTATAATGAACTTGCAAAATGCTGCTGGTTTAGGTAGAACGAGAAGCGTACATCGGACTCCTTCCAACCGAGACAAAACTCGGTACAATACCGACTTAAAATTATGTTGTATAATTGCTTAATATTAGTCACTTCTCTGAAGAAACGTCCAAAAAGGTACAATACCTGTTGTGGTAGCGCAACAACTTCCTTATTAGCTAAGAGTCGGTCATAAAGGGCAGATGCCCCTTCTCGTGTGGTGATGGACTCGCTGTCTTCAAGTACCCAAGAGCCATTGAGATGTTCCAGCCACTTCAGCTTCACGGGAGGAATTACATTCGCCATCTTATCTTCACTGAAAAATGCTGCTAATTAGAGTACAACAGGGTAAAAATAAAACAATCCTGAGGTCGCAGTCTTTTGCTCAAATTATCCAGTACAGAAGTCAAATGCAAACATCAACCCTCAGTTTGCTACAAGATGAAAGACAATAGAAAAATCACGATCTGTACTTAGAGGGCACTTGCCCTCTACTCAAAGCACACAGCCATGATGTCCTTATATTACCACCATTAATGAAAGCCACCATTAATTAGAATAATTAATAATCCTAGCACCAACTAAAGTGGTATACTGTACCTTTAAATGGCAGGCAGGGCAGTGTTAGGATACTCGGAATGCCTGATGAAGACTGCATAGACTGTATTGCAGCCTGGCATTTGAAACGTGTTGGGAAAAAAACACGTTAAATACCTGACGAAATAAGCTTCTGCTTCCATGTGCTCAGCGGCAGCTTCATATACAATAAGGTAAAGCCACGTAGATAGCAATCATCGTCAGGTGAAGAAATATAGCGGGAGAGCTGCTGAGGTAGTAAAAATATATGGCGAGAGAGCAGCTAAGGCAGGATGTTATAAAGGTTTGAGATGGGTGTAGCCCAAGGGTAAATGGGCGGGGCTAGAGATGACATTTGTATGTAAATGTAATATCGGAGAGCTGAGCCATACCCACGACAACGAAGCTGTGAGGGTGGCCATTGTATTGTGAGAGATTAGCATGTCAATGTCAGAAATGTGCGTGTAAATTTGCATGATCTTACATTTACATGCAAGTTTCATCTCCAGCCCCGCCCATTTACCCTTGGGCTACACCCATCTCAAACCTTTATAACATCCTGCCTGAGCAGCTCTCCCGCCACATATTTTTTCACCCGATGACGATTGCTTGTGTTGCGATCAAAACGTCGTGATATTGTTATTATTATTTTTTCTATCTACGTGGCTTCACCGAAAGACCCAAAGAATACGAATTCCTGCAGTCACGAAAGCTTTAAGTCAAGATTTATCGACTAAGGTGTTTACTATTTGGCTTCAAGTAGGACCCATTTATTTTGATTTTTGCTCATCTACTAGAAAGCAATAAATTATATTCAGGGCACCACTGCTAGAATAAATACAATACATTTCACTGGAATGTTTTTCATTAAAAAAAAACCTGTGCAGTTATGCAAGCAATGTCTCTACTAGTTATGCGTGTACATTCTTAATCAGGGTACGTTCAATGTGTTACTTCTCTGAATGGATATGACTGTATAAAATGGAGTTTGCTTAGTGTGCGCCAAACATGCTCTGGCATAAAGCAATGCATTGTTCAACTCCTGCACACTCGGCTTAATAAAACAAATGCTAAACAGAATTCCCACAGCACCATAACTTTTGTCAGTTTCGAAAACTGGCAATGGAAATGTAATAAGAATATAAAAAATGAATTTTACAATGTGCTGTTTGTAAAACTTTCAATAGCTGGTTAATTTCTAAGACAATACTTAAAATGGGTTATCATGTACATTCCAATACACAAAAAAAACGTATATTTGAGATTGCCAGTGAATCCAATGTTTCTTGTATATACTCTGCCTGAAGAGTTGGTTTGCAAAAACTATTTAATTGAGGATGTGATCATTGCTATGATGGAAGCTTCCACACATGCTGAAAACAATGAATTCAGCCACTGTAACTGTAATTGTACTAGGGGCATGGCTCATGCCTCAGATTCAAATATTTTCTCCCCCCACATTTCTTGTTCCACAATGCCACGAATATTTTCCGGTGTACTGTGATGTGACGACACGATGGCGGGCTTCTTTGTGAGACAGTTGGCTTTAAGAGACTGCACGAGTTGCGAGATAGGAGAGGATCATGACCAGTCATGAAAAAAGTGCTGCGTTCGCTATAATTTATTACAGTACTGTAATAGAAAAATAATATTATTAGGTGGTATTTTATTGTTTACCCAAAAGATGGATTGGAACATCCTAGTAGTGCTGCCTCGGCTCAGGTAGCGCCAGCCAGCCAGTTGCTCCTTCTACATTATACGAAGGCAACTCTTAATTTCTACGACATTGTTTTCACAAAGAGGCATTTTGCAATATTATTTAACTTAGTTGTTTTCATTAATTTTATTGATTTTTTTACCTACGTGACTTTACCGAAAAAACCAAAGAGTATGAATCCTTGCAGTCACAAAAGCTTTCAATCTAAAATATTTATTTGGCATAAGCATTTTTCGGGTTTAAAATACTAAATTTTAAAAACTTCTTTACTTTGCACATTGATGACTTACAATTTAGAAACTGTGCAGCGAATGATGCATAACAATGATAAGCAAATTTAATATACCGTATTATTTTTCCGGATTTTGCCTCTCTATAGTAGATGTATTGTGATCAGATAGTGGTGCCCTTGCACATCTGCACCTTAGAAGAGCACGGAGTTATTTTTTTATCCTCCGAGGTTGTAAATACAAGTTAAATTAATTGAAGAATAAAAATGCAGGATTATTGTAATGTGAATCATGGGAATGTTTGCAAATGGGTAGAATGACTGTAAATTGGACAGGAGCAAGTTTGTGAAAACATCAAATGAATACAGGCAATGTTGCTTGTACGAATTAAGAAATCATCACCAGTCAGTCTGAAGTGTGGGAAGAGCAATTCAATAACACGTAAGTTTAATTTGCACTTCGTGAATACCTATTGGGTACAAACATTTTACAAAACACTATAATAGTAATCTCACGTGTTGTCTCTTATCAGCCACATTCCTAAATGAAAGTAACTGTTATTCGTCTCAATGCAGCCATTATACCAATTTTAAACATTTCCACAATTCGTATAATTGTCCAATTGCAATTTTATGCTTCGATATCTTTAACTTTTCTTTACACCCCAAGTGGACAAATCAACTACAAAAAAACTCGAGGATCTCTGCCAACAGCATCACATATCATCAGCTATGCATCTTTTACAAACAATACATTGGCATAGGTCACAGAATTATGAAGACTCGCGTTAAAAACACCCTATTTTGTCACCACCAGATATTTTTGATTGGATAACATGTGCAAAAAACACAGGCTCAATAGCTTTTACTTTTAAAACGATTTCCAACATTCATTCACTTGAAAATATCACATTCACATAGTTTAAAAAAGTATATAATGCATCAAAAGATCACGTTCAAGAGGTAACCAGGTCTAAAGCTGTCGATGCCACTAGACCTTGCCAACGATTTATATCTTTTATCCGTTCCTGCAGCTACAACGGGAATGTTTTGTGATTTAATACATTAAAAGAAAAATACTGCAATACAATTTAAAGCAGTCTGATCGACTGATTGGTGATGAAGCGAAATCAATAAATTAAGTCCTGTTTTACATTCATATTACCAGGTTGAACAAAATAACTTGAAAAAAATATGTTTGAGGTGTTTTTAAATGAGGCTGTACAAGCACATTTCAGCCCAATATTCTCAGGTCAAATAAGTAACATGTTTCGCACTGTGGGTTTCACTTTATATTTTAATTTACAATTTCCTCAAATGACATTGGAGAAAAGTGCTTCAGTGGTTTATGTTATTGCCCTTTGGCTACACTTATGCAAGATAGCAAGTAATAGTCCTCCTGAGGCCTTTAGTTTTCCAGTTAGCTGTCAAGCTTCCTTAATCAAGTTCTGTAAGATGACACACGTTTGTCATTGACCACATGAGCATAGAACTGGCAGCCCAAAAATAGTTTAAAATGTTACCCAAATATGACCATACATTTAGCTTTTTCGAGCTAATCTAGATGGCCAAGAGTATTTGTCATACAATGTTGGTCACATGACATTCAAGGTAGGGACAGCTGTGTCCTTCTTGCTGTTTGTGAGCACACCTTTGTGTTGTTAAATATCCTGTTGTTTACCTGCCTGCACACGTTTTCATCATTTACATAAAGTGTTGTCAGTGAATCAATGCGCAACAGTAGCACGTGATATAAAATAGTTCCCATCCCTCTAGGCATAGTAATCATAATACTAAAACACCAGAGCAGTTCACCTCATCTGAATGTCAGCGGAGCAGCAGAATTCAAACAGCAATATTGAATAGATTCTAAATACTAAATTACAAATTTCCTGAACTACCAATTTCAAAAGCACATTAGGGAATTAAAAACAATAGTTAAAACGCACAGAAGATACACCTACTATTTCTGTGATGTTTCAATTGTTGTTTCAGGTTTCAAATGTCAGCTGTGAAGTCATTATTGGCAGTCATACAAATTTGCAATCCATGATGTCTGAAAAAATTCAAAGTAAAATAATTAGGAAAAAAAATCGATTTATCATAGAGTATGTTCACAAGGCGCACAGCAGTTTCATAAAGGGTGTCGTTTTCAAAATGGCCTGGTCTCTTAAAATAACGTTTGCTTTTCACTTACACAGCACGCGTGCTTTAAGCACCTTGAACAGCGCACGTCTATAAATGGAGTACACTGCGTTAATTAAGATTATTCTGACATTAAAACCAAGCTCCGTTGGCATAGCATATTCTTTTTAAAATCGACTAGACGGGTACCCCGTGCTCGTATCAATGCAAGAGGAACCTACAAAGGAGGCACTGCAACGATCGTATTTAAATAACAGTCATACGATGGGGATATACCACAACCCAGATTAACATCCATTCTCCAAAACGTATAATTCATTGCACAAATCCATCACAATTTGCACAAGCAGACGAGATATTAGAAGCCCCCTCCCCACCCCGCCCTTTCGCACTGCACAACAGCATTCCCCACTGCCTGGACGTGTAAGTATTCACCCTATTGATTGGATTACTGGGGCTGACGATACCGTTCAAAATATCGATTAATTTATGTTGTCTTTGTACCGTCTCGTTTGGGCTGTTAAAAACAACAACAACCTAGATTTGCCTATCGTCTACGTCCCGTTGGTACCGCCCAATGTTACACCCGTACGGCCTCGGTTGCATTTACGCTAGGCGACGTTGTCTCTCGTTAACGATAACAGCTGCCCCGTGTGTGGTGGCGCCGTCTCTGCTCTGTGCTGATCGTCTCGTTCGCGTCCGTATTTTGTTTGTCATGTTCGTACCGTGTCCCTCCCGACGACGGCACGGGCGACGAGGCGCAGCTATCAACCACGTTCAAGATGTCTGTTGTTTTGTTTTGTGTTTTTTATTGCCTCGCGTGTAGTCGGCACCCGAGGCGAGGCGAACATTGAAATCGCAACGACGGCACCACTGGATTTTGTAGTTTACAGCAAGCGCAAAAAAAGGGGGTTAAGGACGAAACCATCGAGTCTCGTGTTAGTCGCTGGAAGCACCGTGCAGATTCTGCACCGCCTCGGTCGTGCCGTCATTATAACGTGTAGCTAAATTGCATGATGCGAGCAAGCACGAAAACAATAATTTCTCACGAGCCCGATTATATGCGTATACGCGGTGCTGGCAATGCTTGACATGCAATGCCTGCGTAAACAATTGTGTGCAGCCTTAAAAAAAAGGTCTCCGATAACGCCGCGGGCTAGGCCAGACTCAGCCCCCGTCTCTGGCCTGTTGGCTCCTACCGGTTAGAGCGCGCGTCCCGCGGCAGAGCCCGGTGCAAGCCCGGGCCATTCCCTTCCCCGTCAACCTCCCACCCCGCCGCCGCCGCCGCTGCTAACCAACGTTGAGCCACAAATCCCATTAACATCACGACGAACAGCCTCGCTGGCGGACACCATCACCGCAACAACAACAACAACCACCACCACAGCCGTGTGTCGTCTGCTCACCTCGACGCTAACGGGAGACGACGGAGCGAGATTTTCCGCCTCAAACCATTCCCTGCAGCTTGCAGTCAAAGCGCGTCGCACCAGCACCACCACCACCACCGCCGGCTTCTCGCAACGAAAATACCCTCGGGGCGCCGCTTTACGTGGAAGTTATAGGCGAACAACGAGACGATTTCTGCCTGGGAGGCGTTTGTGAACAGTGAAAGTTTGTGTTTTGTCGACGGGCTGGTTGCACGATTCGCCCCCTGCTGGGGGAATGTTAATGTTAATGTTGCTGCTGCTGCTGCTCGAGCAAGGGTCATGACTTGCACAAAATTCTGAATCATCAGAATAAAATTTTGTTTTTGTTTTTAATCCGGAGGAATCCGACGAGCGATCAGGCACCTCTTTTTTTTCTTCCCGCAGATATCCAAATTCGTAGGGCAGTGGCGTCAGTATGATCGTGATCACGTTGATGAACTTCATCATCATTTGGTGTCATAATTATAAACGTCCCAATAACGTGACTATAATTGTACCGCATTCGTCATCTTCGCTCTCGTCAAAATCACCATCGCCCTCTCCACCACCGATTATCTCCACCATCATAATCCTCACCCAGCCCTACACTATCATCTCATCTCTCCTTACCGTCTTCGCCCTCATTTACATTCTCACCATCGTGCTCATTAATCACCACTTGCATTTACAAAGAGACACAGCGCAATTTAAAATAAGGCCTTTGGAAACTAAAAATAAAACTGAATGTAGGGGTGGTGGTGGGGGGGGGTGGAGTTCCTGCCAAGAGTCGCACTAACTGTAATTTATTAAGTCAGTTACATAAAACAAACTTAAAACATTCCCTTCACTCCTATTTAAATGAGTGCCAATCGCGGATACATGCAACTACCAAACCCGCCGGGTTTGAAGGTAGCCTGCGGATAGCAGTGCAGCAAGTAGGTTTCTTTAATAACACGTTTGTGTGCAATACAGTACGGTATTTGGGTGTCTACCAGATTACTTCTGCTTTCTCCATGCATCCAAAACACTCGTGAATGGAATTGTCCAAACATTTCGATGCAGGGGCTTTCATGAGAAAAAAAAAGGTAATGAGCCTCGGGAAATGCTTCTATTGCACAATTGCACAGTGGAAGGTGTAATTACACCTTCTACGTGGTGGTGACTTTACCGAAAGAACCAAGAATATGAATCCCTGCGGTCACGAAAGCTTTAAATCTAAATTTATTACACAAATGAACCTTATGGCGGATACCCCGGCTCTCGCGTCATGTCCGTGATGCAGTAATTTTTTAATTATTATTCACGATTTTTTATTTATTACACGATTTTTTTATTATTATTATTACACGCTTTTTATATTTAACTCACGCTGTCTGTTGTTGTATCCTCAAATCCCGTAACTCAATTTTAACCCACTTCCCAATGTGGTATCGACTGCAAACTCGGTATACTTAAGTCATACTGATGACAATACTATATTCTATCATCAAATATAAAAAAATAAACATTATTTTGTATATGTTATTATGTTTCTGCTTGAGTCTAATTGTTCCACGGTCAACTAACGACGTTGGCTGTAAATCACCACGGGCCCCTTTACGTTGTGGCAAGCTTTGGGGCCCACTTCCTGGAGTCGTGGAGTTCTGTGACATTTACTGGTAGGAACGAAGTTGTAAACTGAGTGTACCAGCCTGCAATAGATTAATGTGTCCGTCCGTCCCCTTTTAATACTTTACGAAGTGAAATCTCGTGCTGTTGGGTGTAATAAAATTGCGCAAAATTCCAATGTTCCTACCAGCCCACCCTGCAGGGACCTGTTACTAGTACGGTACATTTCATTAAAGCGTCGTTTTAAAACAAAGTTTTTGTTTCTTCAAATATTACTTATTTCTAGTCTGTTGATGGTCGGCGATGCGGCAATCGACTCATCTTGACGAGCTGTACACTTAGAGTTGTACACACTACGAGTTGTACACTACGAGTTGTACACTTACAGTTGTACACACTACGAGCTGTACAATTAGAGTTGTACACTACGAGTTGTAGCTGTACACTACGAGTTGTAGCTGTACACTACGAGTTGTACACTTACAGTTGTACACTACGAGTTGTACACTTAGAGTTGTACACTACGAGTTGTACACTTAGAGTTGTACACTACGAGTTGTAGCTGTACACTTAGAGTTGTACACACTACGAGCTGTACTCACGATGCACCACCACGGTGCGTGCGAGCGTTCTGGGGTTTCAGCGCAAACGTCCTCGATTTATTGTTACCCCCAGTCGCGGAGTGAAGCCCACCCCTGGGTAAAAATAGTGTCCCAGAAATACAATATTTAATTGTCTCGGATATTTTGTGTTATTTGGTACCCCGGGGTACCACCATACGGATCAAATGTCCATTCCAGGACAGCGTTTGAGACGTTCAAGGTTTCTGTATTTTGGAAATATACATAATCAGGACGTCATTTCTAACTTAATATTATCTGTAAAGCTTGCCAGGCTAGTTTGTTTGAAGGAACTTAAGGAACTACCACTGCAGTAAAGTAACAGCTACTCTTACCCATTATCCATAATGGTGTTTCCTTTATCCCTATAATCGTATGAATAGGTATTTATTATTTTTTAAGTACAAACCAAGGATAAATGGATGTGGTGTGCCAAAATAATACCTGAAACAGTGTTCCGCACTGCTCCGACTGAAATTAAGCACTGATTTTCTAAGTAATTGCGTTTTTATATTTGTATCATAATTTATATTTAATCATATGTTTTGTATTTTGTTACATTTAGTTATGTTTATTTAGTATCTATTTAATAATACAGCCACCTAACCCCACCAATTCACCAATGCTCACTGACCAGTGTGAAGTATGGTCAAACAACCCCCATGACTGACAAGGCATGGTGTGAGGGCTTCATCTAGCAGTGGATTGACAAATGGCTATAGATCATGTAAATATTGCAACTGCTATTTTATGTATTGTGTTGGGATTTGCCATTTTATATACCTCCAGTACATTGTTACCATTACACCCAGATCTTCCAAAAAAGGGAAGTTTATGGTCTCAATTAGCTCTGATTGGGTTATAAATAACGGAAATATTTTTCAGGAGGGTCATACCTTGAGGTGCATGGCCAATTCATAGCTTACAAGTGTTTTTATATGTGGGATAACACTCAAAAGGTCTGCATAGATGGGCCCATTAACCTTTTATGCTGTCTGACCACCACGCAGTGCAGAGGGTGTGAAAGTTTCACAAATCTGTACGTGGATTTAAATTCACAATACTGTATCTCTGACGCACTGGATTACATGTGTGTGCCACAGCTGATGTGGTAGCTTTTTAAACCTCGTTTTCTGTGGCCTTTATTTTAATATGCTAATTTCACGCCATCTTTTGCTTGTGGGATTTGACAAATGGTTTTCAAAAGGCATGTAACAAACAATTCTATGATTGTATTTTATTTTTATGTTCAAGAAACAGCCATCAAATCGTACTCAAAAGAATCATTTGTGTTCCATTTACCATATGCAAGTTTGCAGTTTTTTTCCCTTTATGCGAATTAAAAAGTGCACAAAGAACAAAGGACTGTGCATGTTTGGAATTACACTGACAACTAATATGCGTGGATCAATAAACAAACACAAATCATAGAACATCGTATTGCTCGTTAAGAAATTAAGTGGGTGTGGGCATGATATACAGTGAGGGAAAAACGTATTTGACCCTCTGCTGATTTTGTACGTTTGTCCACTGACAAAGAAATGATCAGTCTATAATTTTAATGGTAGGTTTATTTGAACAGTGAGAGACAGAATAACAACAACAAAATCCAGAAAAACGCATGTCAAAATGTTATAAATTGATTTGCATTTTAATGAGGGAAATAAGTATTTGACCCCCTTTCAATCAGAAAGATTTCTGGCTCCCAGGTGTCTTTTATACAGGTAACGAGCTGAGATTAGGAGCACACTGTTAAAGGGAGTGCTCCTAATCTCAACTTGTTACCTGTGTAAAAGACACCTGTCCACAGAAGCAATCAATCAATCAGATTCCAAACTCTCCACCATGGCCAAGACCAAAGAGCTCTCCAAGGATGTCAGGGACAAGATTGTAGACCTACACAAGGCTGGAATGAGCTACAAGACCATTGCCAGCAGCTTGGTGAGAAGGTGACAACAGTTGGTGCGATTATTCACGAATGGAAGAAACACAAAAGAACTGTCAATCTCCCTCGGCCTGGGGCTCCATGCAAGATCTCACCTCGTGGAGTTGCAATGATCATGATAACGGTGAGGAATCAGCCCAGAACTATACGGGAGGATCTTGTCAATGATCTCAAGGCAGCTGGGACCATAGTCACCAAGAAAACAATTGGTAACACACTACGCCGTGAAGGACTGAAATCCTGCAGCGCCCGCAAGGTCCCCCTGCTCAAGAAAGCACATACATGCCCGTCTGAAGTTTGCCAATGAACATCTGAATGATTCAGAGGACAACTGGGTGAAAGTGTTGTGGTCAGATGAGACCAAAATGGAGCTCTTTGGCATCAACTCAACTCGCCGTGTTTGGAGGAGGAGGAATGCTGCCTATGACCCCAAGAACACCATCCCCACCGTCAAACATGGAGGTGGAAACATTATGCTTTGGGGGTGTTTTTGTGCTAAGGGGACAGGACAACTTCACCGCATCAAAGGGACGATGGACGGGGCCATGTACCGTCAAATCTTGGGTGAGAACCTCCTTCCCTCAGCCAGGGCATTGAAAATGGGTCGTGGATGGGTATTCCAGCATCACAATGACCCAAAACACACGGCCAAGGCAACAAACGAGTGCCTCAAGAAGAAGCACATTAAGGTCCTGGAGTGGCCTAGCCAGTCTCCAGACCTTAATCCCATAGAAAATCTGTGGAGGGAGCTGAAAGTTCGAGTTGCCAAACGTCAGCCTCGAAACCTTAATGACTTGGAGAAGATCTGCAAAGAGGAGTAGGACAACATCCCCCCTGAGATGTGTGCAAACCTGGTGGTGAGCTACAAGAAACGTCTGACCTCTGTGATTGCCAACAAGGGTTTTGCCACCAAGTACTAAGTCATGTTTTGCAGAGGGGTCAAATACTTA